CATTCAACAGATATTATTATTATAGATTCTATACTTTATAATTATGTTTTATATAAAGGTAAATTAAGCTTATATAATTATAGGATCCTTAGCTAATACCCTCTAATAATTAATTTTATATTAAAAACGCGTCTTTAGTTATAGTTAGCGTTATATAAAGTTCTTTACTTATTAAAGTCTAACACGTATTACGTTATATTTATTAAAAAAGTAATTAGCTATATCTTATATATTATTAAGTTATAGTAGAAATCTTTAATTAATTAGGTTAATAACTCGTTTAAGAATTACTATTCTTTTTAGCTTAGTTATCTTTATTGATTTTGTATAAGTCTTATGGTATAGTAATTGTTTAGCGCATTAATGTTAAAGTGTTGTTCTTAGGATGTTATAGATAAAAGCTACTTTTTATATAGATAGTTTTGGGTCTTTTTTAATAGCTTTAATTATAAGGATAATATGACTTTTGTTTAAAAAAGAACTTATTATTGTACGTAGAGGAATATTGATATAAAGTTGAAGTTTGAGGAGAAAGGAGAAAGTAGGCTACTTGCTATGATGGGCCACTTGCTATGCATGTACGTTATATAATATATACTTATATAAGACCCTTAATGTCTTTATTATATACCTATTTTAAGGGACTAAAGTACTTAATATTAAGAGGCTAAAGCTTATATAATAAGTAAATAAGTATATAAAGTATAATAATCTTTTACTTTTTATAGTATAGCTTAAAATTAATAAAATAATAGCTTTTATAGCTATTAAAAATAAAGAGATAATAAACACTTTTTATATAATTCCTTATATAGAAATTAAAATACTTTACTTATTTTAGGCTTTTTTTATTTAATATTTAACTATTTTTTATAAGTATAATTACTTAGTTAAGTAAAAAAAGGCTATTATATATCTAAGAGTTAAAATAGACTTTACTTATAAAGATAATATATAATAAAATAAAATAGCTATGTAACCTAATACTTTAAATTACTATAACTTATTTTTAACTCTTTTATTATAGTATTTTTAGCTTATTATATTACTTAGAGGTTATAATAACTATTTTAGCTAAAATCTTATTTATTATAAACCTAGTTTTATTAAAATTATAGATATTATTATTATATATCTTATATTTTATAATTATATTTTATATAAAAGAAAACTATATATAATATATATCTAGATCTTTATAAAGGACTTTTTAATAGTTTATTCTTTAATTAAAACGCGTTTAGAGCTTAGGTTATTATTATATAAAGTTTAAGGCCTAGTTTATGTTAACGTATTATATATTATATTTATAAAAGAGTTAATTAGCTATTTCTTAAGTATTACCTAAGCATAAAAGAAATAGTTATGAATTTAGGTTAACTAATTACATATTATATAATATTATCTTCTTTATATAAAGTTAAATTTTAATAAGGTAATTATCTATTTCGTTTTGTAAGTTAGCCTTTACGTTATCGTTAAAGGGTTACATAGGATATATTATAGATTAATGTAGCCTTTTATACGCTTAATTTTAGGTTTAACTGGAGCATATTAACCGCTAAAACTAAATTGCTTTTAATTAAATGTTTTGTTATAGTTGTAAGTAGAGAAAAACAAAGAGAAAAGCAGTATGTACGAAAGTCTAGGAAAGTGGCTTACTCACTTGTGTGGCTCACTCACTTGTGGACTACGTTATAAGCTACCTTGTATATTCTTTTGCTTTTTGATTATACGGTATTCTTTTCTTTTTAGAACATAGCTATACTGTCATCTCTGTTGGTTTGCGGTAGCGGTTAAGCTATGGCGACTACTAGTGCGGCTTTCTTAACAGTAGGCGGGGGGCTACTGTGACTGCTTTGCGAGGGTTATAAGTAGCCGTGACTGTATTGCTATGTTACGACCTAAATCCGGTTGGTGACTAGTGCAGCCTGAAGCGAACCCCTGGAGCGGCCAACAGGGCAGCCAGACATTCAAGTATGCAGGCCAACGGCACGAACCGGGCTCGGAACGGAAGAACTAGGAATGGTCACGTGATGGATCAGTTGGATCACTGGTGATCCAATGTGATCCCCCAGCCAGGATCACTAACCAGCAAGACTGATCCCTCACCCAGGATCATGAGCAACCAGAATGATCCAGGAGAACGAGTCAAGATATAAGGACATTCATTCCAAGAAGATAGAAACCTTCCATAGCTCTTCAACAATCAACTTCGTGATTCACTCTCATAAGTGACTCTTAGATTATCTGTCAAAGGACAATAGAGCGGCCCGCCCACGGGCACTGTGGCACAAGGTGGCACAGACACAAAGGACAGCCACAGGGTTGTAAAGTTCATGATACTGTCTCAGGGTGCGGGGCCCATTTAACGGGCGAAAGGCTGGAGATTAGCAGGCTAAGATCCAGCTTCTGTTCAATACAAGACCTACGTTTTGCAATTGTACTATTCCTGACTACGGTTCTTTTACATTATCCTTCTGTTGTGCAGGTAGAAGCTACCTACGCCTTGAAGTGCCTGACTGATCACCAGACATCAACAGACCAGCAAGATTACTAACAAGACTTACCTTACTGTTACCGAGTATCGACCTCAGCTGCCTATTAGCAGAAACACCACCGTCGGATATCTGACCGTAACATGCTACCAGATTGTTTGACGGCTGAGGCATCATTGTTATTTCTCTTTAACTATTATAGTTCTAGTTCTAATATTCTTTAAATACACTATAAATATAAAGATCATATTATTTGTAAAATAGTAATCTTAGTTTATTAAGAACATAATTAAACAAAAAAAAAACATATAATGCTTTTTTAACTTCTAGAGTCGCTTAGGGGTTTTAGAAATTAAAGAAGCTAGTTTATAAAACATAAAGCGTTACAAGGATATCCTACACTAGGCGTATATATTAAACAGGATACTATTTTACATCTTATAAACCATAAAGTAACTTTAACTTAGTTATTACTAGTTAAGAAAAAGCATAACTTTACAAGGCAAATAATAAAAGAGGTAATTAAGTAGTAGCTTATGATAAATTATATAATTTTACTTTATAATTAAAGTATAGATAAACACTACTTTGCTTATAGATCTAGGAGCAAGGTGTACGCGCATTTAGGAAAGCGGTATTATATAGTAATATTCTTATACGCTTTTGATAGCCTTAGGCTGTGTAACAACTTAGTAAAAGTAAGGTGTAATAGATATATCTAGGACGGACCTTGCTAGCTAAACACGTAAAATCTAATAGCACCTATATTGTAACAGCACAACTCCCCTAGCCAGATGGTTGTATGTCACAAGGGCATATAAGCAGTGTTGACAGCAGGGCTTGTACGCGTGCAAGCACTGACGGATCTTTTGGGTCCTTTGGGTCAATTGGTCATGGTCGCGGAGTCTAAAGGTCCTTGCCACAGAGCGTCACTGTCAGCGTTCTGTTACATATATCTTAGTGCCTGGAAAAGGGGGGGTCTAGTAGAAGCGGGGACTCTCCCACACATAATAGTCAGATCCATACGCAAGAATCACAACAGGGATTGTAACAGCGTAACTCCCTTAGCTAGATGGTCATACGTTACAAGGGCATATAAGCAGTGTTGACAGTAGGGCTTGCACGCATGCAAACACTAACGGATCTTTTGGGTCATTTAGGTTAATTGGTCACGGTTGCAGAGTCTAAAGGTCCTTGTCGCAGGCGTTACTGTCAACGTCTGTTACAGGGATATCCTTTCAATTAATATACTTCGACAGGTAGAAGTTACTGAAACAAGTGTCAGGGGGTGCGGGGCACAAGCAACTGTTGGCAGTGGTAGCTTCTACAAGCCTCGTTATCCCCGGTCATATAATAGCACGCTATTAATTAACCTGATAAATAAGATACACTAAGCTTGCTGCCTCTTCTATAAAATACATTATAATCATTTCAAGACTTCAACACCGTTTACGCTTCACTTTCAAAGCACAATTAAGCCCTGCTTTATAACAAAATTTCCTTTTTTACTTCGCTATCATGACAGTAGAGCTAGTCAATCTGTCCGATGGCCTCTCCTGCTACACCACATCCGAAGGTGAAGCCCGCCTCATCTATACGGAAATTTACGAAGACCACTGCTATGACGGCTTTAAGCTCCCAGAATCACCCTTTATCGTTGACGCTGGGGCCAACATTGGACTTTTTTCTCTGTACATGAAGCAGAAATATCCGTTAGCCACAATTCTTGCGTTTGAGCCAGCTCCCGAGACATGCGATATCTTGCACCGGAACCTAGAGTTGAACAATGTGGCCGGTGTCGAGACCCATGCCTGTGGTTTAAGCTCAAAGGCAACGGCTGCCAAGCTCACATACTTCCCTCACCTCCCTGGCAACTCGACGACGCGTCCAGAAGAGAAGGTGGAGATACGGCGCGGGTTTGCGCAACGTGTCGGCGAAGAAATTGCGGCTAAGGTTTTTGGCGATGCCCAGGAGGTTGACATCCGTCTTCAAAGACTATCACACTTTCTAGACGCCTGTAAAGGGCTAGAAAGAATTGACCTGATTAAGGTTGATGTTGAGGGTGCCGAACTGGATGTGTTGCTTGGCATGGACGACAAATACTGGGAAATGGTATGCAACGTTGTGCTGGAAACGTGTATTGACTCTGGAGTCAAGCCCGCGATTGAAGAGATTCTGCACGACAAGGGCTTCATTGTCACCACTGAGGCAGCTCCGTTGCTGCCGGAAAAAACGTTCATCATTCGTGCCTATCGTGATAGTTAATTATGTTACGAGTTCAGGGGAATCTCAATAGCCGCTAGTAGGGCGTCTTGGTCAATAACAGGCTCAGTTTTCACTCAACTTGTATATGTATCCCATTGACTGCTGCTTAACGTCAGCGGAGTTGGGTCCATGTTAATATCCACTTTTACTCCGCACTTCAATTGGTACATGACGAAACATCATCCACCCCTATGTTTTTGTGCCTACTATCACCACTAAAACTCTCGATTTAGCTGATGTCGCGATGTCATCTAGTGATTCTGATGCTTCCGGCGCCTCCGTGGACATCGTTACCTCTGTAAGGAGCTGTATTTTCGTCGAGGTCCTTCCGGAAGACCTTGAAGTCGGCTGTACTCCTGACTTTACGCCAGAGCAGTGCGATAACAGCACAGTCCGGCCACATGAGCCTCTGGCTGCGCCCGGCCTGCCGGGCTCTTTCATACCCAATCTCCCGAGATGATCAGAGGAGACAAGATAGACAGACAGGCCCCTTGTCAGCGGAGAAGCTGGAAGGACGAGGGAGACATGGCCTGCACATGCCAGATCGCACGGTATGGTCCGTACCGGGGCAAGGCTTGGGGAGAAGAGGGGAGGTGACACATGCAGCAGGCATCCGGCAGTTCGGCGGCCGTCGGGTTCGGAGAGAGGACGAGGCTGTACCTACATAGTAGCTAAGTAGGTACGTCATCGCCGGGAGCTCGACGCTTGACGTGGGAAGGCGCTCTCACGGCTGGGACAGGGGGGAGGGGACTCACGAAATGACCGGTCCGTGTTCCCTGGCATCCGAGGCTCCGGCCTATGCACCCAAGCGGAACATTGCGCGGCATGGCGAGGCATGTCGATATGGTCGTCCCGGGCGGATGGTCGCGTCGGCAAACCGAGCCATTGAGATCGCGCTGGTCGGAAGAACCGACATAAGGCGATGACCCGCACAATAAACTCAGCCGGCCATTGGTACCTTCGTAGGAAAAGAAGTGATGCTGTCTGCTGAGAGAAGCCCCAGTTGCGACTTAAAAAGAGTCTAAGCGACCGACTGCAACTCGTCCGTAAGAGGAAGCAACAGTTGGCATCAACACTTCTATTGAGGAAGATTTCCTGGATTCCGTATGAGCCCGAGTTGGTCTACAGCAAGTTTAAGGTCGTAAGAAGTCTTTCATGCACTGTTGTAAAGTATAGACCTACTTGCCGTCGGTAAGTCGGGACAGAAATGTATCAATAGATGCACTATGCTTGCCACACAGTAACATCAATGTAAGGATCGTACCTTTATCCCGTTCTCACCTCCAGGCGTACCTTATCGAGAGGATTAGCTAGAAGTTTAAGAAGGGTTCTTACTAAGAGGGTGTAGGATATTTGGTGCTTTCTCTCGATTGGCGATAGGCGCTGAAAGAAGTAAAGAAAGATTGTCCTTTTGGACGGACTAGGGCTTGAACATCTTGGCTTTTTCCCAGAAACTATCCAACATTAAAAGCGTTCAGGAGTTTGTTAGTCATCGAATAATCGAAGGGTGTTGACTTCTTAGGATGGGCATAATATCCGTGTTTAGGCTTCAACTTCACTTCGGCTAATTTTTATTAAAGCACCATCCATGTTGCTTAAAAGTAACCTTGTATGCTTTCATTCAACAAGTGTAGGCTTGTTAAGCAAATTCGTATCTCCGTCAAAAGCCTTTGCTATGTGTCCAATGAATCTCCAGGATTGTGTTCGAAGGAACCAAAATGACGTTCTGCTAGAGTGAGCCGAGTGTAATACTTGGGGGTGAACGATTTTAGCCAAGATGGCAATGCCTCAGAATCCGTATGTACCAGCATTCTTAGGTGTAGAATAACGAGTATCAGCTATGTAATCATCTTAATAGAGTGATAATATAGTAGTTCTATGTATAGTAACTATATAATAGACTGTATAGGTATCGATCCATATGGGTTACCCATGGGTGTTTTCCTTAGTCTCAAGTTTCTTCCACTCCATGCAAAGCCCGGCTGCACTGGCAATTGCAGCAGATGCGACTGCTACGTATAGAGCAGTAGTTGAGGCGTCTTGATACGCTTCCGCAACAAAGGGTAGAAGTTGCGGCTCAATATGCGCAGGGTTGATATTAGACGCCCCTAGATTGGTGATCTCAGTAACATTTGCGGGCTGAAGACGAGATGCTAGACGGTTCTGTAATATGTGAAGAAAGACAGATTGGGCGATGGGTGCTCCCAACACAACGCCTAAGCTCTGCGAAAACCCATTTAAAGCATTTGCAATCGGTATGTCTGTCTCGTGTAGGACGTTTCGAACGGCAGTGAGCGGAACCTGGGCACCGACACCGAGGCCGATGCTTGCTAAGACTTCGTACCCTATTATCTGTCCAGCATTGCTGCCGGTGGTGAGGCTCGACAAGAGTCCGCTGCCGATAGAGAGTATCGCTCCGCCAAGCACCATCATGGGAATGTAGTGTTTCGTGTACGTAATCAAGGCTCCGGATACGAAACCTGCCAGTGTCTCCGGCCCCCCAGCGCGAGCATATATAATCCGGTTATGCTTGGAGACAGGCCTTTGGCAGCTTGAAGGTAGAACGGCATGTAGTACGCCAAGACGGTGACGCCCAGATACGTACAGGTGGTTGCGATGCAGCTCAATCCGACGGTGCGCTGCTTGACAATGCGTACTGGCACAAGACCTCTGTATACAATTTGAGATTAGAATTCGTTGAGATACCCTCTTGAATGGAAGCGACAAATGGTTGGATCCGGATTCCCCAGTGGAAGAACAGGGAGAACATAAGATTTACCTGTCTTGCTGTTTGATTTGCAGTAACACAAAAAGAGAGAACAACACTCCAAACCCGACCAAGCAACCAAGGACTTTGATGTTACTCCATGGCAGGAGATTGCCACCCCACTGAAGCCCCAAGACTAGGCAGGTCATTGAGCCGAATATCAAAATGCTACCTGTAGGGTCAAGCCCCACAAGTTTGTCTCTGAGTGGAATTCTGGTAGAAGCTCTGTAAGGCTCTGGGAAAGCGATCCATATTAAGATCATGCTTATAGCAGAAAGTGCTACCACGAGAAGATGGTCAGCCTGTGATCAACAACCACGATTGGGTTTCGTTCAACACCTACGTAAGTTTAGCCAGAAGCCGAATCGCCAAGTCAGAAAGCTATCTGAGAAGGCACCTCCCAGGACTGGACCTCCAAGGGCCGCTGCCATCATCATGGAGCCCATAATGGAGATCATCATTGGCATCTTAGCTTTTGAAGCGGTGTAGCCACAAATATTTAGAGCCCCTGACGCCATGCCGCTGGCTCCCAAACCTTGAACACCACGGCCGATGATCAGGGTCGTGGAGTTTGGTGAGACGGCGCAGATGGTGGAACCTGGTTCGCCATTAGTGCCTAAGAAAGGTAGCATGAGAACGGTCGCAAAGTCCATAACTCGCCGCCGTGCTCACATACTTACCCATGGCAAGAGTAACAATATTGCAGCAGAATATGATTTTCATAGAGAACAGAGTATACAACCGGCCATATATGGGATTCGCTGCAAGTCGCGCTAGGGAGAAGGCCGCTGGGTACCAAGCCGCATCACGGAGGCTTTGGAATTCTGTTACAATCTTCGGAACACTCGTGGCTATTAATCGTATCACGGGTTGGTTGTGTTCGCCACATATGTTGCAAAACTCCACGCTTGTTTATACTAGGGTGTGGTAAAACACATACCGAGAATGTTGACATCGAGTGCCATAAGTAGCACGGCAATAAGTAGCCCCGATAGCGTTGCTGTTACTGTCCATCGTCGAGGCTTCACTGCTGGTGGAGGTGCTGGCATTTGGTCCACGATGTGGATGTCATCGGATGCAACAGAAGAAATGCTGGTCCTGATGTGGCCCGGGTTGAAGCCAATTGTAAACCGTTTCTCGAGGTCTTTCTTTGCCCATTCCACAATATCGATCTCGGATAACTCCTCCTGGTGTTTATGTTGAGAGAACTTGGAAGCCATCTTGGTCTTTCGCCGTGTAGTGTTGATCCCCTACCTGAGTTTTAGTCGCCAACCTTGAATCGCAGGATTTGCAGTGGAAATAGCAGGAAAGGTTATGAATGCATACGTATGAATCGAGAGAAGGTTAGTTCGACTATTGCATTAGTAGATAACCTAGACAACAAAGATTCGAACGGCTTAAAAGGATATCTGCTTTGGTGGCAAAACCAAACGCAAGCGTTCCAGGCTAGTTTTTCTGGGCTTCTCGGACTAATGATATTATATTTCAAGAATGGAATCAAAATGAGCCAAACCAACAGTTCAGTGCGCAGTTGAGGCCAGAATCTCAAATTACAGTAGACACTAAACAGGCACGCAAGATACACGAGCAGGCTTCCATCTCAAGAGCCAATAGGCCCAAGCCCTCGCTGGCATAACCAAGCACTCTATGCCGGAATCTCGCCTGCGTACTAATAATTAGGGGCTAGGGTGTACATCGGTTGCGTAGTAAACTGTGACTACCCGTTTTAAGGAAATAATCAGCTCGTACTCTCTTAGAGCACAAGTTACTTTCTGCTGGCAACTTTATGGAAAGAACCCTAATATTAAACCTAACTCGACCGGCCGCGCTTTCTGCCGAATGCCAACTCCCTGGTTTTCTTTTCTTCTTGCCCGACCGTACCCAGGTCCGCCATCTTGGGTTTGAAACACCCCTCTACCTCTAACGACAAAGTCAAATCCGGGGCTAAAACTAGAAGCATATCCTGCCCGGTACCGAGGTACCCTTGCCCCTCTCTCCGAGGATATGCCCCTTACTTGCTGGTCTACAGGCCAAGCAGGAATCGGAGAGCACCACTGGTTATAGTCCATTTAACCCCATAGTGGTTACCACCTGCAAAGATGTATCTTGGTAGGGATCTGCGGCTTTATGCGGAGATCTGAGTAGCTGAAATAGCCTTTTTCATGACCTGGCGGCTGCAGAATAACAAAACCCATTCCCGCAGATATGATGATATGACTTTGTGAAGAAACTGACAAAGACAGTTTAATAGTCGAACGATATAGAAATTGAAAACTAACACAAACTATCTGAGTTATTTGATCTGCTATATCGGGGCATCTCCGAACTTAGCCAACAGTAGCACAGCAATCTTGGCTGCAAGGTCATGTACTGTTGCCGTCTGAACGAGATCAGACAACGGCAGATCAACCAAGAGATGTTGGGAAACCCAGCTAGTCAGCTCATTTGCGTTCAGAGAGTCAAGCCCAAGATCATCCAGCTCAGTGTCCGGGCCGATGTACACGCTGGAAAGGGCAAGTAATTGCGCAATAGCATTCCCAAGCAGCTCACCGACCAGTCCCAGTGTTTCCTCATCGAGTAGGTGGTCAGGTGTGCTCTTCGCAATCGTCATTATCGTTGCCAGTCCCGACTCGGCAGATGAGTGTCCTTGCGTCTTTGAACGCCAGCTCTCTGGATGAATGCTGTGTGCCGCACCCGTGTGAGCGTTCCTTTTCCAGTAAACGTGCGTCGAAGGGTCTGCTATGTGATGCTCCGACCACAGACCTAGGGCCATCTGGCTGAGATGCCGACATACGTCGTATCTACTGAACGTTGCTGAGCTTGGACGAACGTGGTGCATGCTAATAGTGATGGCCTCCAGGAGGTCCTCTTCGCGGAGAACGTGGTATCCTGCCGCCCGGGCTCTGTCTTGCATGTTATCTGTACTGGCAATGACCCCAACGCCACCCACGACCCCGATGTCGATGACTGACGCTGGGAGCCCAAGATGATGACGGTACCGGACAAATGCGTCAAGGTAGGTGTTGGCAGCGTTGTAATTGGCTTGTCCAGGGCTACCAACCACCCCGCCTATCGATGAGAAGAGAACAAAGAAATCCAAGCTATGCTGCTTTAAGGCCTCGTGGATGTTCTCTGTGCCTTGGACCTTTGGCTCGATGCATGCTCGCCATTCGGCGTATGTCATGCGCAGCGTGGCAGCATCCTTTAGGATCCGTTAGAAGACAGCTTGATAGAAGGTCTGCTTTCGCCACACGAGAACATATGAACTTACCCGCAAGACCATTGACATTTGAATCACACCAGCAACGGGACGATCTGCCGCGTTCACAGCCCTTTTGACATCTCCCAAGACGGCAACACTGCCCGCCACCGTCTTGACGACGCAGCCTTGGCTTCGCATCTCGTCCAAAAAAGGCTGGTCTTCTGGTTTAGTTCCCGCAGAGCGAGAGAGGAATATCAACTCCCCAGCACCATACTCTGCCATCCAAGTGGCCACGGCGCAGCCGATGCCGCCCAAGCCGCCGACAAGCAAGTAGGCAGCATCCGAACGGAACCTAGGAGATGCGGGCGTGGCCTCTGCGGATGACAACGGAAAGTCACCCTGCGGGTCCGGTGTTGGGATTTGGAGCACCACCTTGTTGCTCACTGCTTGATTTTCGTTTCCAGAAGCCGCACAGAAAGCATCGTGGACTTCATTTGGCTTGAAGATCTTGGCAAGTCTCGCCCAATCTGCTGGACCTGATGGACCAACGAAGTATTCTTGGCACGTGTTCCAAACCCTGTGTAGATTAGTTCTAAGTAGAGTAGTTATAGTGCCACGAATGATACAAATCAGGGTGGCGCGCGCGCTCATGATAGTGCTCACCTTTGCACCGAGTTTGGACCACATAAGCTGAGTGCCTGCACGTTGACGATGCGGTATGCTTGACTTGCAGAGATCTTAACTGTTTGGCAGGTCTCGGTCTTGCCTGGATGATCTAGAACATCGAGGAAGATGCCTTCGGGGGACAAAAAGTGTAGTGCCCAGTCAGGAGCCTGGCCGCCAAATCCGATCATGCAGGCTGCCTTTGGCCACGGCAGAGAATCTCCCGGGGCCGACACGATGAAGTCTTCGGCTATGCCGAAAGCATTTTCCAAAAGCAGCCTATCGGTCTCTGAAGCAACGATGAAACGACTCTGGCAAGAAAATCAAATATTTATTAGCGACTGCGGGTGTAAAGCGGGATTTGCGCTCATGTATCCTTACCTCTGCTCGCGTTTTCCGCAACAGTTGGATAGTTGCGAGACACACATCGCTGAGAGTGAACATCACAATGACGACCTTTTGATCAAACGATGGGTGAGTAACTACACCTCTAGTTTTCTCTTGGTCAGAGACTCGGGACGAACAAGACTTACCTCTCCGCCTTGGATCCTCCCAAACTCTCTCACCGTGAACTCGGCTGCAACGCATGCCAGTGGCATGGCCGCCGCAGCTTCGAAGGCGAAATTATCGTCCAGCCGTAGGCAACTGGATGGCAAGACGTCCAGATGGCTGGCTACAGTGCCTTTGCCTGTCAAAAGAACAACGACTCGGTCTCCCATCTGGAAACCGGGCACATCATCGCCCACGTCCGTAATGATGCCGGCAGCCCCTTGTCCGAATAGGACCTTGTTTACATCGAAAGCCTGCCTGGCTATAGTCACGTCCTGTACAATAGCATCAATTAGTTGCTTGCCCATACTCAACGCTAACGCGTGTCCGGCACGTACCTCTTTGTTGATCGCGGCTGCTTTAACCTCTACTCGGACGTGGCGGGCATCCAGATTCGGCAAGGGGCACCTAACCCATCGCAATGAGCTCAATTTGCCTTTGAATTTTGGGGCCAGCTTTGCAAATGTCATTGTTCCGCTTGTCTGTTGTTGTTCGGAGCATCGACAGAGTTCCTGTTGGACCGTTGTCCACTGATGCCTTGGCACCATGATGCCATGCTCCATAGTTATTGCAAACTCAAAATCCGGGTCGAGAACGTCATCAAAGAATCGGTTTGGCAGGTGTTGGACGATGCGCACGAGTGACTTGGCCAAGTAATCGTCACCACTGAAATCGTCTTCCGGGTCGACCTCGACAATGGTGATATCGGTCTTCAGCTCCGATCGCAGCGTACGAGCGAGTCCGTAGATCATTGCGGACCGTGGGTCTTTGCAGCTGATCTGCGACAAGGGCGTGACCCAGACAATGGGGCGTTTTTGGGTGCCGGTGCTCAGAAGTTGGACGAACCCGGGAAATTCAGTGTGGGTCAGATGGTAAATCCAAGGGCGGTCCAGGTCGAGGAAAAAGATGAGGGCTCCCTCGGCCGGGAGAGACGCGGACTGATTGATGCAGGTAGCTGCATCGTATCTCCGGACTGGGATGGAAGAGGAATACAGCACCGACTCGAACTTTTCGATCAAGGCGCTTTGGTTCTGATTTGTAACGATGCTAATGGTTGACGGACTCGGCTTGAGCTGGTTCGGGGGACAAAGTCGCAGGATGGGGGATAGCTGGCCCTTGTGTTGATCACCTTGAGGCACATCGAAGCCAAGATCCCGAAGAATAGGAAGCAGTACATCTTCCGAGGCGTGTGGCGCATCGTTCTGCAACATATGCTGAGCATTTGTTAGCATGCATGCATGCATGCCTTGAACTGTTGGAACACGTGTTGTGATGCCCAAGACTATCCACACAGGCTGGTGTATCTGATCGCAGAGGAGAACGGGACTTCCTAGGACTCACATCAAGAGACGAAATAAGCGGATCGTCTAATTATACAAGTTAGTTACTATTGTTGGGCTCGGAGCACGTTGCGGATGACGGGTACTAGATACTGACCAGGAAGAAGCTCCAGCAGAATAAGTACTCCGGAAGGGCGAAGTAACTGCTTGATGCGTTGCAGGTCTTGACGAGTGTCGCGTTCCGAAGAGAGTATCTGCATAGGCATATATCAGGGTCAGTAAATGTTCTCATAATTAGTGCTGTAGGAAGCACGAAGACGTACATCGGCACAGACGACAACATCGCACGAATGGGCCTCTACGTTGAGGCCCCTTTCTGCGCCCACGGCATCCCAGCTTCGTACCTCCAAGCCTCGGATATCTGCAAACGCGTCTTGTTCGCTTTTCAAGGCGTCTTGCGAAAGCGCCGCATACGTGTACGTTGAAAAATTCCGGGTTCCTTTCTTTGGTTGGAGGAGGTCCAGCAATGTCCGAGCCGTGCTGCCGGAGCCGATATGCAAGATGCTCAGCTGAGGATTTGTGTGTGCCAGAACATGCATCGCATCTGCCAAGATCTTCTTGGCTCGCAAAAGCCAGAGGCCCCGGGACAAGATGGCCTCTCGGAGCGTTTCTTTGGTCTGCTGTAGGGGGTTCTTGAAAAGCTGGTCCATCGTCGGCTCCATCTCGTGGAGACGGCTGCGCTGCAAATCGATACGCAGTTTTTGATGAGACACTTGGCGGTCGGCTCTGGTGTCTTGCACAATGCATTGGCAGGTGCTCGCAGACATGACACCATACCCCCCTCCTGTGCCCTTTGAACCTGGTGATCAACCCAAGACCTGGTTGCGCCGGTATCAGTGGTATCATGGCTATCGTTGTCTTGAGAATCGTTCGAGCGCATCTCCAGTAACTGGAGAAGCATCAAGTGCTGCATTCTCTTGATGTCATCCGCGTCGAAAAAGGGTGTCTCAAGTAGGGTCTGAAAAGGAAAGAAACTTGCGTGAGCACGCCAGTGAGGCGTGCTGAGAATCGGAGGAGGCTCCGTCTCCCCTTGCGAGGAATTACTCATCTGATGGGCTTCAATCCCTTCCATAACGACAACCTCCTCCCCATCATCCGTGTATGCATGTACCGTTCCAGAAAGATGTCCCTGCGCAAACTGGTCCATCATTCCTGTGGCCCAAAAGGGCCCCGCATACCGACGAACAAAAACTTGTTTGATATACGTCGGTGTGGCCATATACTTGGCCTTTCGCTCCAGCCCGTGGCAGAGAGAAATGCCCGTAGTCTGCAAGCACTGGTCAAGTGCGGTGGGATGCAGGAGGTAGCTGCTGGTCGAGTCTGTCGATGTATCCTCTGGCGGGTTCACACGGGCTGTCGCTTGCTGCACAGTGGGACTGACAGTGATATCTTCCAGCCTTTTGAAGGAGGGTCCGTAAGTAAAACCTAGCTCTTGCATGATTCTGTACCAGGCTTTTTGAGACAGTAGGCGAGGGAGCTTGCACTTTGTGAAAAATTTGCGGGCTCGATGAGCTCCTGCGATGACGACCGTGTGGCAGTGCTCGGTCCAGATATTGTCTTTCCACGAAGTGATTTGCACGTCGTAGCTAGGAGGCGTGTTGTCGTTGCCGACAAGACGTCGTAATCTGGTATGTATCTCAACAGGACGGCCGGGATCCAAGCGTAGAGCCGCAGAAACGGAGAAATCTTGAGCAGAAAAGGCCTCCAAATGCCCACCGTTTATCTGGCGAAGCGCCTGCTCAGCAATCGATATATATGCCGCAAAAGGGATGATGACCTGGTCGTTCACCACATGGTCTCCAAGCCAGGGGATATCCTCGAGAAGCAGTACTTTCCTCCATCTTGGCTCAAGAGCACTGGTTTCGAATACTTGGCTACCAAGTAGCTCGTGCATAGGGTACTGGCAGTCTCTGTACGCTCTGAATAAACGGTGTTGCCCCTGGAAAGACTGTTCATGGGCCCAAGGATATGTTGGAGCATCGATCAGGGCTTTTCCTGGCGGCGCGATGGCTTGATGGTCAAAGTTGACGCCCTCACAGAACAGCCGTCCGGCCAGTTTGAGGAGATTTTCGTGACAATCCTTGTTTCTCTCCAATGTTGGGAGGTAGCTGGCTTTGGTGTAGGGGATGTTCTCCAGGACCTGCCTGATCGGGTTCCTCAGAGAAGGGCGAGCGCCAATCTCCACGATGACGAGATTTGGTGTATTGGTTTGTTTTACAAGGCTTCTAAGGGCCTTGTCAAACAGGACAGGTTGAATCAGGCTCTGGTGCCAGTGCGTGGCGCCCAAGGAGTCTGCGGCCGTTATACGATCTCCCGTGACACTGGAAAAGAGAGGTATTCGAGGTGCGGCAGCGTTAAGAAAGGGCCGAATCGCCGTTTCATAGCCTGAGCCATACTCCTTCATGTGTGCTAAAGGTTTGAAAGCCCGTATTAGTCTTATGTCGTTGTATTTGAGCGTATCTCGCGTTGGTACTCACCGGAATGAAAGGCATGGTCCACAGGTAGAAGCTCAGCAAATATTCCATCTGCAGTGAGCTTTGCCACCACAGCCCCAACCGCACACGCGTCTCCAGAGATAGTCGTGTTAACATGGCTATTCTCGCAAGCAGCAACTACTCCGGGTAGTAGCCACTTAGAAATGCCCTCAGAGCCAACTCCAATCGTTGCCATGGCTCCCGATTGTTTTTTAATGGTCCTGTTGAGTATGTAGCCTCGATAATATGCGACGACGATCGCTTCATCTGCTGTGAGGGAGCCAGCCGCAAAGGCAGCGGCGATCTCTCCACTGGAATGACCGGTTACAGCATCTGGGATCACCTTCCAGCTGCGCAAGACTGCGATGAAACCGATTTGGACAGCGATGCTGCACGGTAAAGCGTACTCCGATTGCATAATACGACTTTCAGTTTCCGACTTGAGAAGTTCACCTGCAAGACAATGCCAAAAGGAAAGGCATGTTAGTTCTGCTGGAGACTTCTTGAGTAGTGCACGTAGAAATTCCAGACTTCAAGGGGAAGGCAAAGACTTCATACCTTCAATCGTCCAAGGTGCTTTCAATTCTCTCAGCACTCTGTCCAAATCACCAATACATTGACGAAAAACAGCGTTGTTCAGGATCAAGGCTTTGCCCATCGTAGGCCACTGCGCGCCTTGGCCATTGAACACGAAGACAAGCGTCTTTTGCTCGTCGCTTCTAGCAGCAGAAAGTTGAAGCTCTGGCTGGGTCGTCGTACGCTGTCCGTCTGTGCCATCACGGGCGACGAAAAATCCTCTGTATTTCAACCTCATTCGTCGACACCCAAGAGTGTATGCCAAATCTGATAGATGGCACGGTCTCGAGCTTGCAACAGCGTACTGCTTGTAAGCCTGGTGGAGCAGTTCTAGCGACTTTGGATTCGACGCCGAGAGTAACATGACATGAGATTTTTCTGTGACTGTAGAGGATGTTTCCATCCGCGGCTGGAAATAGGGGTTCAGCTGGGTACTGGCTTCCAGATGGGGATGTTCTAGGATTGCCTATGAGTGTTAGTCACGGCCTGCATCTCCAGACGGATTTTAACGTCTGGAAATTCAAAAGAAGAAAGGAAAAGAAGCAATACATGGCTGTTTACGCCACCCATTCCGAATGAGTTCACGCTAACTCTCCGCAAACGATTTAGAGGGAACGGTTCGGGCTCGGAAGCAACCCTGATTCTCCCATCGGCCCAAGGGACTAGATGTAGATCTGAGTGGGTTATTGAAAATGACTGCAATCTTGAAGAGCACTTACGATTAGGATTGGGTGTATTGAAGTTGGTGTTTGGCGCAATGATTCCTTTCTCAAGCATAAGTACCACCTTGATGATACTCGTCAGGGCAGCGGCGCCCTCTGAATGTCCGACGTTGGGCTTCACCTATGGCCGTAAAAAAATGGAAGTATTGTCAGTGCTTTAATTGGTGAACTTAGTGGGTGTACGGGAATTGATTACTCACAGCACCAATGATGACGCCTTCTTTTCCAAAAACCCTTTCTATGGCTCCGACTTCAGCAAGATCGCCAATCCGCGTGCCCGTACCGTGACATTCGAAGAAGGACGTCTGGGAATACTTGGTGATGCCGGCCTTGTCGTACGCATGCCGGATGAGTGCCTCCTGGGCGTATCCATTGGGGATGATTAGACCGGGCTCCCCACCGTCATGCTGGGTGGCAGTCGAGCGGATCACGGCCCGCACGGGGTTCCCATCGCGAAGGGCCTGCGACAGTCGCTTCACATAGACAGCGTTGATGGCCTCGCCCCGGCCGATGCCATCGCTGGCGGCATCAAAGGTCTTGCAGACGCCATCTGGGGAGGCAATATTGCCTAAAATCCCGGACGCGCCCGCCGCCGAGAAGGGTGCCGATAAGAACAAACTGCAGCCAGCCACAAGCGCAGAAGTGCATTCTCCCAATATCAAAGATTGCACGGCGAGGTTCAGAGCCACCAGTGACGATGAGCACCCGGTTTTCACAGTCATACTGCATGTACATGCCAGTTAGATGGTAACATTCCCAGTTTCAGGCTTAACGTACCTTGGGCCCCGGAAATCAAACGCATACGAGATCCTGTTTGACAACATGATGTCCCACTTGCCAGTCGGATAGTTGCTGTAGTACTGCGGGTCCCGTTGCATCTCGTTACTCCAGTCCTCAAAAAAGGAGCCCACGTAACAGCCAACCGTCTTGCCTTGCCAGTTTGTCTCACCAGCATTTTCAAGGCATTCCCAACTAATTTCTAGCAGCAATCGTTGCAGAGGGTCCATCTGTTCCAGCTCGCTGCGTCCCAAAGAAAAATGCGAGGCGTCGAATCGGTCAAGCTGAACATGGTCCAGAAAGTATGCCTTCTTGGTTTGTATAGTCCCAGGGCGTGACTTCTCACTGTGATACCCTCCGATATTGAAGCGGTCTTTCGGGACTGGTACAGATGCACAGCACTTCTGCATCAGCATGTCCCAAAACTCATCCGCATTGCTTACGCCCCGGGGAGTCTCATGGCCATGCCACAAATGACCACGGGGTCGTCGCCGAAACCTCGATTGGCATTGCTAAGTTCGCCCATTGTTGATTTTGCGTAATTGGACTTTATTTTACTACGGTAACTTATGCCTTTGTATAAAACTGAGATTACTATTTGAATACCGGAAATTATTCTGATGATATTCTGCGAAGTCGTTATAATACAGGCACATGTATTTTAAGGGGCAGAGCCGTAACCAGCCTCGATATAACGCTCTTGCTGTATGGTAAACTACTTAATCTTCATTCAATAAAAAAAAAAGACAGGCTTCTCTCGACTTTCATCAAGGTTTTGACTCCTTGGCGCAGAAACGTCGCACACTCACATCGCGGCGTCATTAATTCGCTTGTATCTTTTTCCTTATTTTTCACTTGACGCCAAGGACCTTCCGACCACTTATCCCATTGGTCCATAACGTAAGTTAAACCTTACGGGAAGCGGGACACACCACCTGCTCAGATGTACAAGTTCGGCCAACACTTCTGTTTTCTTAAACTGTCCCAAGCGTGAAACCGCCGCACCCGAAGCTTCGGAAAACGGATCCCAGTTAACGCTACTTAAAAGTACACGAGAACTCTGTTTGTGTTGACGAAGATGAAACACATGTGAGCGGGTCTATTATCAATATAGTTTGTATCTCATGAACCATCACCGTTATGCCATACCAAAAGGCCGGGACTGCACAACGGTACTGGACTATTGACATGTGGAAGTCAGCGAATCTCCAGAGGCATAGATGCATGCCAGCACATGCACTTCTACTGGCTACCCTCAGCCCTCTGCCTCGCAGCAATTAGCTCATCAAAAGGTTACAATTGCATCATCGTAACCACAATTCGAATCCTGTTGGTGTTTTCGATCAGGCCCCCACTGTGGTTTGTGCCAAGATCGTGATTCATCGTTTCGATGATCATAAGTAGCAATAAGAAAATCCGAGCCAGACATCGCTCTTACTCACCACTGCAAATTTTCTTCCATAGGCTTACAACACCACAACAAACCCAATGAGTCCTCCTCGTCAATCTCGTGCGATACTTCTTCTCCATGGAAGCGGATCGTCAGATGCTATATTTAAATTTCAAACTTCCAAAATCCGCGCTACCTTGAAGGACAAGTTTACCTTTGTGTTCGCAAAAGCGCCACACCCCTCAGAGCCTGGCCCCGGAGTCCTGCCATTCTATGCGAAAATGCCGCCCTACTTCACCTGGTTCAGAAAGGGAACTGAAGCCAACAAGCAAGAAATCGCGATCTTCAACCAGTGTATCAAAAACACCATCCAGGCCTGGAAAGCCGAAAACCCTTCAGGGGCGATTGTTGGAGTGTTAGGCTTTTCCCAAGGCGGCATCGCATCCACTCTGCTTCTATGGGAACAACAAATGGGCCTTGTACCCTGGCTTCCGGATCTAGAGTTCGGCATCTTGATCTGTTCTGGATACTATGAAGGCTTGACCGGGTGTATGGGCGATCTGAGTCCCGCCAACCACCACGACGGTCAATTCTCGACAATCAAATTGCCTACATTGCATCTTTACGGAAGGCAAGACATATTTGGCGCTCCGTCGTCCAAGCAAATGTTTGCAACACATTTTGTCAAAGATAGGGCCAATATGGAAAGCTTCAACGGAGGTCATGAGCTTCCTCGAGAACATGATGATCTTGAGATTATCAGGAGGTTTGCTGTATTCCCCGAACACATAAAGGCCAAAGCAGGTTAGAAATAATTCATTTCTTTATAATTCATAGTTAAACTTTGTTTTTGTTTCAATGCTCTTATGGAGTCGTGAAGGGTGTGAAGAGGTAACTATCTAGCTTCAAAGCCGTTCATCGTACGGCGGTCCTAAGCACTTGCGGTTGATACCAAGTTTTCGGCTTGATAGTGCAATGAGTAGCTTTGTATTTGTCATTGCGAGCCCCGAATTGCATGGTCAAAGTTCCCAAGGCCTACAACAGTCTTGGGCAAAAGGCCCTTTCCCAGTCCAAAGCCTTATCCCAATTCCAGTGCGTTTTCACTTTCCAGATAAGGTTCAAGCCATATAACGGGCCATTGGCGTCGGATAACAGGCTGAAACCAATTGTCTGGGTTTAAACTGAAATCATCAACATTAGGACTACGATGCCGTACTAGGCACCGCTTGAATTGATGGGAGACTAATCACTGCAGCCATTGACTCGATGCAGCCACGATTGTTGATGTTGTATTCCACACGCTACTATGACGATGAATCCTACATGATTCCTCGATTTCAAAAAAATGCCAAGATTGTGATAACATGCCGAGCAGCATTTCGTCTTTCCGTGTCAAGTTCAGTAGCAAGGTGCTGGGTATTTGCCCGCATCTGTTTGCCTTCGGCTCCCTTTGTCTTCCGGAAGATTTCCTCAAACTCGTGCCTTACAGCGTCTTCGCTACCAATGATATTCAGCCCGCCTCGTCTTGCTTTGGCTTTAGCACTACCTGACCTGATCTTTACAAGGGCTGTCAGTCACAAAGCTCATCCGTCGTACCCTTTGCACTATCGAGGTCGCCGTATATTACAAGACTCACCTGCATGACTTCAAATGCAAGGGGTCTATCCCTTGTTGACGCCAATCCCACGTTGATGGAGTTGTCTCCCGGGGCCAGCGGCCAGCCCACGAGTGGAATGCCTTGCACAAAGCTTTCCATCATCGAGTTCCATCCCCCGTGAGTAAGCAACCATCCCACTGATGGATGCTGAAGGACCGCCTGTTGATCGACCCACGTATCGCACACAAGGCCGATTCCGCTGTTCTGGATTTTGTCTATGTCGGAAGCATTGATGAATTTTTTCGCGTGCATTCCCCCAATAATTAAGATAAATGGGTACTTCATTTCGTTCAAGGTTGATATCAGAGCCTGAAAATTTGCGCGATTGGTTGGAAAGACCATAGACCTAGTGTGAAGAGTCAATGTAAGACTGATGAAAGCAGACTCAAGAGTGCGCGCCCTGGGAGGATGTAGTGGTGGTGAAACTTTTCTTACCCAAACGAGATAACGAGGACCTCACCCTTGCCATGGCGGTCGAGATAAGTACGTATTCTCTCATCCTTGATCTGTCCACCCGGGGACCAACCCTTGGGCCCTATCTGGACCCCAACAGGATATACAGTAGTATACTTATTGCAAGCAGTAAGGGTTTCGCCCTCCAATGCCATTGCTGAAGCACAGATGATACCATCCGTGGCTTGGACAAGCGTGACGGTCTCCCTTAGCAGTGAGGAGACGACTACGTACCCAGTCAGCAGGACAACCACCGGATTCAGCTCCGAAACAGAATAGTCATCTTACCTGTTCTAATCATGCCAAACTCGCCGAATTCTCGTTCATAGTCATAAATATCCTTACAGCCAGGAATGCTTATCACGGTTCCATTGAAAGCATCAAAGCCGTTTTTGGCAATACAGACCTGTGAAATATTTCCATTTTGTCAAAATTACAAAGTAACGTGACGATCAAGAATAATATACCCACCTGCTCGACTATGTCATCAAGGCTTCTTCCCTGACGCAGGGTCTCATCGGAGAAATACTTGTGGGCAATCGTTTCCCAGTCGCTGAATCCCCCTTCCGATGAGGGCGCAAGGTAGGAGTAAAGGCGCGCAGCACTACCTGCCCAATACAAAAGAATCTTGCATCGATTACCTACAGTCTTTCGCGCCTGCGGCAGAGACTCTAGCGAGCCGATGTGATCCAGTATCAGCGCCGTTGGCCCTGGCCAATTGTGTCCAGAGTTGCTGATTTGCTGTAGCGTCTCTACCCATCCTCTGTACAGCTGGCTTGTTATGTCTTCTACCGTCACTCCCTTGTTCTTAAGAAGACTAAATGCTCATGGGTCACGGTCAATAACCCCGGTCTCAAGAGGGAAACAACTGCGTTACATGGGATGTCCTGAGTACTCACTGCGGGTCCCCAACTTGAACAACATGGAATCGGTTTCGTGACACATCAAAATACTGGTCGAGGTCTGGATGAATTTAGCATCGTACAATCACTTAAACTACTTACTCGTGGCATAACGATGCGTTATCTACTGGGTGTTTAAACTCGAGCTGAATAAGATCTTACCTAAAAACGCATGGGATACCAAGGTCACAACCAAAGACTGATTCACTTCAAGCATCTCAGTGATCAGAGCAATAGTACTGGTGACATGGCCCCAGGCAGGCCAAACATGCCAAACGTGGTGTTGTTGACAGGTCATGACAACTTGTATAGTCGTTAAGTTGTATGTTCAAAATCGGAAGACAAGCTGGAATGGACTTCAGATTCCGAGACGAGCCTAATATGCAAATAAAATAGGCATTACTTAAGCTTTACGGTAATGGCGCTTATCAAGTTCTAGGCAATTAAGTGAGACAATCAGAGTCACACGAAGGGGGGACGGTTCGGTTCTTGTACCGGCCAGGCCGTTTAGTGGTCCCGGCTCCGGCTCACCGTACTCAATGTGGATCTCCAAGAACATCGTCCATTGAGTAAGGCTTATTCTACTGGCAAAGAACCAAACAGACAAAAGATGGATCTAGCGGTCTGAGCAAGCCACACAATACAGACTACCTATAATAGAGAACATCGTTTACAAAGGCACGATGAAAACGGGTGTGAACACGTTTTGTGATTCGGAACAGCGCTCTGTGATTGCGCGTAGAAGCAGTTTAACCTTGGAAGAAATGTGTACTATATACACGACATCGTTCAGCATCACGTTTAAGCCAAGACATCCGCTAGATTCTGAATTTCAGCTGCGATTGACATCAGGTTTCCATCCGAACCACAATCTTCTCACCTGATACACCCTTACTCGCAAGCAACTTTAAGCCTTCTTGAATAGCATCAAACCCACCGTCTAGTATTCGGACAGGATGATGATTCAGTTTGCCCTCATGCACCAGCTTCTGCGCAACTTCCCACAATTTAACGCCAAAAGCACGAATCTTCTCATCCGGCTGGCGCGCGTATGGCACCGGATACGTACAACCTTCGCCAAAGATGCAGGGTGCGACAACGAAGTCTGATGTAACGACCGCGCGAGTTCCGGCATGCCTAGGGAAAGGCTCAAGTGCAACGTAGTTCCCCCCTGTGCGCCCCATTGCGTTGAAGCACACAGTTGTAGACTCAACGCTGGAAATGCAGTCCAACGCATACTTCAAGTTGTTTTGAGTGTGGATTTTCTTGGCAATAGAAACGATTAGCCTCTGAGTTCTATTTCAGTGTAATAGGAAAGAGAGCAGCAGGGACTGTTTACAATCTTTTGTGTGACGTCCTTGTCTAAGCGATCGAAAACTTCCTCAGCACCATTCTTCCTTGATAACTCGAAGTGTTTTTGTGAGCAAACCGCTATTGGCATCAAGCCCGCGCTGTGTATAGAATATGTGGTCAGATAGGCATCACCGAAATGTTCAATAAGACAAGAAGCCTAACTAACAGCCTTAGCAATTGCATAGTGATAGTAGCCGTCGCAGTACTACTGCCGTAGACGAGAACATGCTTAGCTTTCGCAACAGGTTCGTTTGGTAACGGTAAACCTAGCGACTTTATGGCTAAACCAGCGGTACATATCCCCACGGGCAATGACGCTGCTGCTTCCATCGTCCACGACTCCGGAACCCTCATCCACATTTTGCCCCGCGTCACGGTATACTGCGCGAACGCCCCTTGTTCTGGCGTGGCTTTGAACATCTCGTTTTGCGCTCCGCATACCCGATCACCTACAGCAACGCCGACCGCGGCTGGCCCTACTGCGACAACTGTGCCAGCGAAATCGCTACCCATGATCGCACATGGAATGGCAAAATCTGCCTTCATTTTCGTGTTACTTGGGTTGAGAGCAACGGCTTCGACACGCACGAGAGCTTCATCGGGAGGTAAAACGGGACAAGGCGCCTCCTCCCACACGAAGAGCTGCTCCTTTTCGTTCATTACGAGGGCCTTTTGAGTGGACGGAGGCGAGAACTGACTGGATTGTATCGCCATGCTGAGTGTATTGGGCAAAAACTTGTCAAAGTGTGCTTCTTGGTAGCTTGCGAATGCCAATGACTCCAGGATGGTCAACAGCTTCGGTGCAGCAAAAGGGCGAGCACTTAAAGTCTCGGATATACGCCTATTGTTTCATTACATAGCCTGTACCCAATATGTATCTGCGTAACGCTCATGATTATCGGTAGTTAGTCTAGGTACATGGAGCGCACCATTCACAGATACACCCGGAATGTTGATTCCCACTACGGATACTCTGTACTTACCGCTGAACCTTGTGCAAAAACCCTGTTTCTATGCGGGTACACTAGTCGAAGGCTCACCGTCCTACCACATCGTAAAGCAAGATGACATAAACGCGCAATGCTGCGCAAGCATCAACTTTATTGCTGAACCATGTGCAAACCCTCATTTAGCCAGGCAACATCGGGCGGAAAGAGGAAGTGTTGCCGAAGAGCACATCCTTGATCCCCGGACTCAGGCTGTTAAATGCGGATATGTCCTTTCTCCGTGCACGGATGGACGAGCTGTGATGTACTTACTTTTACAGCGTTTTACGAAGCTAGAACTCTTGTGCGAAACGTGCAGGCCTCCGGGCTACTCCCCAGTCGTGTGCGCTAGATTGTACCATCCTGTTAAACCTTATTGACACTACGCGTTCATACGTAAATCTGTTTTTCGTAAGCTTCATATAGACAGGACTTGATTGGGATAGTGCGGGACGCATATGAACGCCGAGCTATCCGAATAATTGGCACAATCTATCTCCACCTATCATGAATGCATTCCCCAAAGCCTTGACAGGACAGATTTGTAACCGCACCTACATATGCGAATCGAGAAATTTTACTAAGCGGAAAGCATAATGGAAGAACTCCCATTGCGGCCACTTGGTAAGCGTGCAATAACCACGCCTGCACCCAATCAAAGGTCAAAGCATAATCGGGTTCTAATTGTTGAACAGGCCCCCTCGAGAAGCACCTCGTTCACCAACACGAAGTCGGTTACTACAATGTCCTGGTAGTCTTTGCAGAGTATTCCCTTCCTAGCACGACACCTGGCTTCACAAGCAGAGACATGCTTGGCTTGGTCTACTCGGCCTTGAGTAAGACGTTGAGATATCATCCCATCTTGGGAGTTGCACTGAGGGACGAAGATGGTGCACAGCCAAGCTTCAGCAGGATTGAACGCATCGACTTGAGAAGAGTTGTAAAAGTCGCCAGAGCAGATCTTGCCTCAAATATTGCCGCCTTGGTACAAGCAGAACATCAGGACCAGTTGGTGCTACGGCACGATGTTCCTCTATGGCGTTGTCTGCTCGTTCTACCGGCTGAGACTGTCGATCAGAAGCTTGCCATGTCTTTCGTCCTGGGTCTTGTTTGTCACCATGTTGTTGCAGATGGCATCTCAACGATTGCCTTTCACAAGACTTTTCATCGGTGCTTAAACCAGCTACTTTCTTCTTCGGCAGAGATAGCCTTGGGGGGTAAACGTCTCAGCCTCGTAGGGAACGAGGTAGTTGTGGTACCCAAACTCCCATTGGTGCCCTCCTTAGAGGAAAGCATGACATTCCCCATGTCTCGGTTGTACATCTTGCGCGTATTATTCAAAACATTCGTCTATGCTCCTGTCGACCCCTTAGAGTGGGTTGGACCACCCATTGGAGACGCGCGGCCGCCTTTCAGCAGCACGAGGTATTTCCATCTGGCGCAACAGGAAACCCGCAACGTCTTGCGCCAATGCAGACAGCATCAAACAAGCATCACAGGTCTGTTAACGGTTCTGGTGGCCATGGGTTTATCGGTTCTGCATGCGCCGAATACGCGTTTCACGGCGTCCGTACCCTTCTCGCTGAGGAGGTATATGAAGCATTCCCAAGACGACATGGGCTGTTTTACCAGCATTGCGGAGCCGCGCTTCTCTGCAGACGCCAACCCACCACCGGGCTACATTCCGTGTCAGCGCACTGCCACTACTACAGCCCAAGATGCTGAAAACACGTCGTCTTCCACCAAGGACACGAAGCTGTGGGCATCTGCGAGCATGTGCAGACGACTTCTGCGCCAGCGGAGCGCTTCGACGACGAACCTCACAAATGGTATCCTGAAACTTATAGCCGACTATCGCAAAGGATTCCGAGGCATGAGTGGAATTTCCAGGCGGCATGCCTTTACCTTAACCAACCTCGGGGTTGTAGATGATCAGGGTTCGCAAATTGACGATCGAACTACTGGGCCAAGGGCCAGTGTTGGCAAGTTTGTGTTGTCGGCAGGGGCAGTGGCTAATGGATCGCCTTACACCGTTTGTGTGATTTCTCAGGCCGGGGGTTGTATGAGTATCACGGTGAACTGGGAGGCTGGTGTTGTAGAGAATGAGAGTGCGGAGTGGCTTTTGGCTTTTCTCGAGAGGGAGCTGCACCGATTATCAGACCAAGTCAAGTTTACTGTGTCTTCTAGGCTTTGAATGATATTCTACTGTAATTTGGTTGAAAGCTGTTGTAGTGAAGTGCCTGAAAGATTTATTGATTTATTGAGTCGAACTAGACTGCTTTAAACAGACAAGAGAAAAAAGAGATCGTCAAAAACCAGTGTGATAGGGGTCATCAATTAATATACTCCAACTTGAACTTCACATCAGATGTACTACTCTACGGCCATAGGAGGTCTGGCCCGGACATACTAACTTGCATCATGCACATGAGTAACATCAACAAGCTACCAAAGATGAGAGACAAGTCTAATTACTCTCCACACGAAACTAACAGGCCATTTAGATCACTGGCAGAAAGGAAACGCACTCAATATATTGCCAATTCTAGAAGAACCGCCAGACGTAAGCAAGCACGGGTGAACCCTGCTAGACAGCAACTCTCATTCTACCAGCGTCGATTCCTCCCAGTTTGTAGATGCTTTGCCAGCCTTGTTTGTCGGTGCCGTTCGGCGTCTGTTTGGGCGGGAGACCAAGTAGTGCCCGCTGACGATTGGACAGCCTCTCTTTGGTCTCCTCAGAGAGGAGAAGGTCATGTTTCTCCATTCTCTGGACGTAGAATCTACAGCAGGTCAAGCAGATGATCGGCCGTGAGCTATCCGTCTTGTTGATACCTGTGGAGTGCCAAGTACGACTGTCCAGCAGGAGGCATGAGCCAGCCGGTGCTGCTGCAGGTATCGAGCCTCCCTATTCAGCGTAATTTAGTCAGCAATTCATTCTTTCGGGGCGTCTTTGAAAACAAAGCTAGATAATAAGAAGGCTAGGACTAGAAGGGCCTTTACGCACGATGTCGCGTATGTGCTCGGGGCCACGTTCTTGATGTGTGACCCAGGGTAAATGCGGGTGGCGCCCTTCTCATCGGTGACGTCGGTCAGATACCAGAACGTCGTCAAAAGGTAAGGGTGATTGGTCGTATTGGGTGTCATGTCCATCTGATCTGTATGCATGTAAATCCCGGATGTGGACCTCGGCGCCACGATGTTTGCGGTCATGGCGAAGAGGCCGAATTCCCTACCAAGGAACCAAGGCATGACTGTGTCGATCAAGGGATGGTTTAGAAGGTCCAGGAACTCGTCTCCTTTGTTGACCAAATTCCTTATTTCATTACATTAGCAGTGACAACGCGTATGACAATCTGAGAAGTTAATAACGGGGATGCAGGACATGCTTACCACACGCGCTGATCGGGCTCGTCGTCGGCAGATTTATGGGAATTTGCCATGTGAGCTATGCCGGCCTGTTTTTCTCCCGCTGCTTGTTCTTCTAGTGCAGTCTTGATCACTTTTACTTCGTCCGCTGTGAGGGCGTTGGCGACGAATGCGTAGCCCCATTTCTCAAGATCACTCTTGATTTGCTGGATATCTTCGGACAGCTTTGGCAGGCTCTCAGCATCTAACTCTTCGCTGCTTCCCACTGGTGCTGGAGGACCCTGTACGGAGAAGCGACTGGCAAATGCACCAGGGCAGGGAGGCCGAGCGTAGAGCCTGAATGCTTGCTGAGGGTTGATGCGGCCTTCCATAACATCAAGCACATATTCAGGCTTAATGGTACTCGCAAGGTCTGGTTGGGTGTTTTCAGGCAGTATTTCAAGGATAGTGGCTCGATTCGACCGGGAATCAATAATAATCGAATACAGTGGCTGCTCCTGGGTGTCGTCTGCGAAGGAGAGCTCTACAAGCATGTTCAGTCCATCAAAAGCCTAATATACAAATTGGTCAGTCATAAGGAATACTGCAGTCGGACTACAGAGGTCTATTTTTACCGCCAGTCTCTGTTTAATTAGTTCACAAACACGCGAAACATGGTTCGTAAACAGTTGCGATTTATCGAGCTTTGATACATCATATGGCTTGTCGTGGAATCGCAGGCTTCGGGTACGATTTGAAGACGGCTGTGGCAAGCTGTAAGAAGCCATTGTGGAAGACAGAAGTAAAGAACTCTCTGTACCAGTGTAGCTTTTCCCAGCAGACAAGCGGCACTTGAGGAGTTCGTAGAAGCACAGGTGCAGAACGTGGGTGTGTTGACATATCCGTCCCAGAAAACCGACTTCTAGTCATGTGCACAATGCCCTTCCCCGATAATCTCCAACTAGCAACAAGACTCCAAAAGGTTTTTCGGCTATAGAGCTATTAAACTTTCCCATAGAAAGGCATACCACGTCATCTACCCCAGACCTTAATACAGCGGCAAACAAATCGAAAGAAAAGGTTTCCACATGCACCACCGAAAGTCTCTAAACCTTCATACTTCCAGGCAACGGATGTTAAAGATGCAGGCACTGCTCCTCGCTTGCAGATGCTTTTTAGGCGCGCGTTTTGGAATTTCCGATTGTGTTGAATATTGTACATTTTGAACCAAGGGCGCGATTGGCAACTCTAACAACTACTCTTGGTTTAGGATCCAGACAGCTCCGGCCACAAGTGCCGCAAAACTTTGATTGTGTCATAGCAGTCCCAAATGGCTGACTACAACATTGTTTCAGTTTGTTCTTGCAGGATCCGGAGTACGGCCATGTACGTTAAGGAAATGTAACTTCTCTACAAACGGTTCTGGTCTCCCACCGAACCAATAACAGTCGTTGGAGTTACCACCGAAGTCAGCGTTAACAGCTACACCACAGAGACCATACAGACTTCACCCCTACATGTACTCATTTAGGGTGAAATATTTCCTGTTTAAGTAGTGTACGACGTACAAGCTGTATTTTGGAATTGCCGATGACTCGATGACACCTCAAACGTAATTTTGAATTGTCGGTCCGAATGCAAGAACCGGCCCAGGAAAGTTAAAACAAACACTCTCAAGATTTGATTTCAACCGGCAGAAGCATCATGATCACGAGAGCTGTATATTTGACAACATTCAATTATAATTTGGACCTAATATTTAGGTGCTCAGAAGTATGGTCCGCTAAGCACCACGAAATCAGCACCCATGAAACCGGAGCCAAGACTTGGATATAGCGATATGCTTGTATTACAAAAGTGAACTCACAAATGCCGAGCGGAAATCGCGCCTAAGATCTTTATGATAGCTCGAATGTATATACTACGCATTGTAGCACCCTATGAAGTAACTAGAGTCGAGCCGTGACTACGTAAGTGCCTCAACACAAGTAGATGACCATCGCTCGACGTTAGGTATTCTAACTCGTCAACGGCCCATCACTCTTCTCACCACACGATATAAACGTAGCTATAGTGAACATTCTGTGTTCTGATTTATACTTGCTAGGGGCAAGCTCATTTCGTCTCGATCAAATCCGGTATTTTAAGATTATCTTCGTGATCGGTCATGAACAGTTGGTCCTCTGCTAAACAGCCAACATAGCTAGCTCTCAGACTATTCTCGTCATTTGGTGATATCAAGATGTTCGACCGCGAGCCCATCGCTATTGTCGGGAGTGCGTGTCGCTTTGCCGGTGGTCTAGACAGTCCATCCAAATTCTGGAAGTTCCTCCAGCAGCCTGGAGACCTTCAGAGTACGGTTCTCAAGCAGCGTTTCAGCGCTGACAAGTTCTTCCACCCCGATGGCATGCACCATGGCAGTACAAACACAAGATATGGGTATTTCTTCAATGAACCTCTCGGTGCTTTTGATGCGCCGTTCTTCAACATCCAGGCGGGCGAGGCCGAAAGCATGGACCCACAGCAGCGCCTCCTTTTGGAAGCGACATATGATGCACTCTCCTCGGCCGGGCTAGTTCAAGATCTTCAAGGGTCTGATACAGCTGTCTACGTTGGGCTCATGACGCACGACTTTGAAACAATCAAAACACAGGACATTCATCATATGCCAACTTATTTCGCCACGGGCGTTGCCGCAAGCATTGCCTCAAACCGATTGTCGTATGTTTTCGACTGGCATGGTCCTAGTGTAAGTTTCTCTGTCCATCTCATTACCATTGAATACAACGGCTTATCCTGACGTCGCGCCCTCAGATGACAATTGATACGGCTTGTAGCTCGTCTCTGGTAGCAGTCCATCATGCACTGCAGCAACTGAGAAGTGGCCAGAGTAAAGTCGCGGTGGCTGCCGGTGCGAATATGATCATATCTCCGCGTATGGAATAACCTAGACACAATCCCTTGACACGGAGTACACGACACTGACTTGAAAATGGGTACCAGTGAGCTATGTTTCAGAGAGCAAACTGAATATGCTCTCCCCAACCGGTCGATCGCGAATGTGGGATGCTGCCGCCGATGGCTATGCGAGAGGAGTCAGTATTCCGGCTGCATACACTCTGCGTCTTGCATCTGCACATCTATTAACTGAACTCACAATAAAAACAGGAAGGCGTTGCGGCTGTCGTTCTCAAGACGCTACGACAAGCTCTGAGTGACGGCGACCACATCGAGAGCATCATCCGCGAGACAGGCGTAAACCAAGACGGCAAGACGACTGGAATTACAATGCCGAGCCACCTGGCACAAGAAGCATTGATTCGAGAGACTTATGCAAGGGCAGGACTCGATTTGAGTCGCACTGATGACCGCCCTCAATTCTTTGAAGCCCACGGTGAGTCGTTGTGGGCTTGATATTACCCACCTAAGGCACTTTGGGACTATTGAACTCACAAATCTCATGAACCAGGGACGGGAACGCCAGCAGGCGACCCTCAAGAAGCCGAGGCTATCGCGAACGCCTTCTTTGGGGACAAGCTGCCCGACACCACGCAGCCCCAGAATCTGCTGGTCGGTAGTGTGAAAACGGTGATCGGCCATACAGAAGGGACCGCTGGACTAGCCGGCGTGCTGAAAGCTTCCTTTGCGGTCCAGCATGGTGTGATTCCTCCAAACCTACATTTTGAAAAGCTCAGCCCTGCTGTACAGCCCTTCTACCATCACCTCCGTATCCCCACGGAAGTGCAATGTTGGCCCCAGGTTGGACCGGGTCACCCTCGCCGAGCCAGCGTGAACTCGTTTGGTGAGTTGCGAAAACTATCATCCATACATATGTAGCGACTCGAAAGGCTGACGAAGTCGGTATATGTACACAGGTTTCGGTGGAACAAACGCACACTGCATCATCGAAGAGTATGTGGGGCCCAGTGACGTAGAGAAGCAGCCCTCAAGTACTACGTACGGCATGCCTCTCGTCTTGTCAGCCAAGTCGCAGCGTTCTCTCAAAGAAAACATGGACGCGATGCTCCGATTCCTCATGTTAAATCCAAACATTGACATAGCAGATCTAGCTTGGACATTGACGCGCAAGCAGGCCGTGCTGCCCGTTCGTCACGCAATCTCAAGCCACACGCGCGAGGGCGCCTGTCTCGCACTTGAGGCGGCCATCAAGGACAACTTGGGCTTAGACTTCAGCTCCAATCGTAGCAACAAGGGCCAACCCCAGATTCTGGGCATCTTTACTGGACAGGGTGTTCAGTGGCCGGGCATGGGCAGGTCGCTTCTGGCCTCCATCCCTTGGACGCGAGACATCATTGATGAGTTGGATATCTCCTTGCAGACGCTTCCAGCAGATTACCGTCCCGCGTGGACGCTCCGGGAACAGCTGTCTTGTGAAGGGGACGAGTCCAATGCGGCGGAGGCGAGCTTCTCACAGCCACTCTGCGCTGCCGTTCAGCTCGTGCTGATCAGGCTGCTCGAGGCTGCGGGCATCAAGTTCACGGCTATTGTCGGTCATAGTTCAGGAGAGATTGCCTGCGCGGCTGCTGCAGGATACATCACGCCTTCTCAGGCCATCCGCGTCGCTTACTTGCGTGGACTAGCAGTCACCAAGTCCCACGCCGGATCTCTCAGCGGCGCCCGGGGCGCAATGCTCGCGGCTGAGATCACACACAAAGACGCCAAAGAGCTGTGCGGCATTGAGGAGTTTGAAGAACGGATCTGCGTTGCTGCATATAACGCGCCCACCAGCGTGACGTTGTCTGGTGATGCCGATGGTCAGTGTGCCTCTCTCCCTCCACGTGTATCGTTCCCCGTATGCGTGTCCATGGACCTGACCATGTCTGGGCCGAGCTAACCATCTCCGTATATATCAGCCTTGCAACATGTCGAGGCCATCCTCAAGGACGAAGGTAAATTCGCGAGATTCCTGCGCGTCGACAAAGCCTACCACTCTCACCATATGGCCCCGTGTAGCGACACATACACCAAAGCCCTTAGAGACTCTGACTATGCCGTCAACGCCGACTCCAAGTCGTCCGCATCGAGCTCGCCTGTTGCATGGTACTCGTCCGTATACGAGGGGAGGCTCTTGAAACGTACAGACATCACAGCAGAGTACTGGACAGCGAATCTCGTCTCCCCAGTGCTCTTCTCGCAGGCTGTCGAGCGTGCTGTGGGCGACCACAATGTCGCCTGTGGTGTCGAAGTGGGTGCCCATCCTGCTCTGAAGCGACCTGCTACTGCAACCATCCATGCCATTTCCAGCACGGATCTGCCGTACACAGGGTGCATGAAACGAGGTCAGGACGATACGGATGCGTTCGCGGAAGCATTGGCCTATCTCTGGGAACGATTTGCCAACTTCAACATACTCGACGCTGACCGCTTTATGAGAACCGTGTCACCTTCAATGAGGTCTCCTCGCAGCCTCACCAAGATCATTCCAAGGTATTCATGGGACCATACGCGAACACATTGGACGGAAACACGTGCTGTAAAAGCTTTTCTTGCCGGGCCAGCCCCCCATCTCCTCCTGGGATCCCTTCTTCCGACGACCACCGACTCGACGTTCCAATGGCAATCTTTCATCAAGCCCCGGGACGACAAATGGCTTGAGGGCCATGACCTTCAAGGCCAACCTATCCTCCCCGCCGCCGGCTATGTCGTGATGGCCATGGAAGCAGCGCTGCACGTAGCAAGGGAGCGTGTTACGCAAGATGTGGACGTCACTATTCTCGAAGTACTGGATCTGAGCATCGACAAGGCTATCTCATTTGACGACAAGAACAGCATGGCTGAGGTGCTTGTCACGCTTAAAGTGATACACCAAGATGTTGAGCAGCTGTCGGTGGAATTTCGTATCGACTCTGCTCTTGACAGAGAAAGAAAACCATCCACTTCGGCCACTGGCCGCGTCGTCGCCACGTTTGGCCCTACCTTGACCTGCTTGCCGCAACGAGGCCTGGATAAGCCATTACACCCCAACAACATCGACATCAACAGCTTCTACAAAGAACTTCAATTCCTGGGCCTCGACTATACAAATAAGTACCATGGTGTCCACGAATTGCGACGAGCAGACGGCAGAGCTACGGGACGGCTCTCGCATTACCGACTTTCAAACAGTTCCTTGAGGGAGATAATTCTTCACCCAGCCACGCTGGATACAGCTTTTCAGGCCATCATGGGCGCCTTTTCATACCCTGGTGACAAAGCTTTGAGGTCCACGGTTGTTCCCGTGCACATTGACAGAATTGCCTTGGTCCCTGGAGCTTGCGCCTCCGCATTGCGCTATTGTGATGAAGCCAGTGTACTATTCAGCGCTACATGCTCGTCCTTCAAAGACTCGATCCTTGCTGGAGATGTCGAAGTTTTTGATGACAGCTCCGCTGTTCTTTTTCAAGTGGAGAATATCGTTCTTCAGCCACTTTACAGACCAGAGCCGTCCTCTGATCATCTCATGTTCACCAAAACAGTGTGGGGCCCGTATTCACCAGATCGCATCCTAGATCGTCCAGAATTTTGGGCTACTGATGAGGATAAGCGCATGATACCTGTCATTGAGCGCATTGTATACCACTACGTGAAGAACTTTTTAAAAAAGCTCACACGGGAGGACCGCCGGAATGCAAGTCCCGGACTGCAGAAATACATTCATTGGAACGAGCAGGTGCTGGCAAAGGCTCGAAAGTGGAAGACCACTTTCTATGAGACAAATTGGGAGATGGACACAATGACTGACATTAAAAAGCTTTGTGAGGAGTAAGTTTGACTTTTCCCAGTCGTAAGAGTGCGCGCGCAGCGAAGCACATCTCGCAAGCGGAGTCTAACACCAAAATGCAGGAATCGGTATCACCCCTACGTGCGCCTCATCAAGAGGGTCAGCGAAAATGTGATTTCCACTATTCGCGACAATACGAATCCTTTTCTTTGGATGAACGCGGATGGGCTGCTCAGCGAATTCTATGCCAGTCCTCTCAGCAATGGGCCGTGTTGGAATTATGGCCAAGATCTTGTTGGCCAAATTTGCCATCGTTTCCCCAACATGAACATCCTTGAAATTGGTAGGGTGCACCTGGCTAGTCATCTTTTAAACCGATTACTCAACGATTCCACATACTGACGCTCAAACCAATATGTAGGCGGCGGCACGGGCTCAGCTACGCGTTACATTCTTGAAATTCCCCAGCTGGGTTTCAATAGCTACACCTTTACGGACATCTCAGCATCCTTCTTTGATAAGGCGCGTGAGGTCTTCTCCCAGTACAAAGACCGCATGGACTTCCGGAAGCTCGACATCACTCAAGATCCAGCAAGTACCTCCCGTTTCATTCTCCATGTCGTTTCTACCAGATAAGAAGCAGGTGTTTTGCTCTTTTAGGTATCAAGATATAGCTGCTAACAGCGCTTGAGCTAATAGGTGCAGCAAGGCTTCACACCACACTCGTATGACCTGGTTGTCGCCTCATCTGTTCTCCACGCAACACCACATCTCGTGGAGACTATGACGAACGTAAGGTCTCTGCTCAAGCCGGGGGGGCACGTTGTCATCGCAGAAGCTACGTTCAAGGAGTATTTGCGCACAAGCTACATCTTCGGACTCTTCCCCGATTGGTGGTCCGGGTACGAGGACGGCCGTATCCTCGACCCTTTTGCATCATACGAGGAGTGGGACATTATCCTGAAGCGAGCTGGGTTTTCAGGAATCGACAGCCGCACTTCTGATCGCGAAAGCTGGGTTTTTCAAAATTCGCTGTTCAGTGCGCACGCCATAAACTCCAAGGTGCAGCGGCTAGACAGCCCGCTTCTCGCGGTGCCTAGTCTACAAGATAACGGGGCGGACATGCCGCAGCTAATTCTCGTTGGTGGCTGCTCTGGCCGATCGTCAGCCTTGCTGGACAAACTTCAAGACAAATTGGCCTACCGGCGAATCCTACGTTTTGACTGCTTGGAAACTGTGGTCAAACAGTCAGCGCGGTTGGAGATGGGGTCTAGTTTCGTCGTGGTATCGGAGCTTGATGAGGAAATGTTCGACGATCTTGACGATGTCAAGCTCGAAACTGTTAAGTCGCTTTTGTCTGGTGACTACGCCAAGATCGTCGTCTGGATCACGGAGGCGGCTTTTACGCACAATCCTCGCCAGGCTATGACCATTGGTCTCCTCCGGACGATACAGCTCGAGAATCCGCAGATTCACGTCCAGAATATCGACATGGACAACACTGAACATTCAGACTATCCCATACTCATCGTCGAGCACCTTATTCAGCTTGAAGAGATGACCAAATCACCCGAGGACAGCAGTAGTTTGTTATGGACCCATGAACCCGAGATTTACCTCGTCGACGGACGTGCTTGGATACCTCGCGTCAAGCACGACACAGCGCGCAACAACCGCTTGAACTCTGCACGCCGTGTTATTCTCGCGGATGCCCAGCCAGATCATACTCCCATACGCCTCCGTCTAGCTGCGAATGGCGCGTCTTCGTATTTTGAGTTCATGGACACGATGATCAGCCCTTACTCATCATCTGCGCAATCCTCATTCTCGAGTCTGCATGGTGATCTGGTTCAAGTCCGGGTTCACTTTGCTCTCACCGGGGCCATTCGCGTTGGCACTCTGGGCTTCTTCCACCTGTGCCAGGGTATTGCTACAGAAACCAAAACACCCGTGGTAGTGCTGGCAGATAGCAACGCTTCCGTCGTCCATATCCCAGCCAGCTGTGTCTTTACTTTACCGTCTGGAGACAAATGTATTTTGCTCCACGTTGTGGCTTCTATCATAAGTCAAGGAGTTCTGAGCAGCGCGGTCCCTGGTACCAGTGTACTCGTGTTTGATGCACCGCGGTTCTGTGTGGATGCCATTGCAAAACAAGCCAAGGAGAAGAATGCCCAGATTCGCTTTGCTACCAGCCAAAAACCAACTGGGATAGAGCTCAGCTCAACTTTCTCATCGACTCACCTAGATTCATGGGTATCGGAAAGGGCGCTCAAGAAAATGATCACTACGACAGCGTCTATCTATTGCGATTTTTCACCTGCGACCGAGAACAAAACCGTTACCCTCGGCCGTCGCCTGGCCAAGATACAACCACCACATTGTGCAAAGTACTGCCTTGCTCACTTTTTCGCAGAACGTGGGTCCGCCACGTTGTATGGAGATGCTCACTGTCGTGACTTTGCTATGGCTGTTGAGCAGGCTGTTCTCGCATCCTCAGGAGCTACCAGTGATCACATCATGGGAGGGACAGCAATCATCAAGGTTGCTGATATACAGCACCACAAAGCCCCCATGGACCTCGCCACCATTGTTGACTGGAGGCACGATGGCAAAATTCAAGCCCGGCTTCGTCCTATTGACGCGGGGAGCTTGCTCGCTCCAGACAAGACCTACCTTCTTGCGGGACTTGCCAAAACGATGGGCCGATCATTGGCCCGATGGATTGTTTCACATGGTGGTCGCTATGTTGTTCTATCTAGTCGTCACCCAGAAGTCCCAGACCGCAGATGGATCGAAGAGATGGAAGATCTTGGCGGTCATGTTACAATTTTACCCATGTGCGTCAAGGCAGCCGCCCACCCGCATTCTGTTCCCAACCCAGACAGCCCCAAATACTGACTGACATGTTCATTATCTAGGGATGTGTCCAACGAGAAAGACGTAGATGCGGGTCTGTCCAAGATTCGCGATACTTTGCCACCAATAGGAGGAATCGCTTATGGCCCTTTGGTCCTCCACGACACGATGCTCCAGAATATGAGCTTGGCGGATATGAATTTGGTGCTGAATTCCAAGGTTGTTGGCGCGCGTCTTCTCCACGAACGATTTTGTGATGCAAACGCAGAAACACAGTTGGAATTCTTCGTCATGTTCTCATCCGGGGCCACTGTGGGCGGCAATCCCGGTCAGAGCAACTATAACGCGGCCAATGCTTATTTGCAAGCCCTCGCACAGCACCGGCGGACAAAGGGACTGACGGTAAGTCAACTTCAACAACCGTCCCATCGCTCTTGTTCTCTTCAACAAAGAAAAGAAGAAAGGGGGGTGGGCAGAGAAGGAAGATGCTAAGAATTTAGGCCTCAACGATCCATGTGGGCGCCGTGATGGGCGTCGGATATCTTGCCCGAACCCATTTTGACGAGCAACTTCTCAAAGTCCACGACATGGGCAAGCTCGCAGAAGGAGATTTCCACACTCTATTTGCCGAAGCCATCGTCTCAGGGCAAGGCGTACTTGGGCAGGACGAGAGCAACTCCATCCGTATGTCCGTTACTGATATGTCCGACATTGAGGTCATAACGGGCTTCCCGGTATTCGAGGCAAAGCACAAAAATTCCTTCAAGTTGTGGGATAACCCTCGATTTGGCCATCTTCGGACACCCGAAAACCAATTAGGTCATGTGGGCCAAGGGTCCTTAGCAAGCAGGGTTTCGATCAAGGACCGACTGCGCGAAGCAGCAACTATGGAAGAGGCCAAAAAGGCTACCATAGGTGAGCCGAACGTCCTAAAACACCCCCATCCTTACTTGATCAGAGAACACAGCTCTAACGTTTGTGGTTTATCAAGATGGGCTCGCCCAGAAGACGCGCGACATCCTCCTTATCCCTGCGGATCAAAGTGTTAATCCCAGTGCCGCACTCCTTGACCAGGGCATAGACTCGCTCGGTGCTGTCGCAGTATCCGGATGGTATGTGAGAGAGATTCACCCCATCACCAGGGTAGACGCAACCCATCAACTTATACTACTCTTCCCCATTCATCGTCTACGCATCCATTCACGTTTATCAAGCAGTGGCGCTGGGACTTTCAGGTCTGCAAAAACGCCTGTGAAGAACTTGACAGCCCACAAACCTGCGACATGAGCATATCACATGGCTGACATTTCGTTAATTATAGGTTCTCCCAAGAACTGTTGGTCGATATACCCATTTTGCGAGTGCTCAGTGGTGCTTCTCTCGAAGACCTTGCTGAGGAAGCCGTCAAACGCCTTCCACGTGACGCTATACCTCTGATTGCTCCCGACACAGAATGCTGCCAGCCAGAGGCGATGGCAGGGTCCACCAGCCAGAGCACGGCTTCGAGCAGCGCAGACTTATCATTGTCATTTGATAAGCTGGCAGTGGATTCTTTCGGGAGCAGCGTGACCTCGTACGCAAGCGGCGAAGATCAAGCCAGCGCAACGACCTTGCGTCGGCATCCCCTGTCGCTAGGGCAGGCGTACTCATGGAAACTGCAACAGCAGCTCTCGTACGATCGTACCATCTTCCATAACACTATCGCCTACCTGTTCGAAGGCTACATAGATTTGCAACGACTCGGCACTGCCGTGGACGAAGTGCTACGCAGGCACGAGATTCTTCGCACTGCGTTTCTCACTGACCTCGAGCCCAATAAGGGCGATGGTCTAGGCCAAGTTATACTGGAGACACCAACATTGAGTTTGAATTGCACAACGGTCGCTAATCAAGCCGTGGCCGAGGAGGCTTTGAAGCAGCTGCACGAGGAGGCTTACGACCTTGAGTCTGGCAGGCCATTCAAAATTGTCGATTTCCACTGGTCGTCAGCCCATCATCATCTTCTCGTGATCGCCTATCATCGGCTCGCTGGGGACGGCGCGACCACATCTGTGCTCCTCTCTGAGATCTCTGCCGTCTACAACGGCGCGGTACTCCCTATCACTGTTCCACAGTTCTCCAAGATTGCTAACAAGCAGCGCGCCGACTATGAGCAGGGACGGTTGGATTCTGACATCGCCTACTGGATTACCCAGTACAAGAACAACGTGGTGCCCATCACGCCCGTTCTTAGCCTCCCACATTGCCAGCACTCCGACAGGAGCAATAGCCCCCCATTATCTTGGTCTCAACACACAGGCGTCTTCCGCCTCAACTCGGCCGTCTCCGCACAAGTCAATGAGGCGGTGCGGCGGCAAAAGGTCCCGCGCATGCAGTTTTTCATGACAGTCTACGCTGCACTCCTGGCCCAATTAACGAACAAGACGAGCATTGGTGAGACCGAAGCCACCAAGAGCGACGACGACGACGACGACGACGACACAAGAATGATAACCATTGGAGTCGCAGACATGAACCGCGCTACGGTGGAGGAGATAGCCGCGATGGGCTTCTTTGCCAATTTGTTGCCTGTACGCATAGAGACAAGAGAAAGAGGAGGCAGATCATCGTTGAGTCCTATCCAACAGCTCGGTGTCGTCAAGAAGGCGATGCGCGGGGCAATGCAGCACGCGCGCGTACCGTACAGTGTGTTGCTGGAGCGGTTGCCAGTGGTCCCGAGTCCCGAAGTACTTGCCAAAGACTGGCCGCATGCGCCACTATTCCAGGCTGTGTTCGACTACGCTGGGGGTGAGGTTGAGAGCGTTCGCATTGGCAACGCAGTCATCACAGAGCAAGGCGGCTTGCAGGCTTCTGAGCTTGTTTCGCGCGAACGAACGCCGTATGACGTGGTGCTTGAAATTTGGGACGATGCAAAGCGCGATCCACTGGTGATTGTAAAGTTGCAGTCTTCTCTTTATGGTTCCAAGGACGTTGCCGTTTTCCACAATGCATTCGTTGAGCTTTTGACAACATACTCGACGGATCTGATGGTACTGTAAAGCATGATGAGTCTTCGTAATGGACTATTAGGTTCTTTGGGCCGTGGAAGATGCGACGGGCATACGGACGGATGTGTTAGCAGATTGTTCCAAACAAAATGGGATATAGTTTCCCTCTACCGCTTATTCTGACCATGATACAACGCTATTGCTGATTCCAGGTCCTCCAAGCTCGACTTGTCCCCACATGTATTTATTAACACTGAAGCCTGCCGCCTCCTCTCCAGCTCTATTCGTTCTCATTTTACCGACTTTGTATGGTGCTTCTTGGTCTAGGAATACTTCATGTAGAGGCTTGGTATGCATAAATACGTATGTTAGTTTTGATAAACGCTCGAGGTTTTCTGGAGGTTTTTGGCCTCGTAAGTAAATCGGACCTATACTACCGAATGCTAAGACCGTGGGAACCCTATAGACAAAACAACATATTCGTGTTAGCTCGACGAGTGGCAACGACTGATAGACCGGCCATTGGTGGGATGGGTGGATGAATGCAAGTTGTGGCCAAAAATGCGTGCCTGGCTCCTGTGTTGAACATGGCGAAAATGCGAATTTGTGAGAATTTTGCAAAGAGTAGTTCGAGACAGGACTAGTGGTTAGCAGCTATTTTCAAGTATTTCGAAAGCTTGTTGATTCATTTTACAGTGTTCGTACATCAAAAGTGTATATCTTGCACTGGAAATTGGAGCATGGACTCAAAAATGAAACGATTTTCGGCAGGCGCACAAACGATGGATATATGAATATATGAAGTTGTGAAGTCCACGACCACAGAATCAGTTCATAATTGTTGACCCTATTTTCAGTTCGAGACTTCCAAGATACTGAATGAGCCCAGTGAGAATGTCGCACTAGAACTACAGGAAGAAATGCATAAGGAAGGCCCTCCCATGAAGTGACAAGCTGTCTTCAACCATGCTAGCGGAGCGTCATCAACATTGTCGTTGGGCCGATTTCACTTACAAGAGGACGAACAAGTCCATCAAATACCTTCAACACCAAAGCATAAAAGCAGAAATTTGTTCCTTTCCCAGAGAACTGCTCAGTCATCATCAATACCGAAAGTCTCACAAACTGGTCGATCATATCAAAAAGCAATCCTCAAACCTTTTTACTAATCTTACCCCTCATACCTCATGTTATTTTCCACTCTCACTACAGCCAGTTGTTTCCTCGCCCCTGAGGCCATTAAGAAGAGGCATTTATAAGCATATTAATCAATTCCAAAAACTGTTAACTATATACTTTATATTTTATATATAACATAATAAAGATTCTTATTTAGTTCAGCTTAATAAATAATAATAAGAATTTATTTTATATAATAATAAAATAAAAGTTATTTTTTTATTTACTTAATTTAACTTAATAAGTAATAATAAGTAGAATTAAGGCTTTTTAATATAAAAGACTTTTTAGTATAACCCTTTAAGTATCCCTAAGGATTTCTTGCCTTATATAAAGTATAAGACTACTTAGTAGCTTAGCTATAAAACCTAAGTCTTATCTCTTTACTTTTACTAATCTATAATTATATAAAATAATTATATAAATTACTAAGTAACTACTAATTAATATTAAAAAAATTTTTTTTAAAAGAACCTATTTATATAATTATACTTAAATTAAAAGTTAAAGTAAACTAAAAATATATTTTTTATAATTATCTTCTTACATAGTTATAAGACTTAGCTTTTATATATAAGATATATGATCTTATACGTCCCTAAGTCAGTTTAGTATAAATATACTTTTAATCCCCTTAATAGATAACCGAGAGCCAAATATCCAGTCTGTGCCCTCTGCTATGATGTGTGTCCCTGAGTCGTGCGTATCGTATAACCAGCTGGTGCTGTTATTCCAACAGTCTTTATATGCAACTGAAGCAGCTCAGATCATATGCACGCCGGCGAACCTTCTGATGCCTTGGTCAGAAAGTGACGAGAAAATGGTAGCATTCATTAACTTTCTAGTGTAGATGAGTGTTCTTGTAGCAGATGCAGAATGTTGTGAAAGTTGAAGATAGTTTGTTGCGCGGCGACAACAGCACTAATAACATTCATTGTTACATCTCGATCTAAATGTGGTAGTGGAAGGGCGAACGGATTGTGAAATGGTGTGGGAGTTGAGGCGCTGACTGCGAGTTTTCAATCGATTTTCAAAGGCATTCTGAGGTATTAAAATTTACCGTTGTAAATGACTGATTACATTTGGGTTACCAAAAAGTTCATTGGCAGCTTGAAATGCTTTGACAACATCAGAGGAGTTCGCGATGTCGCCCGAAATGTTCACTTGATTGTCCTTCTCATCTTCCTCGTCCACTGATCACGCAGCGAGGGCAACCTTGTAGCTTTTGGAGGCAAAGGTCCGAGCGACTGCGTGGCCAATATTTGGTCCGATTCTAAGGATGAGGAGGAATAGGAAATTGGCAGATATGACTTTGAGTGCAGTATGAGGTCAGAGTATCTGGATGTAAGTAGCAAACCTGCTGTCTGTTATATATGTAGGCAACTAAATCACGGCCGACTGGCCTTCAGAGAGGTTGAATGTCACATTAGTCAAACTCCTGGACTCACAATAGTCTTGCATGTTGAACCATTGATTTATCAAAAAAAAAATTCGTTTATAATGGTCGTTGCGGGCTTCATCGTTATTACTCTGGGCCTGGATTTCAAAGCAAACCATTGGAATGACCCGTCATACTATAGATAGGCGGTGCGTCACGCGATGCTGGATAGCTTAACTTACCAGACCTCAAGATCCAACACCGGTTTCCCAGCGATTTATCTTGTACAGTCAATAATAGCGCTCTTTATAAACAAGCAAGACGAACAAATAACACAGTTTTTTCTTTTTCAAAAAAAAATTTCGTACGCCATTTTCAGGAAACGCAAGATTCTTTTATGCTGCCAGTTTTTTCTTTTCTCCTTTAGGTATAGGTTTTCTCTTGTGTACTAAAAACATGTGTCTCTTGCTAACTTAGTGTCAGAGGCGTCTGGCATCAGAGTGAAAAAGTCAATGATAAGGCCACTTAACGGTCAGGTAGGTATTGTAACATCATTTGAATCTGGCCTGCTTATACGTGGCCCAACAATAGGGTTTTCTCCCTCATCCGGCTGACTGACAGGGGCCCACCGGCATACCCCCCGTGGGTCCTTGGCACGTGGCCTGGTTTGCGTATAAAGTCAATTCTCTGCCCGAAACTCCGCCTGAACATTCGGTCTAATTTATTGCAACCAATTTTCTTAGGTTTTGCTGTTCTAACCAGTATTATTACATGACCGTACAGTTTGACTGTCTGAGAGAAAGGTCGAAGCCTTGTTGCCTAGGTGCCGCAGTGACTTCAAGCCCGATGATCTTCTTCGATCTTTCTTTAGTAACCCCGCGCTGACTACCCCGAGTCCCAATCTCGCGCATTAGTCTCATATCACCACTCATTGCAGCATCATAGATCGCATCCCTCCCGTTCCAACCCGGGCAAAACCACATCTTCACCTCCGGGTCAAATCCACAAGCCACGACGCCGTCTAAGCTTCCGTTAGCCGTCAACCGAAGGTAGATGTACCCGGCGAAGCTACTCTCCCCATCCGTGATAAACATCAGCCTCTGTGGGTTCCACATCCTTGCTGGGACGGCGGATATGATCTCGATGGATGAGGACAAGATATGAAACCTTATGGCGCCATGGGTGACGGACCTCATCTGCGTAGCTATTTGAGTAGCTGATTCCGTCTCTACATGTTTCTTGATGTAGATTGTGTGCGAAGTTTGAGGTGAGTTTTGTACGAGCTTGACGAGTGTGTACGACTTCGCACGGAGGAAGACGCTGCCGCCTTGATCTTCAAGGTAAAGTCCGATTTCATTCCGTGAGGCATCGCCGGAATGATGGCATCCGAGGCCGAGGATTTGGGTGTTATTTTCCGCCATTGTTGTTTCGGCCACTATGCGCAAACCTTTATTCGTCATGGCATACTGTTTTGGGAACCAGTCAGCTCCGCGATAAGCACCATTGCCCACTCATAGAATGAAAAGCTCAAAAATCAGGTGCACCTACTTCGGGGTTATACTTTGTATCTCGACTCAACTCTAATTTACCCGAATTTTTGAACTCATGAGGCGAGCTGGCTAGAATACCGCGATACCCCGGCTGGTCTTGCGCCCCTAACTGTTCGGAGGAGCACATCCACGCAAAGAGACTGAGATCATTCGTTTCCTTGATGATTTCCTCCTGGAGACGCATAAAGGCATTGCTTCCCTCGCCATACAACATGGGCATGTTGACGCCAAAAATGCCAAGCAAGCTGTAAGCGCGATCTTCCTCTCGAGTCGTGACCCGTGTTGCTGCCCAAGACATTCGAACTGCCACCGGGATACTTGAGAGAAGTATCCCAATACTTGGTCCCGGAGCAGAGCCATGGAGAAGAACTTTCTCGCTGATGCCAGTTCGGGCATGAATCACATCGCAGAGTTGGACAACAGTACCAATAGGGTCCCAATCTCTATCGAAAAAAAGAATCTCCCTTGGAGCGACGAGCTCTTGCAATGTCCAACCGCGGGTAAACCAAAGAGACTCTGCAAAGGGCTGATTTGTTCCTACATCGGACAAGAAAGCGTAGCAAGCTGATGCGTTGGCATACCACTTGAACATAGAGTTTATGGCCTCGGAGAGTTCTGCGCTTGAAGTCTTGTCTATGCAGCAGGTATCGACCCAGGCGTAGTTGTGGCCACGCTCAAGCGCGATGCGGCAGGTCTGGCGGATCTTGACCCATCCGCTCTTCTGGGCCAGTGTCATGTGATTGTTCATTACATCTTGGTAAGTAACTTCGTCGGCTTCCCATCGATGGGATAAAACGACATAGGATTTGGGTACTGAGGAGCCGAAGAACTCCTCGATCTTCAGGGTGGAACAATTAAGGAGCTTCATCAAGCTACAGGTGCGTAGGTTGTCAATCTGGAACAGATTCTGTGAACAAGTTGTAATCACATAGCCGCAACAAATTCTCATGTCGAGAGAATGCGTGGTCCAGACAGCTGATGGAACGCAAACGCACTTAATCTACTTTGCCGCAGGCGAGCCTATCAGAGCCCAAGGGTTCAGTTGTTGCCTAGCGATAATGTGGACTGGTGTAACCGTTCTTTTTCGTATGAGCCAATCACAAAGCAGACTCTATTACCACTCTTTGGAACATATTATGTAAGGGATAAGGCGAAGTAACCGCCCAAGGAGACACAGGGCCATTAGCTGGGGTGACGGGATGAACGACTTGTAAGTCACGTGATAGCAGGGTGATACTGACAAGGCATTGGTGACCGCTTTCCAGGTGAGTCCTCAATGGAAAGCGTTGTGACAGGACTATCGGAGTATCGTTACAAATTGCGCTTCCTTTTAGATAATAGTTTCTGAGTAAAGAGGAAACCTCTTTTTGGTTTCTCTGATTACATGTCCCCAGCCTTTCCATTTGGATATAAAATTGATGAATCATGCTGGCCAGTTTCTAAATGGTATTTTAATGCCTCTGTAGGCTTCTCCGTAGGTAATTGGATGTTCCAAGGACATGTCTCACAGACAATGTCCTAAGCTCTGGACATATCAAAAGGTGGCCTTGGCATCCGTTACATCATCTGCGATGATGAGGAGCCAGAACTCGGACTCAATTAGCGGTTATGGAAAGGATATGATGCTGGGTTGGCTAAGAGCCATAGTACTGCGGGATGAGGACTAATGGTGTAGCAACAAACTATTGTTAACGAGACTTGCTAGAAGCTTGATATTATTTGTCAAGCTAGGCTGGGAACTTTTGAATTTCCGGAAGTGGCTCTATTTCTTTACTCTGTGGATTGGCAGGCAGCAGTTCCAGTTGCAAATATGCCAACATCCCAATCTTCGACATTCAGGTCCACATGGCTTAAGTGGCTACTCTTCTCTGGCATACAAGCCAAGACGGGGACATGAAGTTACACCCGGTGCACCAGCATCAACACCCACTGACATCCCTCTCCCCAAGGTGAAGCCCATTTTCATCTCCCCTCGCTACTCAATTCTCACCTAACTTTACTCGGCCACGCTACCTACTATAGCAACAAATCAAATTTCGATATCCTACGTTTCTGAACAACAAAAAACCGACCACGTTCAACCAAGTGTGTACCCAAGCTTTCCACGTCTTCTCCAAAGTTCCAAAACTCAGTTTATGATTTTGCCTTTCACGTCAATCCTGCCACTCACTTTGTCGCGGTCGAAAAGGGCCACTTTCACAAACAGGGCAGGAAGATAGGACGCGCAAGCTTGACCCCCAAGAAAAGTGCCCGCAGTCTCGTCCCGCCCCGCGACGTGCGGCGTGAAACCACCCGTGCCCAAGTTAATTTTGGTCTGACGTGCGTCTTAAAAAGCTTTTCTTCACCACTGGGAGTTTTTGAAGTCCCGGGCGCGCACTTGAATTCTACACAGTCGATGAGGATGGCCGGAGTGGTGTCTTCTAAGCCATGATACGGCGCAGCATGGACGGCAAGACTCGCTATTGTGTAGGCACTGCAGATATCTGGAACCAGAAGTTGCTCATACTCTGTCAAACATGGTGAACAACACGTGGAACCTTCTTGTTATATACAAGAGCTGGGCATGTGTTTCCGGAGACATGCGCAGCTCACAGAGCTTAATTGCTATAGGCTGTTTATTCAAAGTGCGCAATACATTGCTCTACCTTGCCGGTCTCGGGGAGGATGACGGCATCTTGCAATTATTTATTTTTAGTGTTACCTTCACGGATTGTGTCAGAACACCGTTCAACCATGTGACTTTGACGAAGCCTCACGTATCGGTTCAACAACACCAGAGTCCAACAGGGCCCAAATTCTCATTTTGGAAATACTGTTCGAGAGGCTGGTAGGTTCTGACCAGCTTCTCGTCACAGGAATCCTGGTTAATTCTGGTTTCAGAAATGGGGGGATTTTTTTGTTGACGGGGAGGAGGCAGGAAAAGAAATAGCTTCTTCTGATGCTACTCTTTTGAGTAAGCTCGCAAAAGAACTCATAGAAATATAGAAGTACAACGAAATTGTTGGTAAGGGATGCAAAACTAAAGCCCATAAGCAGAGGCACAAGGTGCCCCGGGTGCGCAAAGGGCTCAGTCAGAGGACGAAAGAGAGCAAAAGATCGCTCATTGAATTGGGTGTAAAACGGCTTCAAATAGAAGCTTTGGGAATAGTTCTGATTTTACGATCTGTTGTAAGTAAAGACGAACCCCTGCATGTAGAGTAAAGAGAAAAAAGCCTAAACAGTAATTAAAACTTAACATATTAATGCACGGGGCCTTGGGATAGAGGGGTTATCGATAGATTAGATCATTGAAGATTGAATTGGTCTCTTCAACAGGGAGCTATTTCGCAACTCTGACCTCAGATCAGAGGGTCAGGTTGATAAAGGTGCCGAAGAAGGATATAGAGTCTCAGTTGTAATTGACATAGTTACTCTGCTTGAATGTCCAGTGATATGGTATCGCTGAGAGCCTGTCGTACGCAGTAGGGTCATGAGGTTGAAAGTGGCTTGTATTCTCTATGTGTATTTCACCGTGAGGCCGCTTATAAAGTCAGGGGTCGCTGACAAAGCTGGGCAAGATCGCGTGGAAAGTAAGGCGGTCTATCTAGGCAGAATCGACTTACATCACAAGGATATCGTGACATATGGTGGCAGTGTCGACGGCCTCAATCTCAATGTAACCATAGTCTAGACAAAGGGGCTGGGTCTATTTTATCTCAGAGCAGCCTTGCTGGCTAACAGCTGGTACAGGACACAAAACCTTCTTGTTGTCAGTCAGTAATTTAACAGGTCCAGATAAAGGCAGGGGGTCATTGTCATATTATGATTAGTGTGCAGATGAGCAACCACAAGCCGAAGCCGTACGATTATATGACAGGATGAAAATTCCCTCAAAGGCAAAGCTTGGGCGGCCCCGGTCATGCCTGCCTTGAACTATAAGTTCTGTTATACATAATATGAAACTTGCGGTAGCGGATATGCCAGATCAGGCCTGACACTTATCTTATTTTACCTTTTGTCTTTTCTGCCCGAGGTTGTGCTACTGAATCATTGACAAATGCAATACTAAAAGAAAAAGAAGAAGAAAAAAACTAATTGTTTGTCTCAAAGAAACTTGGCGCTTTGGCGCAGCTTCGAGTGGCAGGCAACGCTGTCCTTCAAATATGTCAACTACTGTTTGCTCTAATGAGCTATTGATTATGCGACATATTGGTAACTCGCAGAGTGACAACTATTTTCAGACTAAGCCTTTCATATATTGCCCCAAGACCTTGTCCACGGTCTCAAAGGGCGCGCAACTTGACTGGACTTACCTCATCATGTCACCGTCATAGTCGAGCACCTCATGCTGAAATAGATTTCCTCAACTCACAGATTATGCCAACGATAGCGACAGATGTCCAGATACCAATATCACCAGCCCCTGCCTTCTGCTGAGAGTCATCAATTTGGCCGGAGAGTTCGTCTTCAATTGTTCATGTAAGCTGTTACGGTAGGTGAACTCTTACCATGCCAAACTTCCCTTTATAAGTACCATCTGCGGTGGCCTTTTGAGTCTGTCATTACTACTGGCCCCTAGGCTGACTTCATATTCGACTTGGGTTCTGACCTCATTAAATTTATCCAAGTACATTGGTCTCCAGACTTTTGGGAAATTCAATGAGGCCTTCTCGGTTATCTTTGCATTCACTGGTTAATAAAGAGACGACAACTTATTAGTAGCGCGTCGACTACATTGAGTTTGATGATTGATGAACCTTTGAAACGAGAAAGCGAACTTAGATGTAAGACTATGCTATTTACATTGTCCTCTAATACACAACGAGCTGGCCATTTAACTTCAGTAGCTATGTCGCGTCTGATTATTGCCAATTTATTGCCTAGTTCATATCTCCACTAGTTAACATTTTCGCCACCAGGATATCGCACCATAGCTCAGCTTCCCTTACGCACCCATTTTGATGGTGAATGTTGATAAGATTTCGAATGACTCTAAGAGATCGGTCACTCCCCGACTTGAAATGCTTTTCTGCAAAAATGTATGCTTTGGAGCCACAATCAAGGGCCTCATCGATTAACCCAGTCTCGTAGAACAGACGTCCCATGATCTCGTAATAAGAGAGTTCCAGTTCAATCCAAGGTCTCCCAGGGTCTCTTTTGCCATTTTGCATCAGAGAGTAGGCGCGGGCTAATGCATCTCTTGCTTGGGCATACTGCTGCGCCCATAATTGAACTGCGGCCATCCCCAGAAAAGATTCACAAGATCTCTTATAATCCCCATCTATCAAGTGCATTTCAGCAGCTGAAACATACCTCAATAGAACGTTGTGGAATACGCTTTCTTCAACCTGACCCCGACTGTGAAGTACATTTGTGGTTGAGCTGATAGCTGATTCAACAACTTTCCTTAGATTTTCCAGTTGGCTTTCGAGCGACTGAACACAATGAATAGCCATTATAGTAAGTACCCTTATACGAACCTCCCATGAGAGATGCCTAAACTTGCTCCACACAAGAGTAAGAGGGTGTCGATGTCCGAGGACTGCTATATGCATTCTATAGATAAAACCGACAACAGAATCAGCTAATTTCTGTCCTAGCTGTAAGGTTCGGTATGATAAGCTATAAAATAGGACTGGGTCTGACATTTTGATTGACCGACCTAGAGAATCGAAACTGTTGTTTAGGGCGCTGAATGCAGCTGTTACCCTGTTTACCCAAAGTAACGCTATTGCATTATCCAAATGGATACGCATTTTGTCGGAACGCAGTGTGGTCCAAGCATTTTCTATTGCCCCCTCGAAATAGCCCCTGAAAATTCGTAGCATCTCTTCAGGAAGTTGAACATCGGAAGGCCCTGTTAGAAGAGGGGAAGTATCAAGAGTTGGCGAAGGTGTTCGACAGATGATGTCGAGGTGTGCATCTGCTGATTGTCGTACGGAAGATTTATTGCATAAGTCGGGGCGCCGTGTCAGGTAACCCATGATCTTATCCCATGCCACTTGCTGGTTACGGATAAGGAATTCCGACTTCTTTCCTTTCGCTTCACGTCGCTGCTTAAGCTGAAAAATTCGTAGGACCTCAGCTTCCTTAAGTTTCTTATCGAGTCCCCAACTTTTGATCCGAGTCTTGAACATTCTCTCGCTTGCCATATTATTAGCCATTGAATGCAGCATTTACACTGTGCTAGCAGATAAGACTCACGTAGCGTAAAGGTTATAGTCGCATTCCATAATGTGTTTGACTTCCTTTAAGGTTTTTCTTTCGTCTCGATAGAGCCTTGTGATAACCGATCGGTAGCAGTTCCAGACCTCATCTGTGGCGTAAGGCCTCCCCGTCGTCAGGATCGTTCCGGCCATGTCGATGTCGCCTAGGTTATACAAAGCCGGAGAATTTGGGCTGAGGATAGTACTAAGATTCCAAAGTGTTGAAAACTAAATAATTGCGGTACTTTTGTCGGTAAAACAGAGCTTGGTGTCCTAGATGGATTAAATCGTAGAAGACTTTGTCCGCCCAAAGAAAATTGTGTCTGTTCCCATGGATGGAATCAGCTTACAAAAGCTTGATAGATTTTATCCGGAGGCCGGGCTCCAGCGCATTGTCATGACGGTTGGATCGCATGTCGTTCTTAGTAATTCCAAATACATCCTGATCTCCTGCCGGCGGGTGTGTCCCAATAACCGCCTCACACAATGTTTGCCGCAGCCGTAACGTCGCTTCAGTAGCTGGATGGACCTTATGCCATTGTGCCTGGTCGACCCACACCATTCGCTACGATCAGGCAAGATCTCTCCTCCCCAGTACATGAGTGCATAAGTCCACGTAGTACTCACACCCTTTTTCTTTGGCCCACTTCACCCCTCCCCCATCGGTACTTCTTCAATACGTCTTTCGATTTATGTGTGATATGCTCAATGCAAAGTCCCTCCTTGTAACTTCGCTGCCTGCGGGCATCTTCATCCGGAGGCTTCATATTCATATCTACAAGGCTGGCGAGATGGTGGGTAACAGCGTGTTGAGTAGATGCAAGACGATTTGCAGAGGTAACCCTGATACAGTCAGATACGAGTTGATTGGATGAGACAGAGACACGTTTTTACCAGGTTTAGATTTTCAATCAATGACTGCATCTGCGCCGTTCTTTGCTAAATGGTGACAAATCAAATGCTCATTGTTGGTTGGCTGCGACGCCACCCTAACCCTCGAAGAAAACGCATGGAGGCTGATCAAAGAAGGCCGCGGCCGCTTTGAAAATGGACCGTTACTCGACAATAATGATGGTATGGGTTGTTGATGATTTGGATGAATCTATCTACTACGGAAAAGATGATTTCGCTTCAAATGTCTCTATATGGTCAATGTGTTAAGGGCACAGAATATCGTGCGGATTCCAAGCACAGAGAGTTAGATTGTGTTCTGGAATCAAGATCACGGCCCTGGTCCCTTGCTCAAAGATCGAGAACCTTTATCAAACACTTCGAAAGATGGAGGAGCTATCAATGTCGAAGCACTGATTACACTAGTCAGATCGATTAATTGGTCTCCTTCATTGTTGTCTGGTTTTTGGTATCCTGACTTCCGTACTGTCCTGCCTTCAGGGGTCAAATGCGTGTGGCATACAGAGTGCCCATTTTTGTGGCCAAATATGTTTATGCCTCTGTGATTTCAAGTGACCGTAAATTTTTTGGCCAGCAGACGTTTGGGGGGGGGGGGGGGGGGAGGGAGGGCGGTTGTACACCTATCCCTGGCTCCGCTTACACAGGCAACGGAGGCTATTCACTTCAACGTTGGTGATAAAATTGCTGCTGTCAGGGTTGGCCGCTTATCTGGTAACCAAGAAGGAAGCTTCCAAAACGGGTTATCTCTTTAGGTACTACTATCAGTAGCATCCTTAACGATATCGATCTGCACAACTCGGTTGGCTCAATTGACAACTTCTCTACAGGAATTGAACTCCTCAATGTCCACTTCGCTTGGAAAGATCCAATCGTTAGGGAACGTAGTCCCAAAGGTTCAGAAATTCTGATCTACGGTATAACATCTATGGTCGACAATTGGCCATGCAAGATGCCACTCAGGCTGGGTCTGATGCTGTTAGTGTACTATTATCTCTCATAGACACGAAGACTTTGTCGCCAAGAAAGGGGCCGATCATGCCATAGACCATGCACACATTCAAGATCCATCGGCCAAGAACAAATCTTACTTGGATCACCTGGCTCCAATGTCGAGTTCTCTCTCTGAACCCGATATTCGACATCAGGATCACAGTAGTTGTTGCACATGGTGGTGGAGAGATGTATGCCCTTCTACCTACTCGTGAATCTTCGCGCTTTCCGAAGGACGCAACTCTTCGTGTGGATCTCTGTCAATTACATGCACGGGAACATAATGCAGGCCTTCTGCAATGGGTATTTGAGATCAACCTTTCGCAGGCCTTCAATGACGGAATACTGTGACGCTGCCTTCTCGGAGATTTGATGATGACTGAGCGGGTTGAATGGGACTAAGTAACCCTAAGCCAAATGGGTGGGCTAGCTCCATCAAAGGGGCATTTGGGCGATAGAAAAAGTAGACAGGTCTTCTCTTACAGGCAGCAACGTCATATCACACTTCACAGGACCATTCGGAGAAACATTTGCAGAGTGAGTTAAGATCTTTTCCCATGATTACTTGGTTTGCTTTCTTTCTTTTAGTTGAGATTAGGAGAACAACATTTCCGTGTAAAAGTAGCTTGATTCACCGACGGGCCATTTACGTATGATCCAAATAAGGCGGCAGACAGCTTGCCATATACAACCAGTAATTACTGTAATTACTATTCGCCTTGAAATCACGCCCTACTGGTGCGTGAGAGAATTATTCAAGCCATAACAGCCAGACTCGACCGGAATATAAGCCTCTACCAGCTTACTGATGCAGGCACAACCCATAACAAGGTCCTATTTCTCGCTTCCGCCAGTGCTTGATCCTTGGTCATCCCAAGTCACTGCAATTGGCTCGTGGTTTCCAGAAAATTTCTGACCTGCGAACCATAACTCAAACCGTAGATCAGCTGGTGCAACGATAACTCGAATATCAAACTGGCATATGTAAAACTTGAATCCCCGTGAAAGGCAGGTTCCCCGTTTTTCTTTCAAGACAAGTTGCTCTTGCTGAACCCCTGTAAGATTACTTTTCACGTCACAGAGCTTTGAGACTCCAGCTAATTTGACATGTTAGTTATCCTGCTACTGTGACCAACTCATGAGATGGAAGGCTTTTTCACTTGCCTTTCTTCATGCTCCTTGGCAAAAACGAAGCCTCATTATGAGAAACTACAATTCTGGCTTCCCAAGATCGAGTCGTTTCGGCTGGCTGCAGTCTGATATCGAAAGACTTTACAATAGGCGTGTTAGGGTTAATGATATCACCCTGTCATCGTGTTAGTTTTGATAAGTATGCTATCACTGGACGTCACCGCCGTAGCCTCTGACCTTCTTGATTAGCCATTGTATCTGGTTGACTGCCCACTTCTGCGCTGGGTCAAATGGGTCGTCATGAATATCCTCATCAAAGTGTTTAGCAGAAGAATACACCTCCTTCACAATGACCCCGTAGCTAGCTCTAGCTATACGAGTGGCCAGAACAGATAAGTTGCCTGACTCCATCTTCTGTTGATGGTCGAGAAGTAAGCCTCGAACGACGACAAGCTGGGGATCTTGACAGGGAACAACTGCAACACGACTAGCATTAGAATGTGGATAGTTCACGAATTGCTGTTGTAGCCTGTCGCGAACATAGGCAGAGCTTCCAAGACCTCCCGAAAGAATCATGTGATCCTAAGACACGTCAGAACCCAAATTCGTGATTCGGAAGCCTCGAAGTAAAATACTGACTACTTGCTGTGGTTGTCCTCTGCTACTCAACCAATCCAGCTGCTCTTTGATGCGCTGCATTATGCCATCTATCTGGTCCTCAAATAGAGACATTACCTCCTTACTATGATGTCGTTAACAGGCCATTCGAGTACGAATTTGGCATACTCACTAGGTGAACACCATCTTGCCGTTCTCAACCCCTATACCAGGATGGCTAAAATTATGAGAAACTCCCTCCATCTGGATTTTGTATTCGGTCTGCTTGTATGCCCTTTCACCAAACTTGTGTTTAACCGTTTTGAAATGATGGCTTCTTGACATGCCAACTGCAAAGTCGGCAGGGAGCCTGCTTTCCGTATCAGGACAAGAAGCAAGACGTTGGGCCACCAGTCGTACGAATGCCCTATCAATAAGCGACGCACCAATGCCGACACCACTAACTGCCGCCATCTGGGACATCTGTGGAAAGCTTTTGTCGGTGGAGGTAATTTGCATCAGTGCTAAGTCGGTAGTACCACCACCAGCATCAACCGTGAGGAACAGACTTCCCACTTTGAAGTCTACAGGGCTTATCTTAAGTGTGGCAACCGCAGCTGCTTCTGCTTCTGTCAAATCAACTTGCGCGGAGTGTTTTGGTCCCTCGACTCCAAAGCCAGCGTCACGGATAACACCCTTGAAAGCATTGACAAGTCCCATACTGGTCCAAGTTGTCGGCACACTAAACAGAAAGGTGACCGACAAACCCGTCCAGCCTCCAGAATAACGCCGGCCTGTCTGTGTCTCAATAGTGTCTTTGATATGCGCGTACACCTGGCGCAGGTAGTCAGATATAAAGCGTTGCGCTTCGGCTGTGCTTCGTGGAGCGCCGGAGAGTCCCTGCTGCTGCGCTGCTGATAGAGTGTCCTCGTCGAGAAAGATCTTGAAGAATTCTCTTCGAATTTTCCCAGGGACTGTAAGATCATCGTCCGCACACATGAATCCCCATGAAGACAGACTTCCATCGGAATTGTAGATGAGGGTTGTAGGAACTTTTCGTTCGCCGCGATCGCCACTACCAGGCCAATCGTTGATAACCTGAATGGGTGTTTTGGGTGTCATCCAAGCCACCCCTGGTGTTTTCAGCTGTTGTTCTGTATCTGGGCTGCAGATGATATACCTGTGAATGTAGTACCTAGGTCGATGGACACCAGGATGTCAGGGTGATTGGCCATCTCGATTGCTCAATTCGGGAATGGGAACAAGTAGACGACTAAAAGGCTCGAGCGCTTTTTTGGGGATAGAAAACGAAATGCTGGTTCTTCGCTTTCCACTGTAAAGCACAGAGTGTTTTGGCGTTCTTGTTATTGGGTTGTGAACCAAGGAAGGTCCAGAAGAGGTTGAGAACATGACACAGATCTCCATCTTCACTCGGGAAGGGGGTTATTTGCTACCGAAAGCCTCGCGGTCGCTTCTTTGAGATAGGCTACGCAGCCACTGCATTTTTCGTTTGCAGACTAAGTTTTCAGCGCGCAGTACTTGGCATGGCGTTACAGACCTATACAAAGAATGTCTTCGCCTCCAACCCTTAGATCCCTTATAGATTTCAGCCCTACTCAGCTCGATCCGGTTTTGTCACCCGCCATCAGCAACTATTTCTGTTTAGTAGGAATGAGTTACGATAAAATATTTTGTACGTGAAACCTTGCCGCATTCTCCTGAGTACCGTCCCCCTCAGCTTGGCGTAATTAGTTCTTAGTATCGCGCCAAACAATCGTCGTGGGGTTAGTCTACTTTGTCAAAGAGGCTAGACTTGGCGATGATATGTTTTGGATGGATGCAGGAATAACAACTACCAAAATCCCGGTCACATTATTGGCCAACGTTCTTTTAGCTCGATCTCAGATGCAGCCACACCGGCACTGGATTTCCGATTCAAGATCAAGAACTTTACTGCTTAATTCTAAACTCGACGAGCCTTGGTATTAATGTGTTTCGGGATTCAAAGTGTAGCCATCGGTTTTATCGCGAAAGTACTTGAAGACCTCTATCCCAACTAGCGATTGTTCCTTCCTACCTTGTACTGCAATACGTGGTGCCTCATCTGTTTCTCTTTCAAAGGCAATCTCTAGCTTCCTGGACTCTCCAAGCTTCTTCGAATATGTCGTTCTCTTATGTAAAGCGAGATGGACAGAATGAATCTTTCGACGACTCGCTTGAACCTGCGGCTTCTGGCCCGCAAACTGTAACAGTGTCTCCAGCTTCCATAAGCAATACTGCTGCCTCTCCTCCCATAGGCCCTGCTTCTACCTCACCTTCCACGACAGAGATAGCACCGGTATCTGGGGTCTCTCCAGGTTCACTCGTCGGGGCCGCCATTGGCTGTCTTGTTGGTGGTCTCACATTAGGCGCTCTTACTGCATTCTTTCTGCTCCGTCAAAAGCGGAAAAGACGGTCAAGTCTAAGAGGTGTCGATGGGGGTCATGTTTCTGTGATGATGGGTTCCAAAGACTATGCAACGGCAGGCCTTGACTCCCCAGACAATGATTTGTCACTGAGCCAATACCTCCTCGATGCAACTCCCGACAAGGACATCGCCTCTGAACTTCAAAATCTAGGCAACCTTATCCACCTACATGTCGAGAACAACTACCACTTGCAACCGGTGCAATGGAGCCTTTCCGATCTTACCGAGTGCCTTTCAAATCTAGGATTCGCTCGAAATGTGGAATTTGGTCCGGAGACTATTGCGTCTCTCTGCCTGAACCAAAACACACGGCAAGCCGGACTTCAACACGTCATATCCCATGTAGTGTTCAACAGCATCGATTTCCATTCGCGGAGCCGACTCTCAATGCTCCCTTCGCCGGTAGCCGCGTTCCTTCAATCAATGCCGAATGATGACCGTCACGACAATGCGCAAGGTAGGCCTCTTAAAACCACCGCTCAATATTTCTTGGTAGTTGTTTCTAATCGTTTTTGATAAAGCCAAATCACTTGCCATTTCAAAATGGCGCACTTTATCAGCTTTCCTCCTGCATCCAAGTCGCAGCCAAAGAACACCATTCATGCCGTCGGAAACAGCGGCCGCTCTCCAAAGTGATGCCCTTGCCCGCGCTCTCAACACGTTTTTGCACCCATTCATTGCCTCGGACAAGGCTAGTCAGCAGCAGCAGACTGCTCATCTACAAGATGTGATCTTCGAATGCGCCAAATTTGGGTATGCAATCATGTCTCAGCCAAGCGAGTGGCAATTTACCTATGAAGTCGGGGGTTCAAGAATGTTGGTGTTGTGTCCTGGTGTGGACAAAGTGGGCGCCTCCGACGGAAAACCTTATCGCACTCCTCGCCATGTAGTGGCACCTATGGTAACACAGATATGATGCGCTAGTTTCATTGAGTATGATTTTATCTCCCTAATTTGCACATTATTCTACAGTAGTATTTGGAGACCCGAGTGGTTTTACTTGAGAACAAAGCGATGTGTCGATTACTCCAACAACCCCAAAATATTTCCGCTGTGCAAACCTGTGGACACAGTGTCTACCTGCTGGCTCCTTCACTGCCAAATATTTCATGCAAGATCATTTCATCCCATACGAAAAGCCGAATCGAAGTGTTCGATTGCATCTTTAGTGACCACATTCTTCGTAACCATCTTGATCAGTATATTAAGGTCGCAGTGGAGCTATCCAGTCCCTCCTGCTGCAATCTCTCTGGTGATGATGGTATCACTCTTGGGAATATTCTAATTTGATTTCGATAAATCACAATTAATGCCAATCTCCAACGATCTAAGCTCAAATCCAGTCTTAGTAGTTTACTCACTTCCTCATTCCCGGCTCCATGTACCCGAAAAAGATGACCACCTAAGTGCGCCTCCCCCTCTCCTCCCTCTCTCCCTCTCTCCCTCTCTCCCTCCTGCAGCTTAAATCTAATTTCGGGCAGTTCAAATAAAATTGCAATGTAGATCGTGGGCACATGGGACATGCACCGATTAGATCACATGCTAGACTATCTTCAACCTAAAGTAGAAGGGAATGCAACGTACTTACCGTGCCCGGTATCCGTTTGCGGAATCCAACCGGTCTTGAGCGGATCATTTCCCGCCACCTTCAAGGAATGCTTTTCGTGGCTGGCAGTGGTCACGCTTGCGGGCGCCCAGAAGATATTTGGCCTTTGTCAGAAACGACCTGCCTTAGTTCTGATAGTTGTTGGCCGTTCATGGAATCGGTATGTTATCACGTGTGTAGGATTTGGCGTCCATACTTGCGAAGTCTGAACTTCGCTCTTTGATGACCCAGCTCCAATTTCAGCCTCACAAGCCCAGCTGCTTTGGTCACATTCACGAAATTGGCAGACGCTCGGTCATTTTCTGGCCAGCTGAAATGTCTGTCACACGATAAGTTCGAATGGCGGTAAACTTCGAAGACTTATTCCATTGTTCAAAGCCTCTTCTGTCCTCAGTTAGCATTGCTTCCCTGTAGAGTTTCTCATTGGTCGCCAATCCTTCTTTAATGTTCTATATCGAAATCGTTCAGCATACTCCTGGTCTTCATTGTTTTTCACGCTCCCTTTTTCCAGGTGAGGTTTCTCCGTAGCTGAAGGGTCACAACCTAAATTTCATTCCGTCTCATCACTGCACCTACCTCGATATCCAACAAGGCCGCAGATGATACCACTTGCGTAATCCCTCGGCAACCGTTTACTTGTATCGAATTGTAGATCATTTTAACGCCATAGATGCATGCACTGTCGTAACCCTGACCTCTCTCTCAACCTATCACTCATCTATGGACGCGTAAGCTTCTCATGCATGTTGCGACACCCAGCTTTACTTACATTCAGAGGAGTTAGATTTCTTTGGTTACACGATGGATCCTCTCAGCGTTCTTCGTGCAAGCTATTACATCGTCCTTTTCGGTATCGAGTTGGAGCAGGTGCCATACGAAGTCAAGATCAGTCTCGAACTTGTCCGCACCTGCCATGCAGATCTGCAGTATCTTATCGAGATACGCAACGAATTGCTCAACCTTCTCACAAGACGACCTAAGGTCCTGGAACGCGTCAACAACATCATCGAAGCGGCTCATAAGGGACTGGCTGAGGTCTGCGAAATTGTAGAAAAATGTCGTCCTCAGGCCAATAACGGGAGGACTCCATTTCGAAGCAGAATATCATGGATTCTCTTGGACTCGGCACGATTCAGAGAACAGAAGGCTATCGTCAGTCATCACCATGCTTCCGTCCTGGCGGAGCTCAACTTTCTGCGACAAATCGCTCTGCTTGCCCCTGCAACCGAGGACAATATGGACAGCAAAGGTCGTGCCAAAAAGCCAATGCAAGCATTCGATAACATTGCTCTGTTGGGAGATCTCATGGGCGCAGTAACCATTTCAGGTAATATGAGTTATGGGTTTCTCTTTCGGATCTGCTTCGGCGCTTGGCGAGCATCAAGCTAATTTCACTATCCAGAGACGACAACGTCGCAAACAGCGCTCCCAAGGAAAACTTCTTTGGTTGTATCAGCAAGAAATGATGCAGTTGCAAATCCCGCCCTGGCACCTCATGTATCTACTATTCTACCAAGCTTTGTACCACCTCCTCCATACCCGGGTTCGACACACTCTGTTTCAGTCCAAGAAGCTTGCAGTGAACACAAATCATCATTGGACTGTCCGTCACAGTTCGGTTCCACAGTACACCTAGGAACCCCAAACGAATACCATCAACCTAACGTGTCCAGAAGTCTACAGGGACTGAAAAGCGGATCAAGACGGAACGGATGTTCTGACGTGACTGGGTTGTCTCTGCTATTCGAGGAGCACCCACAAATGAGTCCGTCGACAATGGATAATTCCGCACAACTATGCTCTTCGGTTTCTACACCACCCCATCGACAAACCTCGATTTCTTCAAATGCATCTTTCCTAACTGGCTGTTCCACACCCGGCCCACTCACACAACCCTTGCGTTGGACTGCCTCAATGGTATCCATGGATAGCAGATGTCAATACCAAGACCAAAAGCTATCGACAAGTCCAGCGTCAACACAGGAATCCTCTATTGGAAATGATTTCCGGATTGTCGATGGAAATTCTGATGCAAGTTCTGCAAGTCATCAAACACCTTCATCTTTCAACGCCGTTAGTCCATCATCGATGTCGCACGCCGCACCTTCTTTCTTAGCCCACCATGATGCGCTTTCGTTACAATCGGTCTTTATGCCAGGACCAAGTCAGGTCAATAACTCGACTCGTTCAAACCTCCATGGTCTATCGGCTGCTCAACAAAGAGGAAGCCCTGGTGTGGCTTCAAGCACTGGTGTGTTCAGCACCATACCACAACACATGATCTACGATCAGAGTGGTAGCCCAATCAACAGCCTGGTGCCTCACATTCTAGCAAATGTTGGCCAAAGTACAAGTATGGGACCAAGTTTGTCGGCTACACCCAACTCACAATACTCGGGGCCGTGGTCATCATCACAAGACATCAAATTTGATCAATTGTCAAGACCTTGCAATGATGCGCAATGCCAGCAGGAAGAAGCTCATCAGCAGCCACTCTCCATCGCCTCTTGGCCGCACCCAGATGATCCCAATTACTCGAGATCACGGGCAACTCCTTGTGAGGCATTGTCTCCGGTTCCGGTTGAGCAAAAGGGGTGGTCACAAACAACAGGCGAGTCCACTAGAGAGTACCGGTCCCAGTGCGATGAATCAATTTTGAAAATAAACACGCAGATGCACAGCGTTTATTATGGCTCAAGTATAGTGACCAGAGAAGTACAAGAGTTGTCCTCTGTACCTTTTGAACCGGACCCTGTGGAGCTGCAGTAGAAGTAAGAACAAGCATAAATCATACCACTGGAGACACTTGAAAACAGTGGGTGTGATCATTTCCAGCCATGCACGAGCAACAAGTGTGTAATATAAACTCGCTCTACGCTACTCAATTGGGGGGGGCTATGGCGAGGCTGCTTCGCTTATTAATGCTGCCTAAGGATGAGGTTCTTTAGTTGCGGGGTCCGAGATTTCACGAAACGGCAATGGCTCGTTTAGGTTCATGTGCAACTCTCTGACAGCATTGCCTTAAGGGGTGGCTCAATGGGCATGGAAGGGTAGTGGAGACACATCTCCACTCAAGTTCCGAAGTCGCCAAACCCCAGGGGAGGACAAAAAACTGCAGGACCCATCATTTCAATTGACTTTTAAGTCCACTGGCTTCGACACTCCACGGACGGCACCGTGGTACCTTGCGCATCCAGTTCTACTGTCGAGTGGTTCGGCCAAAGGATTGGTGGTGGCACTAGAGGTGATGTTGTTTCACTGAACCAATGTGATTCTCCTCCAATTGATAATCCGATCAGCGGATCAGCCCCAGCTCCTTGGGCACATCAGCAAATCTATGTTGTATCTATGGGCTGACCCGTTTGTTTACATCGGACTCACCCAAGATATCAAGCTGCGCTGATGATTTTGCTCTGTGAGCCGACAACCGTCATGGTTGTTGCATCTGTAACCGTGTCAGGCGTTTGAGACGAACCTGATGCACGCTTTTTCGCGCTTTTGGTCTTGAGGGTGGCCTGTGCTTCCCTTGTTTGTTTTCGTCTCGTCTTCCCCCCTATTGCCTCAATCGGCCGGTGGATAAGTCATCGGGCTTAGTGTATAGTACGACTGTTAAGCATAGCCCCGGTTTTAGGAACACGAGACTTGCAGGTCCAACGAGACAGAAGAGGAGCGCCCCGTTGACCTGTATCAACCCTAGCCTGCCACCTGGAGATACATCGTGGTCTGAACCCCGTGTCGGGGCTCGGCAAGCCAGATCCTACCTTGAGTGTTTTGCCTCGAGCATGATGGCGCCCCATATCACGAATATCACGAAGCTCTCGCAAGACGTCCGATCGGTGTGACTCTGGAGAACCATCCAGTATTAAAAGGACTGGTAAATCATCTGAATTATTGTCTCTTGCCTCACTACTCACAACCAAGCTTCTCAGTCTAATACCACTTTTCATTCTAATTCTATTCACTCTTTCCGCAGGTCGGGTTTTATTCATTCCTTAAAAAAAAACCACTAATCCATCCGCCCAACGCAACTCAAAATGAAGTTCTCTCTCGCCACCATCCTCCTCGGCTTCGCCGCCATCGCCTCTGCCAGCGTCACTGACGTTGAGGGCATTCGCAACGCTGCGCGCGATGCCGTCCTCGTCGATCGCCAGGCGGGCAACGCCGGCCGACCTACTCCCAACGGTCAATGCTGTGTTGCCAACACCTCGCTCAAGCAGGACACCTGCACCGTCAACGGAGCGCAAGGACGCTGCGTTCCCGGTGGCCAGCCTTGTAAGTCGACCCTCTTCAGTATCATCCATCTTGGAAGGTGTCAACCAACCAAACCTCTCCCATTTAGGCGGAAGTGCTCTGAGCTGCGTTGCTCAGGCCAACCTGGCTTGCGACAACAGCATCATTGAGCGTGGCAAGAGCCTGTGCCGAGCCAAGGCGGGCAACGGTTTCATTGACGGAGCCAAAACCATCACCAGCCTGAGCCAGGCCAAGGTTAACTAAGCGGGCAGATGCACGTGTTGCAGCGACTGCATCGAGGCGGCAGGAACTCCTAATAAGACCAGTTAGAAGCTAGGAGTTAATTATTCAAAATACTGCTTGGCTACGTTCTGTGCTTATTCCGCGATGAAACGCGCACTCAAGCCTCATGCCATGCAATAAGACCGGCTGGGACTTCGGAGACTGTCCGATCCAGGCTGCTACAAAGTTTTGAAGATCACTCATGGGCGGCCTGGGTGCTGTGTAATCGTTTTCTAATCCGTAGCACTGCCCCGTGATCGCAGTTCTGTCGGGGTTGTATGTTATTGCGTTGTGTTTTACGTGTGAATATTCTCCTTTTACTCAACGGCAGCTCTTCGCTCATGAGACAGTTTGTTGATCTGGGCGACTTCGCCGGCAAGAACAAACGTTACTTTCAGGAGTCATGAGTTGGGCAGTAAATGTGTTCAGGTTCACGTATCATGATTCATCTAGCTCATGAGGGGATTAGTCTATTAAGTACAACATCATGGCACTCTTGTTTGGTATCTCGGTTGGTGTATGTCCTTCCTCTGCGACGAAATCATCTTCGCCCTTCACCTTTGTACACTGTTCTTTCCATTCATCTCTAATCATGCAGCGGCCGTCTCCTCCGTAGGCTTCTTCACATCCTCGGTGGCCTCGACAGCAGACTTCTCGCCGTTGACAGCGGCAGGCTTGGCAAGCTCGTCACGGAGCTTCTGCAGTTCAGCCTCGAGCTTGGCTTGAGCCTCCTTGGCCGCCTGGAGCTCCTTGGTGAGGGAAACGCGGGCAGACACGGACTGCTCGGCCTTCTCCTGCCAGGTGGCAGCATCCTTCTTGGCGCTCTCCAACTCGGCAGTCGCGTTCGTCTTGGTAGTCTCGTTGGACTTCTCGAGGTCGGCATATTTGGTCTGCAGATCAGCCAGCTCCTTGCTCAAGCGCGAGGACTCCTCGACAGACTCGGTCTTCGTTTTGTCGTGGGCCTGCTGCAAGGCGCTGTGCTTCTCCTCGAGGTCGGACAAGCTCTTCTTGGTGGCAGAATGTTCTGACTCGTAATCGACCTTGGCCTTCTCGTGAGACTCCTGCAGAGTCTTGAACTTGCCCTCCCACTCTGCAACGCTCTTCTTGGCAGCCTCGAGCTCGGCGCTAGATTCGGACTGAGCCTTCTCCTGGGCCTGTTGCAAAGCAGTGTACTTCTCCTCCCATTCAGCGGCGGTCTTCTTGGCAGTGTCCAACTCGGCGCTAGTCTCTGATTTGGCCTTCTCCTGTTCCTGCTGGAGACTGTTGTGCTTGCTCTCCCACTCCGATACACTCTTCTTAGCAGCTTCCAGCTCGGCGCTGGATTCGGACAGAGCCTTTTCTTGGGCCTGCTGCAGCGTCTTATACTTCTCCTCCGACTCAGCTAGGCTCTTCTTCGCCGAGTCAAGCTCGGCACTGGAGCTGGACTGCGACTCTTGAAGCTTGTTGTACTTCTCCTCCCAGTCGGCGACCTTCTTCTTGGCGGTCTCAAGCTCGGCGTCATGGGCCTGCTGCAACTTGGCGTACTTCTCCTCGGCTTCAACTAGGCTCTTCTTTACAGTCTCGAGCTCTGCGTTGGAGGTAGACAGAGACTCTTGCCGGGCCTGCTCAAGCTTGTTGTACTTGGCCTCCCAATCGGCAACGTTCTTCTTCGCGTCCTCAAGTTCTGCAACGTGGGCAGATTGCAACTTGGCATACTTCTCTTCCGACTCGGCAATAGTCTTCTTCGCAGATTCAAGCTCGGCGCTAGAGCTGGACTGAGCCTCTTGCTGGGCCTTGAGCGTCTGCTCCAACTTGTTGTACTTCTCCTCCCACTCGGCGACGCTCTTCTTGGCGGATTCAAGCTCGGCGCCGTGGGTCTCTTGCAGCTTAGCGTACTTCTCTTGAGTCTCGGCGAGGGTCTTTTTGGCAGCGGCAAGCTCCTGATCCGACTCAGCCTTGGACTTGTCGCTGCTCTGCTGAAGCGCGGCAAGCTTCTCCTGTGCCTCGGCAAGCTCCTTCTTCGTGCTGGACAGATCGGACTCAGAATCGGACTTGAGGCCATCAATGGTCTGCTGAAGGGTGGCAACCTTCTCCTGTGCTTCGGCAAGTTCCTTCTTGACGGCCGAAACCTGCTCCTCAGAGCCGGCCTTGAGCTTGTTGTGGTTATCCTCGAGTTCGGCGAACTTGGCCTGGACGTTGGCAAGCTCCTTCTTGGCAGCCTCGAGCTCCGAACTGGCTTCGGCCTCGCGCTGGTCGAGAGTCTGCTGGAGACTGGCGAGCTTCTCCTTGGCGTCGGCGAGGTCCTTCTGGGCCGCAGACACGTCGGCGTCGGAGCCGTTCTTGAGATCGGTATGGGTCTGCTGGAGGGCAGCGAACTTTTCCTGAGCGTCGCTCAGCTCCTTCTTAGCAGCCGCGAGCTCAGAGTCGGAGTCGGCCTTCAGCTTGTCGAGGGCCTGTTGGAGAGCAGCGTGCTTGTCGCCTGCAGCGGACAGCTCGGCCTCGGTGGCATTCTTGAGCTTGGTGTGCTCGCCCTCGAGGGTCGAGAGCTTGCCCTCGAGAGTGGCGAGGGCGGTGGTCTTCTCGTCGAGCGACTTGGTTTTCGAGTCGGCGTCGGCCTTGATCTTGTCGAGGGTCTCCTGCAGGGTAAAGCGGGCCTGGTCGGCGTCGGTTAAGCGGCCCTGCAGCGACTTGATCTCGTCACGCAACGAGGCCTCGAGGGTCTCACGATCCTTCTTGGCCTCGGCCAGCTGCTCCTTCACGGCAGCGAGATCATCCTCAAGGGCCTTCTTCTGCTGCTGGAGCTTCTCGAGCTGCTTCTTTGCGCTATCGAGCTCTTGGGAGCGCTGGGACTCTGCGGTACCGTTGGCTTGGAGATGCTGGGTGACCTTGTCGTTACTGGCGGCGAGCTCGGACTCGAGGGTGGCGATGCGGGCCTTGCTCTCGTTGTTGGACGAGGTCAATTGGGCGTCGAGCTCCTGGATCTTCTGGCGCAGGTCCTCGGCCTCGCTGGAGAGTGAAGTGTACTGCTTCTCCTTCTTGGAGAGGTCTTCCTCGAGGACGGTGATGGTCTCCTCTCTGTCGGCCAGCTTCTGCTCAAGCTCTTCCTTGGAACCCTCGATGCGGTGACCGTTGCCCGGAGAAAAGACTGAAACAACGTTGCCCATGATTGGAGGAGAGATTTCTCGGTGAGGCGACGCAGAGTTCAGTCCTTGGATGAAATAACAATAACAATGCAAGAATATGAGGATGGTGGTGAAGAATCGAGGTGAGGGACTAGGCAGGCAAGACCCATGGAAGTCGGTGAGTCGTTTCTTTGGACAGGCGGACAGGTGAACGGCGATGGGAGGAACCTGAGGAAAGGTCGGTAAAAGGTAAACAAACCAACAGGAAAGGCGGTCAGGCTTTTCTGCAAGCAAGGATGTGTGCATGATTTTTCTACTATCCTTTTTTTTCTCTCTTCATTTTGGCCTTTTGGGCTGTCATCGTGGGTCTTGTTGCTGTTCACTTGGTGATGGAAATGAGTGACCTACTTTTCTAGTGGCTGAACCCCTGCTCTTGCCCCGCCAAAATATTGGCAGTCCGGCCGTTGGTCCCACCAGAACTGTCCATAAGAGGCAAGGCGCAATCATGGGTGGTTGTACCTTTGGGCAGAGCAATGTCACTAAAGATACTTCCACGTTCATCCGAGGTGGTACCATGTATTTAGCGCACTTCTCGGCCTTTCAGGGACCTGTCATTTTGTGATTGTGTGACAATGCATCAGCGAAGCGTTTTTTGTCTTTTTTTTCTTTTCTCATGTTTTCCCTTTTGGCCCAAGAACGTGGGGGCCTCTCAATGGCTGCTCCATTTTGTTTACTCGCCAATGTCGTCGGTTGGGCGCAACCAGCCTAACTCGAGTGGCGGCAAGAGCAGTCCAACCCGGAAGGTGCTCTCGAGGTACATTGCCAGGTACGGACACCGAGAGAAGGCGGCCGAACCGAATGGCAAAGAGGGGGCTAATCAGACCCAGCTTTGCCTAAGGTTCTCATGTTTACGCGATCACCATCACATCACACACAAAGACACACGCACACACACACACACGCACATAGGCAAGAGAAGATAGATACCCGGGTCAGACACGTACGAACAGGCTCAGGGCTGAACAAGTGGCAAGCAGCCAAGGTAGGATGCAAAGCATGAGCACATGCAAATCAATCTCCATCCCCCTCACCTCAATCTCGAGCATGCCCATCTCTAGCATCTCAATGGATCCACTTGTCACGATCCCACTCGAGTCAGAGCCACCTACGATATCCCCGAGATAATGACCCTTGTAGCTATCTATCCCTTGATCTAATGACGACAAGACGCTCGTTTCCTCGCTGCACCTCACTTCCTCTCGCTCAGAATGGTTATTACGTTAGCACTCAATAGGAATCTTTCAACTCTGACCAATTAGGGAAGAGACTCGAGATGAGGCGATGCTACCGCGCCATCCACGCTCAATAGTCATTCGTACTTGGGATGATGGTCCGCATACTTTTGCCATTGGTCTGTGCGGCTCACCAAGGTCTTATTAGACCGTTCAGTCAACACGGGTTTTCAGGTGAGCAATTACAATCATCTTACGGGTCTCATTCTATCAAAGCCCACTTCAGCCACATGAGTTCAATCTCTCCTGGTCTCAGGGGCGCTTGTCCCGGCTCGACCGCCCGCCGCGCCATCTTTTCACAGCCGCGAACACCTTTTCTCCCCCCTTTTGTGGCTAAAAGATGCTCCCCTCGATGCCCGGTCGATGCTCACCGACGACGGTGGGACCCACAGGCCGGGGTTCTTTGAGAAGAAATTGGACGCCCGGAGCATCACGCTCACCGGCTCCGCGGGCATGATGGGGAAGTCCTCCGTCCTCGGGAAATGCGTGAGCCCGAACTGGATGTAGCACACGACGTCCGTGTTGTCAATTGACTCGTTGCGTGCGACCCAGTCCACGATCGTCTGGTTGTGTGGATGATTCTCCTCGCCTGTCGACTGGCAAACATAGTCCCCTGCTGGGAAAACCTCGAAGTCCCTGTACGGCACCACCCAGAGACTCTTGCGGGCAAAAGCGGCGCGCTTGTATACCATGCTCCCCGGCTGGGCGAGGAGAGGAGGGCAGTTGGTGTTGATAATCTTATATCCGACCGGCTTCTTCGTCGATGCGTTGATGCTGCTGGGATTGATGATGTCCCACGCCCGACTTGTCTCATGGCAGTAGACAGCAGCGCCCTCTTGAGCAGTGCGCAGCGGTGTCTTCTTGCAGTAAAAACCGTTGCCGAATGCGTTCTCGCGAGAGCCCACTGGTTGCTCTGCAGTGAGTGCGTCGCTCTGCAAGACGGAGTTGTTCGGCCCGTCGATCTCAGGGTCGACCCGCAGCGAGAATATGTGCTGGTGGTTGTGCGCGTTGAGTCGAGGGGCAACCTCTGTGCCGTATGGAGCCGCCGACTCGGACGGGTGCATGCAATACAAGTTCAGCATGCCCGTTAGCCTGATGTCAAGCTTGTACGTGCCATCGAGCGTAAAAGTGTGGTAAAAGGCATATTCGTAATTGGCGGCCGTGATGATCTGGGAGATGATGAGCTTACGGTCGCGGGCGGAGATGACGCTGCCGTCGCGGAAGTCGGTGTGCTTGTAGAGGAGGCCATTGTCCTCCTCGTGGATACAAACCGCGTTCTTGATCATCGCTGGCTCGCCCTTGGAGGTTGTCATGACGGCATCAACGTAGTGAATGGCACCCTTGCAGTCACAACCGAGCTTAAGAGAGTTGGTCATTAGCCCGCTGCCATACTCGCCGACGTCAAAAGCATGCTTGCGCTGATGAGGCGGGTCAGGGTTGCCGTAGGGGACAACCATCTCGACGACGCTGATGCGATTAAACAAGGCACGATCACGCTGTTGCTGTTGGTCACGGACGCGGACGTCTGAGATGACGATGCCTTCTCGGTAGTTGAAGCCAATATGCATCTTGAATCCGGCCCAAGAAAGCTCATTTCCAAGCATGTGAAACGATACTCCTTCAGGCTGTGTGATGTCGATCGGCTTCAATTGAGCATTGTCATACGAGCTCTTGATGAACTCGGGCAAGTAGTTGTGCTCTTCCAGCGAGACCTGGGTGCGCTCGCCGTTGACATGGCGCACGTCAACTGCGAGAACCTCCTCGGTTTCGGTATCCACTACGACGGAGAAGTCCAGAGGATGCGCATATTGGTTGTCCATCGCTGAGTTACGATAGTAGGGCAACCCTTGTTGGAGTCGACGCTCAAACCCCCACCGATGATCGAACCCAATGGCCCAGGCGTCGAAGAAGACCTTGGACATGTCTGTGATGCCTATCTCGCGACAAACTTCAATAATTTGAGGGTTGCTCCGAGCAATGCGCTCCGTAACATCGAGATCCTCCAACGTCAGCGTTGGGGCCACCTCGGCTACGTGATTCCATGTTTCAATCTTCAGACTGGTCAAATTGACAATCACTTCGGCAACCTGGCTGGTACCATTCTCGAGGACGATGGAGAAAGCTCGACGATCAGGTCGTGGACCGCAGCTAGCTCGAAATGCTGCATAATCGCTCTTCTTCGGCTCCCGTAGAGTCAGGCAGTTGAACTTCAATGTCTTGGACCCGGCATATGTGTGGATGAGCTTGGCTGCTACTCGTAGCTCGTCTATCGACAGCGGGTCTGTAGGCCGTGAATTAGCCTGTATACTATTACCCGCCGTCGCCTGAACAAATACTTTGTCAAGGCGTTGTGTGAGCTCAATCTAACATACCAAGAGGATGAATTGAAGCGTATTCTGACAGATCAGGGGTCCCCTCGTTCGGTTCTTCTCGAAAGACGGTGTAACCGGCGAGTGATGTGTCGTCCTCAATCATGATCAGGAATGAGCTATTGGCTCTGAAAGCTGTATAAGACAATCTTTAGGTACTTCAGAAAATGGCAAAGATGCTAAGAGTGAGCGAATCCCCGTCGAGCTGTGAAGTCAAGGTGTGCAGTGAGGCGGTCCTACTTATAGGCTGTACTTTCAACGCAGCAAATTCAATTTACGTAAGATATTTCATCACTTGGAACCCGCAATGGGATACCACAATGAGCCTCATCGGTGTCTTGGCTGGATCGATGCAAAGTTCCCAACTAAGATCTGTGACGCGGGGGAAGCAAGGGGCGCTGCTCAACGTTCCCTGTCATCTTGATAGGCTGCTGGTGGAACCGGGCCGGCCAGTGGGGGGCCGCGGAGACCATCCTCTACCGACTTAACGAGTCCCCCAACGACCCTGTATATGAATCTACCCGAATGTTGCGTATCTCCAGCCCTGCAGTTGATTCCATTATGTGCCATTGCTAGTCACCCTCTACGTCTCACATGGAGATGAAGGGGGATAAGATCTGAACCAAGATGAGGGGAAACGGCTATTATAAGAAACGCGCTGTCTTTTCGCAGGAGAGCTCGCAAACGTTGCCAAGTCAAAAACAGATGTTGATTCAATCCCTAATTTGCAACCACAGAAACCTTTTTTGCCTTCTTTACATAATCGTTGAAACACATCGCGTCATTCAATCTTTATGGACGCCGAGCTGGGTTCCACGTCGAAGCAATCGCCTGCATACGATCAAGTCGCTGAGGATGCCCGCGATCTCGCAAACTTGGGCCACGCCCAAGCACTCAGCCGGAAGTTTGGTACATGGAACATGCTTTCGCTTGCCTTCGTGGTTTTGGGGACTTGGGCTGTCTTCGCGCAAAGTCTTGCAAGCGGTCTGACGAACGGCGGCCCCATCACTATTCTCTGGGGTTTGTGCCTAGTTACCTTATGCAACACCTGCATTGGTGTCTCACTGGGAGAGCTGTGCAGCAGCATGCCGACCGCCTTGGGCCAAGCATACTGGGTCGCCCGCTTGTGGCCTACCCCTGCCGGCCGTTTCGCCTCCTATCTATGTGCCTGGATCAAAACTTTCGGCTGGTGGACGTTGTCTGCTTCAACAATAGCCTTTATGACCGAGTTCATATTGGGGATGAATCTTCTCTTCGATGAGAACTCGACGGCACCGCAGGCCGGTTGGGTTCAGTTCTTAGTCTATCTCGGCACCACCTTCTGTCTCACAGGCCTAAACATGGTTTCTTGTCGAAGTGATAGAATCCTTCCCTTCTTCAATAACTTTGTCGGCACCACCTTTGTCGGTCTGTTTTTTGTGCTGGGGCTGGCTCTTCTCATATCCGTTGGCATCAAAGATGACTTGGACTTCCAACCTGCCTCGTTCGTCTTTGGGGCTTGGATAAATCGGACAGGATGGAGCGACGGTATAGTTTGGTTCATGGGGCTCGTCCAAGCAGCATACGGCCTCACTGCGTTCGACGCCGCCATCCATCTTGTCGAGGAGATTCCTGCGCCAAGAAGAAACATACCCAAAGTAATATGGCTCTCTATCCTCTGCGGCGCCATCACTGGATTCATCTTCATGGTTGTCTGCCTCTTTACTATTCAAGACATCGAGCAGGTTCTCGACCCCGTAACTGGTTTACCGTTTATGGACCTTGTCAGGAGCACAGTCGGTCTGCAGGGAGCTGCAGTTCTTATTGCCCTGTTCATCATCAACGGCTTGGGTCAGGGCGTGACTGTTGTGACGACCTCATCGCGACTTACATGGGGATTTGCACGCGACGGTGGCATTCCATGGGCCGCGTACTCTGCCCACGTCGATGAAACGTGGAAAGCACCTATTCGTGCCCTGTGGTTGCAAGGCATCATCATCGGAGTTGTCGGTACTCTCTACACGTTTTCGAACACGGTGCTTGAGGCTATCGTCGGTGTCAGTACCATTGCTCTAACCATTTCATACGCAATGCCTATCTTTACTCTCCTCATGGTTGGAAGAGATAAAATGCCACCAGGGGACTTTCGACTCGGTCGATGTGGGACAGCCGTAAACTGGATTTCGGTGTGCTACTGTCTCATCACCACCGTATTCTTCTTCTTTCCCGCGGATCCCAAGCCTGCGATACCAGATATGAACCATACAATTGCTGTGTTTGGGGTAATTCTTATTTTTAGTTTGAGCTTCTGGTTCATCAGAGGGTGGATAACATATTTACACATTGAGGAAACGATGGAACATGTGTTGTATTGCGCAGAAGCAGAGCAAACGATAAATGTGTACGAACTTTCTGCGAAAGACGAATAACGATAAAAAATTCCCCACGTTAGGTTTCAGTATTGATTTTCGAGGCGAACATTCGCTGCAAATTTTAGAATATCCAACTACATCATGAGAAGACGTCAATTCCTAAATGATTTTGATACTAGCAATACGACATACTCTTCAATGATCCTTACACATTTATTTCGCCTACAAAGCTAGACATATCTTTTAATAATTAACGGGGTGATAACAATTAATTACAATGGGTCTCTTCGCAAAACCATCGAAGACGTTGGGGTCCCGGCAAAACGGCTGTACTTTTGGTTTCTGTAAAGCCCAGTTGCCGTGGATTCGCTTAATGTCTTGGCCATCAAACTAGCCTCTCCTGGAATAGCCTAAAGACCCATTTTGAAGCTTGGCCAAAAAACTAACCTCTATCAGCTTGGTGTGTTTTCCTTACCCTGGCACTTATGGCAGCCCCCTACCGGCCGGTCCTTGCCAGGTTATGTGTCAAAGCCGACCAAGGAACACAGCCCGATTCTCATGTGCAGAATAGCGCCAACTCACTTGCACACGTATATGAAACATTAAGTTTGGTCAGCGACCATGTGGATGAGTTGATAAGCAGAAAAACTGCGTGAACGGATCATTCAACGTGGGCAATGCCCAATAATGATTTTCAGGAGGCATTAGAGTGACAAACAACGACTGGACTAGTTACCAGCTTGTCAAGTCAAAGACCGATTGGAGAAGCAGAAAATTTGAGAACGGCATAAATGCGCTAACACCATCCTTGCGGGCTGTTATACCAGGCGTTCAATTCGATGTCTGTCAAAGGGGAGAAAGGCTTCGCGGATGCAATTGCACAAAACCCTCACCTGTATTTACTCCGAAGGTAACCGTTCGTAAGTGAGCCCTTCCTTGCTGACGTTTTGTTCAACCTATCTGTTTTGTTCACATAAAGCTATGACATCACCATGTTTTATCTCGACCATAAAGTAGGCCGCTTATTGCATTCTGACCTCAAGGTCACTATTGGCTGGTGCTCGATCCAGTCGCTTGAAACTGTGTTACGTAAACCTAACTGCAGATAGAACCGAGATCCAGGCTTTTTGTATTTCACACAGTATAAGCGGCAGATCCCTATAGTATCATGCCGAAATCGTTCAGGTGTCTCTAAATGTCAAGGTTTCCCAACCTTACAGCCCCCTAGCCAGGCATTGAAGCGCCACAATTCTAACGGGGTGGTTTCAAACGAGTTCGGCGGAGACGCTTCGACCCTTCGTTGTTGGAAGGAGAGCCGGCAATCACAGCTCGGGCTTGCACGAGTTGCCTCTCCTTTCAACCCGCTTCCCAGCCGGAAGCAAATGGCCCAAAGAGACAAGACAATGCATTCTGTAGGATTTGGAGGCCTCTTCTGTCCGTCTCTTTCAGTTGCTTTCAATCTGTTACTCAGTATCACGGTGCTGTTTCGATCTTGTAATTTGGTACAATGGCTGTGTCAAGACGGAAACACATGGCGCAAATCATCTTAAATCTCAAGGCACAGGTCATTGTGTTCGACGTTAGAGATAGCCTCCATACGGAAGCTGCGGTAACTAGCATCCCAAGGCAGGACTAAACAACACTAGAAAACGAGATTCGAGATAGGTTCGTAGAAGAAATCCTAACGGGAAAAGACGATATGATTCAAAATTGTGTCGGCGCGCTGTTACGGGACCGGTGACGCTGGATAATCCTCGGCCGAGGCAAGCCAGCTGCTTCGCTTTGGGCCACCACTTATTAGTATTAAAACCAACACCCAACTAAGCTTAGTATCTATTCTTATCCCCATCCGTCGTTAGTTGCGTGGAGTGGCTGGCTTGATTTAAGGCTATCAAAACGCCATGTAACTGAATCTGCTGAAAACACAAGGTATCTCCACATTTGGCCTCGGGACGGGCCGGCACCGGAGTCCGGCATGAGGTTCGGTACCGAGGTCCGATACGCATTAGTCATTAGAATGCCATACGTGCAATCGAATCATACGTACGCACACTGAATGAAACCTAAGCCAAACAAATACTTAAACATACTTTTAACACAAATCTCATTGAACACCACTTGAACGATTGGGTCTTGATCTCAATTTCCTACGAAACATTAAAAAGCCACAAAATGTCCGATTTCTCACATTACGGCGGCCCCAGCGAGGAGTGGTTGGCGGTGGAGGCCGATTTGCCCTCTCTGCCGACTGGCCTATCTATATCCGAGCGCAAGAGTGTTACGAACAAACTCCGCGAAGAGCTATCCGCGAAAGCCATGAAATCCATCGGGGATCAACTTCGCATCCGCGATTGGACGTTGCCCACTCGCGATGGTGCAACGATCGTGGCTCGAAGCTACCGAGCCAGAGCTACGGGCGAAGAGCCTCTGCCTGTTTACCTATACTTCCATGGTGGTGGGTTTCTCTTCGGTACACTCGCTTCGGAAGACGCAACATGTGCTCGCACCGCTCTCAGCAATAATGTTGTCGTTCTGAGCGTAAATTACCGGCACACACCTGAGTTTGTTTACCCCACAGCTTGGGATGATGCTGAGGACGCTTTCATCTGGCTACATGCAAATATCAAGGAGATTGGTGGCAAAGCAGACAAGGTCATTGTCGGCGGCCCCTCTGCTGGCGGACAACTCGCAGCCTCTCTCACGCTTGCTCAACACTTAGGCAAGTTTGCCAAAGATTTGCCTCCGATTGCGGGTCAGATTCTGTTAATTCCTTGCTTGGCACATGTCGACTGCTACGAGCCCCAATCGAAGAAACTGAAAGACCCCTCCAAATCGTCACTCATCGAGAACGAAAACGCCCCACTCCTACCAAAGACCATGATAGATCTGTTTACTGGTCTCCTCAAAATCACCAACCCGGATGTTAATGATCTGAGATTGAATCCTGGTAATGCAACCCCCGATCAAGTGAAGGGTCTCCCTCCGTCAGTATTTGGAATCTGCGGTTTAGATCCGTTTAGAGATGAGGCCTTGTTATACGCCAAGATGCTTGCAGAAGCTGGGTAAGGAGCTCAAAGCTCGACCGTTAGTCGCTAAGCTAACCCATCATCTAATAGTGTTCCGACCGACGTCCACATTTTCAAGGGTGTTCCTCATGGCTTCCGGAGATTTGGCGACAAGCTTTCAGAGTCACAACATTGGGACGACACTATTGATGGCGGAATTACCTGGGCTCTGACAAAGCCAGCTGCAACAGGCGAGTTTGTTATTCGTGAGCTTTAGATCTATGCTTGGACGTTTCTTCCACTGCGGCATTGTAAAAATGCACTTGGTTCGACCCTAGCAATATTTTGAAAAGTGTTTCAAGCATACTTTACTTGTATCTTAAACTAGCTGTTATGACAAGTCAAAAATGCCAACAACTCTTGATAAGACTCAAATGAAATGCAGGCCTTGATCTATGTTTAAGCAAGATTGAACAAGTGATGTAATGACCCTGCAAACATGTGTACAAATAATTGACATTGCATCCTTTCCTTAAATACTCACGATGACCAACTAACTTCAACAAAGCACAAAATCAGAATATTCCCTAGCTCGTACCTCATCGCATCTCTTCCTGTAGCCAGGCGCAGGTCCATTATAGCGCGTCATAGACCTCTTTTGTTTGTGAGTCAGGTTTTTGTTGACGCCAGTCATCCAAGAATCCACCTCATTTGCCAACAAGCCCTCGCCACATTGCCAGACATGCTCCGTCCACATACGCATGCCTTCGTCGGTAGCCTCGACAGAGGTGATACCATGGTCGCGTGCGTGCTGTATAAAATCTGCCACCCAGTCCACAGCATACTCGATGCTGCGAGGAATGTTTCCAAACATCTGGTGAGGTCCCATAATCATGAACATATTTGGAAATCCCTTGACGGTCAGCCCGAGGAAGGTCTGGATACCTTCACTCCAGACATGTGAGAGCAGAGTCCCTCCAACGCCCTGGAAGTCAACCGCTCGGAACGAGCCGGTGACGGCATCGAATCCAGTTGCGTAAATGATGACGTCAAATTCGAAATCCTCTTCCTTTGTTTTAATGCCCTTATCTGTTATCCGCTCAATCGGATTAATGGTCAGGTCAACTAGACTGACGTTTTGCTGATTGTAAGCCTCGTAGTAGCCACTTTCCAGAGGAACCCGACGAGTACCAAAACCGTGGTTCTTGGGAATAAGCTTCTCAGCGATATTTGGATCATTGACGCGCTGACGGATCTTACTGGCGTGAAAATCGCTGTAAAGCTTGTTTGCCTCTCGATTGGTATAAATGTCACCCGAGACACTCAAGACCTTTGCGAATCCTGGCTGTGCATAAAGGGCTTCCCAATGTTCGAGACGTTCCGCTACTTCCATATCGAACACACTCTTCGTATTACCAACGTGAATGAAACATGCGTAAGAATTAAGGCATTGTCGAAAAATTTCGGGATAACGCTCTCGAATACTCGTCATTTCTTCAGGGCTGATCTTCGTGTTTCGTAGCGGTGCAGTCCAATTTGGAGTGCGTTGGAAGACAGTCAGAGAGCCAACCGTCTTCGCAATCTCCTGAATAATCTGAATGGCAGTTGCGCCTGTCCCGATGATGGCCACGCGCTTTCCTTCAAGACTTACACCTTCACCCGGCCAACGAGCTGTGTGCCATGCCTCTCCTTTGTAGCTGTGAACGCCAGGGATGTTGGGCAAAGTAGGCTCGTTTAGAATGCCCATCGCCGTGATAAGGTAGCGGCAAGTATATGTGCTGCCAGTTGAGTCGGTCAGCAGCCACGACTTAGAGGTTTCCTGGAACTTTGCTGATTGAATGCGGGTTTCGAACTGCATGTTTTTTTTCAGGTCAAATTTCTTGGTGAGATACTGGATGTAGCGTAAGGTCTCTGTTTGGGGAGAGAAATGCTCGGACCAATCCCACTCATACAGTACCTCTTGAGAGAAAGAGAAGATGTACGAGTAGCTTTCTGAGTCAAACCGAGCTCCAGGGTAACGATTCCTTGTAGAATGTTAGTTTATACGGTCCAGGCTGTCGTCTACAATACTTACCAGAACCAGGTGCCACCTTCTGAGGAACCAGCTTCAAGTACTTTGACTCGTAAGCCAAGTTCACGAACACGATACAGCGAAAAGATGCCGCTCAGTCCCCCGCCAATGATCAAGACATCGTAGTCTAGGTCTTGATTGGCTGACTTAAACGTCTCTGCGCTCTTGTCGCTGGGCTTAAAGCCGTTTGTTTGAGGCATGGCCGTGAAGTTGCGAAACTCGTTGCGTATGCGGTTTTGACCTTGGTTCAAGTGGACGATCAAATCTTCAAGCCGGTGGCTCAGTATGTGAGCCAAAGCAAGGGTCCGTAGAGATATAGCTACAGGGAACGTGCGGGACAGTTGTGGGTGTCACACTTTTAGTATGAGTATGCTATCAAGGGGGCTTGATCCTGTGGAGACCAAGTGAGGGGACTCGTGGGGTTCCTGGCTATTGTGGAATACTTTCGTGGACTACAAATAGATATACTTTCGGCCCGGCGCGCTGAACAGTCTCGGTTAACCCAATAAGACAACTGCCGAAAAATGGTCAGTGATGATGCGCCAAATTCATGACTCAGGTGCCTCGATAGCGATGACCCATCAAACGTGCTGTGATAGCAAGTTCTTGTTGGTGTGTTTCTGTCGACCAGATTATCCACCAAATTGACGAAAATGCAATCCAAAATAGAGGCAGGCCAACCTGGAAATTTAAATTTCAACAGCTCAACTTGAAACTCTTTTTCTAGGTCAACTTGAGTATGTTCCAGGTCCCTGCTGTCCTTCTCTGCAATGTATTTTTACACCTGTTCTTGTAACAGTATATTGAAGCCCTCAAATTTTCATGGGTAGTCATAGAAGAACATTAATCCATAGCAATTGCAATTGGATCGTGATAACGTATGCACGTCTTTGTTTGCAACAGATTTCCTCATTGTCAGTGTAACTCAAAACCAGGAAAGATACATCAGTTCACTTTTTTGTTTTCATCTTTTTGGTACCCAATTATGAAGACCACTGGGCTACAACAGTAAATATGTCCTCGTTGTAGTCTGCCTCATGCAGTGAGACTACAGCCTTTGCGACCAGTGCAAATTCCAAGCCAAGAGTAGCATTAATTAAGGTATGTTTGTCGATGTTCCTCTCAGCAGCTGAGTCCAGCGGTGCCATGATCTTGGTTACCATTTGAAAGAGAGAAGTATGGAGAGAGAGGTGATGTGAAATATACACCGGCGAGACTGTCTTAATTGGAACTGTTACCACCCAGCCCCAGCTATGCGACTCGGAGTGGCTGGGAAGGCGTATCTGTTCAGCCAATACCTTTGCCAGTACCTGAGGCTTGACAACCATTCATAGAAGAATCTGTCAAGTCACCTGGGGCTATAATGTATCACCTCAACTTCGTTATAGTCCACACAAGTTACCGATTTGATGAATGATGAGATACGCTAGCTATCTCCACCATCTGCTTGCGTTGGTTCTGATTTTGGACTACAAATCTTATACCAAGAGATTTAAGTAAGTTATTAGGTTAATGTCTTGCAGTCTAAGACTGCCAAATCTGGCTTTCCAAGGGCAATTTGTTCGTTTGGTCGGAGGTGTTCTTGGTGAAGGCGAATATATATGTTCTGGGCTTACTTCAACAATCCATGTAGATAAGACTTTATCTCGTTGGAGCCGACGGAAAGTAGCCTTCACGATTTATGGAGTCAACTTGTGACAATCAATGAACTATACATGGTGTGACAGTGTTGAAGAACCAACGAAATATGAGCCAAGCCAGCTGTTTGCTTATCGATCGAGCCAATCCAGCAATTCAATTTAGAGTGTCCTCATCAGCAGAGAATCCCTTTTTGCGAAATGCGATGTTGCCACGTTATCATTTGAAACAGACACGTGCGTTTGAGTGACTCCTCAAAGGGCTGCAGGATAGCACACTCAACAACTCCAGTAACATCCATGGCACATACGGCGCAAGTGTCATCGCCTTTTGAAATCTGTTGCATCTTCCATGCCTGATTACTTTCTCCTCATTACCTTGCTACTTTCCCCGAAACAAGATGCCATGCAGGGAGCAGACCCTTACACTGGGATTATGCTTCTGTGCTGTTTCCTTCGTTGGTCGAGAGGATCGAATGGTTCCAAGCTTAGCGGAAGCTCTATTCCCTATGTTACCACTAACAAAATGGTAATTAGTATACTCAGCTTAGGTATCGTCAACTTTCGTAAATACCAACAAAGGCTCCATAAGTAGATTCTGCGGAGCATTTTCAAACCACTTGCGACACCTACTCGGTCGTGCCGATAGCAGGCACACAAGAAAAGTAAGGCACAGCGGTGCCGAATTGCCGGTCCACCTTGGCGCCGCGACAAAGTGCCGTTCGGACCGGCCCCACCGAGGCACCAGCCACGCGTCTCCCGCCAGCCAAGAGGCTTGATGAAGTCACCGTGGAGCTACTGCGTATTGTGCGCAGTACCAGACGGCACCAGAGCCGTCCGCAGCCTTAGGACATGACTTGTTCGCGGTAAGGTTGAAGCTGTGAAGATAGGCTGGACCTTGACCTCCAGGGATTACGGTTCCTTGAATGCGCCACACTGAACTTCTACTTGCTGACGCGTTGCTGCTATCATAGCGTTTCTCAGCCATGCTCATGACGTGCCATTTGTGTTTGGCAGAACCAAGAAACAAACAAGACTGAACGATTTCGTGTGCCCAGGAGTCATGGCATAGTAGATGATATAAGGTACTCGTGTGACCCTATCTAGTGACCAAAGCGTTTGCTGTACAACACACAGCTCACGTTTGCGCCTCATTTTACAGCGAATCATCCAAGATACGAACCTCAATCTACCCAATCACAGCAAATCTATCATCAAAGAAAGTACGCTTAACGAGTCGCACAACTTGCAAAAATTTCAAAAATGGTAAGAGATATTTGCAAAGTGCACGAAAGAAAATTCAGTAAAAGCATGTTCTAACACGACATGGAATAGGCTGGACGTGGAAGACGCCTCGCAACCGGCGCCATTGTCGGTATCGCCATTGCCGGTTTCCTCTTCATCGCCTTCTGGGCTCTCTGCTGCTACTGCTGTTGCTTCCGAAACAAACGCAAGCAGCAGCGCGGCCGCCAGGTACACCCCGTCGGTGGCGGAGGTGGGGGCATGTTCTCCCGCTTCATGCCCGGACGCCAGCGCCAAGGCCCGGGAATGATGGAGTCCGGATACGGACATGGGCATCACGGTGTCGCCCGACCCGCTCCGTCACATGGATACAGATGATGCGCAAGCCCATGGATATCGACAAGCACGGAGGAAGCTAGATCGAGTTGATGTAGGGCAAAAGTGGCTTAGATCGAACAGCAATTACGCGCTGGAGGGAGTGCGCGACAATTTCTTTTTGGAAGAGCGTCGGATCTGCAATCAGACTAGAACGCTATATCTTGCATTAGTTACTATGGACGCATGGGTATTATGTTTGCTTGTGATTTTGTTCAGGCAGATCAGATGTGTTCTGTCTCATGTTCACGTTTCTGTTCGACGGCCTCGACTCTTCGCTCAAGATCATGGGTCTCAACCGTCTTCATATCCAACGTCGGGATGAAAAGAGGAGCCTCGGTAAAAAGGTACCTCATCTCTTCGAGGGGACGTCTGGCGGTTTCGGGAAGGAAGGCCCAGAAGAAAAGGGCATTGGTGAAGTTGCATACCTACGAAGCGAGCAAGTTAGTTTTGTTGATTGATAGTCACCCGAAATGTAGAAGGTCTTACAATAAAGAGGATGTACCAGCGCCAGCCGATTCCGCTCTTGTCATCGAGGGCAACGGATGTGGTCTGGCCGATGAGGGTGTTGAAGGCATATGAGATCATGGTGGCGATCGAGACACCCTTGGAACGAGTCTTCATGTCAAAGATCTCGGCAGGGATAATCCACGAGAGGGGACCACAGGTGGCGCTGAAGCTGAAGTTGTAGAGCCAGGTCATGGCGATGAAGCCCCAAGCGGCGCTTCCACTAGCATTTTCGGACCCGGGGGGGAACTTGGCGAGCAGAATGGTTGCGATGATGAAAGTAACGCAGTTGCCGAGATTACCCAAAATCAAGGGCCAGCGGCGACCAGTCTTGTCGATGAGCATCATGCAGAGGAACTGGGCGACAAGTGCGATGACGGAGGAGATGGCCTGGTAGCGGAGAGTCTCGTCACCCGCGATGCCAATCTTCTCATAGATGGCGACGGAGTAGTACTGGATGGCACTAACACCGGTCATCTGAATAGAAGCCTGCAGAGCGCAGGCAAGGAAGAGACGACGGAAGCAGGACTTGTCGGTAAAGAGCTCCTTGTAGGACTTGGCGGAGCCCTCGTGCTCAATGGCAATAGACTCTTGAATCTGATCGAACTCAGCACGGACCCAGGCGTCGTTGACATCGCCGTGTGCGTGGAGCTTGGCCAGAGTCTGGAGACCCTCGTCGACGCGGCCGTGGTCAATGAGCCAACGAGGAGACTCGGGAAACAAGAGAATGAGCAGGGCCAGGATACCGCCGGGAATGCACTGGATACCAAGACTGACACGCCACTGGTTGTTATCGTTCTCGGCAAATCCGATGTACGTGCCGTATGAGATCCAAGCGGCAGCGAGAGCGCCAACACCAAGCATGAACTGTTGCAGAGCGGTGACTCGTCCACGAATACTGGGGTGGCAAAGCTCGGCTTGGTACATGGGAATAATCATGGTCAGGAAACCGACACTGCGAAACGAGACCAGTTAGTATACCGAGGCGAAAACTGCAATCACGGTGGTTCACATACCCGATACCAGCAAGGGCGCGGCCGGCGTAGAGGAAGGCCAGAGACTGCGCTGCGGATTGGAGAGCACCACCGAGAACGAAGATGGAGGCGCCGATCAGAATGGTGAATTTACGACCGAGTCTATCACCGGTGGGGCCAGCAAGACCAGCACCGATGAAACCACCTCCGGTGAAAACGGAGACGACTGCACCACTGGATAAAGAGTCAGCTTGGTGCTTCATACGGAGCAGGCCGCAGCCACTCCCGCGAGGCGCATAGTGCACGAAAGGCAAGCAACATACATCTCGTTGGGGTCGTCGCCGAACTTGGTTTTGAAGGATGCCGAAGCAATGGCAGAGGCAATGACACCCAAGTCATAACCGTAATTAAAGGAACCAAGCGACGCGAAGACGCTCACAAGGAACTGATACCACTTGGGAGGGAGCGCCATGATGGGCCGAGTACGAGATGACGCGGTCGAGGCTCTCGGTCAACTGTTGGCGAATGTGATCTTTTGTCGCAGGATCGTTCGAGATGAAAGAGTTTCCAGGACGGAAGGTTTTCGAGGGATTCAAGATCAAAACGACTCGTCACGCTGCAATGGACTCGACTCGCGTGTTGCATCAGCACGAAAGGATCGTCGCGTCTTTATAGAATGTTCGGCCGACCCCATGTTTTCCCCCGCATCCACTTTGTCCCGAAGGTCACATCGGCTGGCAGCCCGTTGATGCCAGGGAGTTACCGGTAGAGTCTCTCTTCCCAGTTCTCCAATGCCATGGGGCAGCATGGGTTCGAAGCTAGTGCCGCGCATTGGAAAGGTTGCTAGGTAGTAGGTAGTGTTCACCCTGGCGCATTCGGTTGGTGGTAAAGTTGCTGGGGAATGCGAGTGGAGGTGGAGACCACGAGAGCCCCTAGCTTGCCAATTCCGGGAGGCTGCGAGCCCATCAAAGGACGGCATCGGTGACGGTTGCCCCGGCCTTCGACCCCATGCCCCAGGTTGGGCCGGGATGCGACAGGCTGGGCCAGTTTGTTGGTGCTCGCGCATGTGGCTAGCGTCTGCGCATATCGAGCGAGTCCCGAGGAAGGCGTGAAACCGTCGAAAGAGGGCTCGAGAAGCGCCTGTTTGGTATGGACAGATTCCTGGTTCGCTGGGCTTCTCCAATCTCCATACTTCTGGGACGCGGGCACGCGGGGAAAAGACTGCTGGGATGGGGTGAGGGTTGAAAGGCGGAGTGTGTGGTCGTGCGCATGGTACGCTGGCTCGGTTCATAAGCACCGACACCGACCGAACAAATAATATATTGACGACCGAAGGCAGACAGACCGTCGGACAACTTGTCAGTTCTTGCCCAGCCTTCTAAGGTCCCTGTCTGAAGCAGAGCTGCGGCTTCCGGAGCTTCGATGGACCAAGAGAGCAACTTCATGAAAGTCTGTTGGCTGTTTCAGGCATGCCGCTAACACGCGATACTCGGCTCGGTATAGGTAGTGACCAGAACATCCTTCCTATTTTCCTCACCAAGAGTAAGTGCGTATCCATCTTGATCCTCTTTTGATTCCGTGATGACCCGTGCTACCCGTGATCCCGAGGAGTCCACTTTGAGGCCATAATTACCACAGTGATGGCTTCTTAAAGCAAGCCCTACCGTGCGTATTTGACGAATGCATCTAGCGTCCGAGGTACGTCTTGCTTCAAACGACTGTCGATTGGCTCATAGGAGTACCAAAAACCCCACTAACCCCACACTTCTTAGCCAATGTCGTCACCTTTTCTCAGGCTGGGGACATAACACTCAAGCTTTAGTGTTTGGTCAGCATAGTATGCGCTCCAATCAGATCGATCCACTAACCGAGGGTACCCCACAGCCGGCGGCTGATCCACTCCTCGTCGCCCTCTGCTCTCCCCCACTCCATCTCGGGACCTGGCGAGGAACGGGCTGCTCCGCATTCCCTCCGCCCTCTCGCTCATTCACCTATTCATTGCTCCGGACCTCACCCCCTTCCTCTCCTTGTCAGTTCATCACCCACACTAGGTAGGTAGTGTACGCACCCTCCCACGCTTTACCAACGCTTGCCTACCGCACCCGTCTTGACCGTTTCCACGCGCCGGGCTTTTAATTCCTGCCCATGGGCAGCCGGCCCAACCAGCAGTCTCGAAGTCCTCCTGCTCTAATGGCTAAGCTCAGCCTCCATTTGGCAGCGACGGCTTGTCCTTGTCAAGCAAAACCAAGACTCGATGTTTGGCGACCGCGCCACGTCTGGTAACCTTGGCAGGTCTTGACATGCGCAAGCTCCCAGTGCCCCGGTTGTACTCCGCGCGCCAGGTTGCAACACGGGGCCTGAAATGGGTTCTGGCCTGATCAAATAAGGCACCTGATATTGAGACGCAATGCAGCCGGTATGATTCCGTTCTTCGTGCCTTGGCTGGCTGCCACGCTCTCCAGCGAAAGAGACAACAGACCTCATCGTGTCTCTCTGTCAACGCCCCAAACCAAATGCACCAAAGCCCCACCTTCCTGCGGCCATATGTACACACAATATGATACCGACATCTGGATTCGATCCTTCTTGCAACATGCCTCGGCGTGCAACAGCTAAAGACACAGCTGAGGATTTCCCCATCCTTGAATCTCCAACTATTCCCCATTATTGTCCTCCAACCTCTCTCCCCAAGTGTTCATGAACCCCATCCCGGCCCCATCCCATCCTACTCTAAGCTACCTGGTAACCCGTCCCATCCACTCAGCAGACCACAACACACACCAATCCTGTGCCTCTCGGAGCCGACTACTCCACCCCCGAGACCCCCAGCACTCGCGTTATCGTCGACTTTCTCCGCATGGTATCGTCTTTGATTCGTGCGCCTGTCGCACCACCTCCCAAAACTGGCAGAGTCGAGACTTGAGGGAGCCGCACATGCTCTCCGCTCGAAACTTGTTGTCATCTGTCCAATATGGCCGGGCTTTGGTGACCCCGTCGAATCGGGGGCCACCCCCTCATCAGATGCCCCAGTCAAATGTCGTTTGCCCAGGTATCCCAACTCGAGTGAAGCGACTGCGGCGACTGTTGTGGGAGACTGGTGCTGCCAAAATCGAGTAGTCAGGCGCCTAGTCTGTGTTCCCTCCACTGTCGACCCAATGTCCTCCTCCCTTGTTTTTCTGCCACTCTCCAGTCCGTCTGCGTTGTTTGACCGCTTGTCCCCGCCCCTGACGAGTTCAAATTCCGGCCTCGATCCGGTGTCAGTTACGCGGTCGACAGGTCACGTCCATTTTCCACCACTCATCGACTAGCTGTCATTTTTTTGCATTAAAGTGTCAGCCACAGGTTGATCGAACCATCACCACATACTGCGAAGCTTGAATTGTTCAATAGTACATACGCACATTACACCCATCCAGATCCAGTCATGGCGACCTTTACCAAGATCGCAGAGGATGCGCGCCCCAGCATCACATTGAACCCCTCCCACATCATCTCCAAAATCGATGACAACGTCTACGGTGGCTTCACCGAGTAAGTCTTGCTGCGCCGCCGCCTCTCTCTCACCCGAACCCTTCGCCCTAAGCACGCCGTGATGACTTACTAATACCTACGCTACAGGCACATGGGAAGATGTATCTACGGCGGCATTTACGACCCTGGTAACCCCCTCTCTGATGAGGACGGATTCCGTAAGGATGTCATTGAGGCATTCAAAGAGCTGAACTGCCCTGTTGTGAGGTATCCTGGTGGCAATTTCGTCGCTACCTATCACTGGATTGACGGTGTTGGTCCCAAGGAGAAGCGTCCCAAGAGGTATGAAAAACAATGTCTCAGTTTGAAGTTGTAGTCTGTACGGGGTCCAGACCCTCCAGCAACACGGAATCCTTCGGAGGTCCGGACCCCTGCTCGGACGGCCCGCCTTTGGTTCGCGGAGAGTGGCTAACCCGCGTCCACACGTTAGACCCGAGCTGGCTTGGATCGGCGTTGAGAGCAATGAGTTCGGAACAGACGAGTTCATGAAGTGGTGTGAAGTTGTTGGCGCGGAGCCTTACCTTGCTCTCAACTTTGGTACTGGAACACTCGATGAGGGTATGTTGCTCCCCTTTTTTGAGACCTCGTTTCCGCCAACGGATGTGACCGATGAACCCATCTGACTGACCGGTTTTCAAAGCTCTGGCGTGGGTTGAGTACTGCAACTCTGACAAGGACACCTACTACGCCAACCTCCGTCGTCAAAATGGCCGCGAGAAGCCGTACAACGTAAGTCGTCAACGTTTCTATCATTTACGCGTACATCCCGCTTACCTGATTGATGCCAGGTCAAATACTGGGCCCTGGGCAATGAGATGTGGGGTCCCTGGCAGGTCGGCCAAATGACCAAGGAGGACTACGCCAAGCAGGCGTACCAATGGGCCAAGGCGCTCAAGCTTCTCGACCCGTCCTTGGAGCTGATCCTCTGCGGTGAGACTGGCTTCAGCAGCTGGGACACGTACGTGATCAAGGAGTGCATCACATGGAGCTTGCACGGCCTTGGTGGCAGCACCACTGCGTCCCTGATCGACATGCACAGCATTCACCTCTACACCGCGTCGGAAGACCATCTGAAGAACGCCACGGGTAGGTTTCTCAGTCTCCCGTTACACAAGCCGTAGTTTGCCGGTCATAAGACTGACCTCCTGAACAGCACCTAGGGCAGCCGAGCGCGCCATTGAGATTACGGGCAGTCTCATCGACCTCGCCCGCATCGAGAACAAGGTACCCCCTACCTGCAAGAGACAGAAGATCTGCTTCGACGAATGGAATGTTTGGGACCCTGTCAGAGCGCCTGGTGAGGAGGGTGGCGAGGAATCGTAAGTCGGGACTTTGATGATGAAATCACGTCCTTGCCGCCGGAGATTGCTGACCGAGCTGATAGCTACACCCTCTCAGACGCTCTCGCCGTTGGCGTCTGGTTGAACGTCTTTGTTCGTCAGGCCAAGTATGTTGGCATGGCCAACATCGCGCAGTCCGTCAACGTCATCTCCCCTTTGATGACCACAAAGGATGGTATCACCAAGCAGACCACTTGGTGGCCTCTGCTGCTCTTCAGCAAGTACATGAGAGGTTCTACCATCGCCACCCACGTTCGCTCCCCCGAGTACGAAGGCGCTACTGAGCCCAACTGGATTCGGGGCGCCATCGAGACCCCTTATCTCGACGTCAGTGCCACCGTTGACGACAACGGCTTCGTCAATTTGGCCGTCGTCAACGTTCACGAGACCAAGAGCTTCTCCGTCGATCTTGAGGGTGTCAAGGAGGGTGCCGATATCCAGGTTTACACCGTTACTGGAGAGAACGTCAAGGTTGTCAACAAGGGTGACGAAAATCCGGTTGGCATTGCTGAGAGCAAGTGGGACGGCAAGGGCGCATATGAGTTCCAGAAGGCGTCTGTCACGCTGCTGAGATGGAAGCACTAAGAGACCTGGCTGGCATTGGGGGAGGAGAGGACGACATTCTACATGAATCCATCTGGAGCACCTGCATACGTGATGTGAAATGACTTTAATTGATGCAGGGTCGGGTCCCACAAGGAGATGGGCTTGGCAGGACCAACATCACCCGGCATTTATGTCTACATATAGGATCAAATAGACGGTTATGACATAAGGAACATGTGGCCTTCAGTACCTTGTTCCCAAAATCGAACGCGTTGCAACTTTAGAGCCAAACACACCCTTTGATTGGAATCCTCGGCGTGCACGTATCCCAGGCACTAAGATGCGTCGTAGACCATTGTCACCGACAAGCCGTCGGATCCCGTTGACAACTCTCGTATGTAACTGCTGAAGTTATTCGGCCTGGCTAAAATGCTGCGGGGGAGATTCCTAGGATAACCCTTCGTGCATCTGAAGTCGGGGCCTATTGCACTAGGCAGTCTCAGTTATTTGAGCTATGACACGCCGCTATTCTATGGCGAGAGGGGGAAACCCCCCCAATCCGAGTATTCTACCCTTCAGGGGGATTGCCGCTTGAGTGGGTGTGCCTCCGTATTCAGCACATACTCATCGAGGTTGATGAGATTTGGAGGCGAAAAGATCAAGTAAAAGTATTTCAGCGTCTCGGACAGCCAGAAACTCTGAGACAATTGTTAGTCACGGCATTCCGATACTGCATCTTCTGGGTTGCTGCAACGTACCTCCATTGAATCCAGCTTCTTTGTCTCGCCTTTGACAGTTACGTCTTCGATAGCCGAGTTTGCATACTGCGTTTCGGTCGCCTTAGCGATCGACTGGAACATTTTCCAGGCTATTTCCTGGTATTCGGGGTTGCCGGTCATTCTGTACATTAGGAAGATGCTCTCAATAGCCTCTGGTCGGAGGATGTATCGCGGGTCACGAGCATGGGAGAACCCCTTTTTCAGATCGGAGGCGCCTTCGCGCTTCCATCGCTCCTCGTCCCATTCACAACCATCCAATGTCTCGCAAGTGACCATACCAAAGATTTCAGGCATGAGTCCTGTAGGAAAAGAACTGTAGGCCCAGCCACAACCGCGAGCCAGCCTCTCAGCTAGGCCCACATGCTCTTTGATTCCGAACAGCTTGCCACCGAGCCCGAACATGCCACCCACGAAGCACGATAAGTGCTGGCTCTCAGGGTTGCTTCTTATGTTGCCATCAACGAATGCCGTCCCTGAAAAGAGGATATCCTCGCCATCGGGAAGCATGGGGCGAAATAGGAGGTGCTGCTCGACAACATGCATGGCGTGGCGATACATGTTTTCGTACGCCGGATCGGTCCCGCCAAGCAAGGCGAACATTTTGGGCAGATATTCGTACAAAGAGTCGGCTAGGGCTCCCAAGGTAAACTCGGTGTGTTGTGTGACAGACTGGTCCCGGAAATTGATAAGAGCCGGCCACATGCCAGGCAACTGGCTCTCGCGCTGCGTCTTTTCCAAGAAACGCTTAACTCTCTCAATAGCGTCAAAATACTTGGGGTCCCCAGTGAGTTGCGACAGCCTCGTGAATTCAAGGCCCAGAGAGCAAGGCGAAGCCGAAGGGTCGGCTGTGCCCGCGACGAGGTTTCCCTCTTTCGCGGCCTCAAAATCTAGCCAAAAGGGTGGCATCCGGTTAGGCGTGTCAAAAGAAGCGTACAGCATGTCGCCCAATTCAATGGCTTTGAGCAGCAGTACGGGCTCTCCGCTAAGGTCGTACGCGCTCAGGAGACCACCAAGATGACGAATGGTTGTCTCGAAGACATTGACTGCTGTTTCTTTGGTGTCATCCCAATCCATAGACCCGACGACAGACAAGGCAGCGTCAAAGTCTTCGCGCAAGCCCATTATCCACAGCGTGTCCAGAGCGTCAACAATGGTAGCCGCATAGCCTCCGAATGTGTTCTTGCCCGTAGCAGTGACGGGCGCCAGTTCGTCAAACCCCCACGCGTACTCCTTATAGCTGGTCCAGCTCTTAACGAAGACGTCTCGAACCGCCTGCCGTCGCGACTCGGATGTTGCGTCGTTCTTGTGCATGCGCTTTGCGCCGAAATCGAATTGGACTCGTGGAAGGCTTTTCGGACGTTCCGTCGGCAGGTGGTGCATGGAGGATGGAGCTATCGGGTACTTGTGCGGATGGTTGGCCCAGTCGAAGCTACTCTTGACAAGCCGAATGTTGCCATGTTCGCGAGGTGGTGGTGGATCGTTCGAACGCAGGGTATGGAAGGCGAAGAACCCCAATAAGAACACGGCGATGATTATGACACGCCGTTGTCGTCGGTTGGCCATCTTGGCATGTCGGAAAAGGTTAATTGTCGACTATCCAGGCTGGTGTTGAGCTTGCTCTGGGTGGGAGCTTGGACTTGGAGGTCGTGATTAGATGTAGATGCCATGGCTGCAGATGAACAGCTTGACATCAGCTCTCAGGTGGATAACTGAGTCGCGCTGTGTCTCAGTAGCCGCCCAGTGCCGCGCAAATCTGGGCTGGTTGAGACGAGAATGGCCATGTTTGACGCTTAGGTTCAAGCATTTGGAGACAGTACGTAACTCAAAAACATGGGATTCAGTCAGGGGTAAAGTGGATCCACCGGAATGAACGTCGGTTTCCCACCATAGCTGCCCCCGGGTTTAAGGACCCTGAAGCCCCGCGATTAAGGCACGGTTACGGATGCGTGAAGCTGTCGCCACCACGATCTTTAGGCTTTCATTCGTCGCGGCAGAGTTGAAAGAAACTGAGAAACACCATGTAGTGCTTGATGCTTTCGATAGTCCCTTGAGATGCCCGACCTCCTACCTGAAGACTCTTCAACATTTGGGGTCGCCAGTCAGCTTCTCTGCTAGTGAGTCTTTCAGCATCATCATAATCATTACGACCGAAGGCATCATTTAGCCTCGTTAACAACACCACCATTCTAGCATTGGAGATCAACATGGCCCCATAATCAATATCAACACCAGGGTCGTCTCGCATTGAGTGCGCTACACAAGGTCGCATTGTCTTCGTCACGATGTCAATGCTTACAACGCAACGGGCCGCTTGTGGCACTGGCACCTCTGGGCAATGCAAATGCATCTTAGTTAGTAACACTATCCGCCGGATAAAGCAAGCACATTTAGGCAGATCAACAGTCGCTTGCTGTTCCGTGGCCATGGGTCGTCCACAATCCAAGCTTGATCTTTGAACTACATCGGAGGTGGCGCCATCCGAGACGCCGGCCCCGAATCGCCGGAATTGAGCTGGACCGTTGACGGCTTGATCCCCTCCGGATGCCGATTTTCCCAAAAATCCATGCAGGCCAACACTTTAGAAGTGGGAGTGGCAATTGTTGCCAAGTTTCCCGTCAGCAAAGATTGAAAGCTGCCGTTTCAGGGGCTGATAAACCTTTCTTTCTTCATCTGGCGGTCTGGCGGAAACAGGCGGTTACTTAGCCACCGACTTCTTCCCAGGCATGCGATTACGTTGACTCTGGCCAAGGGGGAGAGGTTACCGAGGCCCCGATCCAATCCACTGCCAGATTAAGGCGCCAGTCAAGACAACAGCGCTCGGCTAGGCGGCTTGTTCGTTCCCAGGAACACACTGTAAAGCCATGTAGAAACGTTCTGGAGTGCAACGGACATCCCGATCATCAAAGACGACTCATGGAATGTGCAGAACGACAAGGATTTAAACTTTTTACGCGGTTTGGTTGAAAGCGGAGATCCAACAAAACAACGAATGAAAGGGAAAACTCGGGAAAATTCCTAGGCCTTGGATGCCAGCCTGGAAGAGCGTGGAGGGGCTCACAAGCCTATGTGTATGTAGAGGTACGACTTGCCTTGTTTGCCGCGGGGTAGTAAGTCTGCAAAACTCAGCAGAGTGGGGGTAGCAAAAATGATTCTTGAGTGGGAGGCTAAGTATAGATACTTGATTCGGCGACTTCGCCAACTAACCATCGCTCGCTAGTGGTTAAGGCTCATGGCCAGGGCCTGGAACAAACACCCGACCCGCCCTAACTTGGATGAAGGATGAACAATAAGAAATCATTGGAAGCCGGTCAAATCCTTGTTGCCTCTTCCTTTTCGAGACTCAGTTCTCTGCTTCTCATTGTGATTATTCCAGTTTTCATATTGTAGGGGGTTGCAATTCAGTTGTTACACTTCAGGTTGCATTGTTGACAGGTCTAGTTTGTCGCGCTTTCAAGGATCATTGCCTGCATATTTTTGTGCATCCACACGCATCGAATTGCCGCCCTCCTACCACCAGAGAGCCGGGTCCAGTTCAGCATCTAACAGCGTTGTATCACCATCGTAGGTGTTGCACAGCACTTATTTGGTTGTATCATATCAATTACCGATACTCATCTCGCTTCCAATCGAACCTCTCCAGATCCTCTAGGTTATCTGATATCCCAGGTTCAAGGAGAGAACCGGAAGTCAGAGCCATGGCAGACATTGAGGCTTCTCGCCCAACGTCCACGGAAGGGCATCCTCATGACCAAGAGAAACAGTATGAAACAACAAGAACCAGGTCTGATCATGGAATCACCACGCCTAGCAATCTGCTTAAGAAGTTCTTGCGCCTAGGCCGGGTCGAGGAGCAAGGTATCGAGCCGATACCACTAACAGAGCGGACATCTACTCGTTACCTTAACGCCTTCACTGTCTGGTGTTCGATGAATGCGAATATCCTTCCGTAAGTCATTTAAGAGTAAACTCTTAAAATTAAACCCCTGACATATTGAAGGATCACATTTGGAATGCTGGGACCCTCGCTTTATGGCTTGAACCTCCGAGACTCATCGCTCGTCATCCTCTTTTTCACCTTGCTCTCGACATTGGCCCCGGCTTTCCTCGCCACTCTAGGGCCGAAGACGGGTATGCGATCAATGATTCAAGCGCGATTCAGTTTTGGGTACGTTCTCTTCAGCAAACACATTTCCGTTTCATTGCTGACATGCTTCTCAGGCGATATCTTGTCTCCGTGCCTGTGGTCCTAAACCTGGCTACGCTGACGGGTTTCTGCGTCATTATATGCGTAGTTGGCGGCCAGTGTCTTTCGGCCGTCACCGACGGTGTTCTCAGCCCTGCTTTGGGTATCGTACTCATTGCTCTTGTTTCCCTTTTGATCTCGTTCTGCGGGTTCAGGGTCTTGCATTTCTACGAGACCTATGCTTTCATCCCAGCAGTGATTGCGATAGTGATCGCCACTGGGTTTGGAGGGTCGAGGCTCAAAGAACAAGCTGAGATGGCTCCTGCAACAGCTCCGTCGATTTTGAGTTTTGGCATGATTGTTGCATCATATATGATTCCGTATGCCTGTATTGCATCGGATCTTACTACCTACTTTGACCCACGAGTTCAAGGTGCTTCGTGAGTAGCTTAAATTCTGAAGATGTGTGGCCGGGTAGCTAACTGTTCCTAGGTACCGTGTGTTTGCTTACAGCTACCTCGGCTTGATTATACCCACCATTCTTTTGATGACACTTGGCAGCGCCATTGGTGGAGCTCTAGCCAATGTGCCTGAATGGCAAGCAGGCTACGATAACACACTTGTTGGTGGAGTATTGGCGGCCATGCTGTCGCCGGCTGGTGGTTTTGGCAAGTTCGTCGTTGTTATCCTAGCATTTACCCTTCTCGGCAACGTCTCCGCCACGCTGTACGCCATCACGCTCAACTTTCAGACGCTAGTTCCTTGGCTAGTACGAGTACCTCGCTATGTGTTCTCGATCATCGTCACAGCCATCATGATACCGGTTTCCATCAAAGCCGCCGATGATTTCTTCCTAAACTTGGAGAACTTTGTGGCATTGATCGGGTACTGGTCCGCCTCCTTCGTCGGCATTGTAGTGGTCGAACACTTTATCTTCCGTAAAGGAGACGCCAAGCTATACGATCATCACAATTGGAATATCGCTTGTAATCTACCTAGCGGTGCTGCAGCACTTGGAGCGGGCATCCTGAGCTTTGGTCTCGTAATTCCCTGCATGGCCCAGACCTGGTGGACTGGGCCAATTGCTGAGACCACTGGCGACATCGGGTTCGAGGTGGCATTTGTTCTGAGCGCACTAATTTATGTTCCTCTGAGATCGCTTGAAAGGCGAATCCTTCACCGATAGATCTGGTATTATTAAGAAATCGTCTATACGTTTTGCTTAGAGGAACGAGATGAGTGGTATCAAAAACATCAAACGTTGTGTATGCTGCATGGTGGTTTAGCCTGGTTACGCAATCGTGTCAATTGCTAGATAAATGCCCAAAGTTGCTGACCAATGTGTATTTCATTGGTGCATACACATGTCAAAGGATTGCGGAGCTGTTGATTACGCCCTTCGGTGACGATGTCAGACAATTACTAATACAGGTCATGATACCACTGCAAGCTTGACAGTGGAAATTTTTACCCTGGTCTGGAACATTAGCACCCTGCCGCTTTAACGGAAATCAAGGCTACATTTCGCGATGCCGAGTCACGTCAAACTCTAACCAAAAACATCTCATCACCGCTTCCGATTCCGGTAAGTAACCAAGAAGCCTACCCTCGTCCCCACCACCATTACAGACATACAGCTATTAGATGAACGAAGACATAGCTAATGCGAAGGTGGTGAGAGTAATTATCGATGTATCTGCAGCTGCTCCATAAAGGCTTGCCGCCGACCAGATAATAACTTCCTCGTTCCTGCTGCTCAAGTTGCCATTTTCACCCTCTCCCAGCTTCTGAACAAGCTTGGAAACATACGATGGCTGATATATGAAGGTGGCCATCTGACGCCGAACAAACTCGTAAGGGACATAGGCTGATGCCTGGATCGACTTACGCCACCGGCGAGCAGTCTTCTTAAAAGAGGTACCCGGAAAGAAATCAGGAAGATACCGGAGGACGGGAATTGTATCGACGGCCCAGGCCATTGGACTAGCAGCAAGCGAGAACTCGCCCATCATCTTCTCGGTCAGTTCTACCAAGGCATTGGGCCTATGTGTTTCGACGGTATAGCCATATGCCATTCGTAATACAGTAGCGTCAGCGTTTCTGTAATTTCTCTGGTTAGCTGGGAGTTTTCGGTTCAGGTAGTTGCTCAGAATTGCGTCTTATAGTGTTCCAACCATCTTCCCCGGCTCCTTCAGCGCCCTCGACTTCCTGAGCATCAAGAAACTGCGCTGCAGAAACCTTGGTGCCCAACTCCTGGTGAAGGAGCTTTCGATAGCGGCGAAACATGGGGCTGTAGCCTTGACAAATAACGATAGACTCATAACCGCACAGTGCATTGGCCATGACCATAGAGGGGCGTCCAGAAGTTTTGACCGCGGCCTGGTCCAGCAGATCATGCGCCATCTTCTTGTCCTGAACGATAACGAGCGTCATAACCATGATCGTCACACAGCTGATGCCGCCATTAAGGTACTTGTGCTTATGCTAGTGCAGATGCTCCGGTGTGCCGTCGGGAGGAAAGTCTCTGAAGTTTCCCAGCACAGGAAGCGGTTTAGGGCCCAGCGGCAGTTTTCGCTGACTCTGTTTTTGCGAATGCTGGTACGCAGTGAATGCCACCAGAGCGAGGACACACCATAGCGGCCAAGGTCCAATGGTCATGCTGGTCAGTAGCTTGCCAACCAAACAATAGCGCTTGAAGAATCGAAAAACTGGTCGACAGATACGGACGCAGCTTGGAAGGGTAAGTTGGCCAAATTCATTGCGGGGGGCGTATTCACCATAACAAAATCACCACTCCGAAGCTCCTCGACGCGCCAATAGAAACTGTTGTGCCACCGTCAGTGGCTGAAGGGAACCAATCCCAATTTACTTCGACAAGTGCGGTCCACTAGAAAAGCCGCTCCGACCCCCCAATATCAAAATGAGGGAACATGCGACACAGTGTAGTGAGGGGACGGCGGGGGCTCGCTCGATGCCCTTCCTGGGGCCTGCTTATAGGCCGCAGAACTGGAAGATCCTGTCTGACTTAGTTAAGAACGCTGCTGGCTCGGTCCAGCATCGAACATGCACCGCGATGTCAGCTTTTAGCGGTGATCATTGGCTTGGCTGCAATCCATCCCGCTCATCACCTGCAGCGATCGATCCCAATGTCCAATTTCACATATAGGAACAAGGGTGCGCCGGGGCAGATAACGGCTCCCTCAGGAGACTCCGGTTGTCAAGCCGAACCAGGCTGGAGACAATCCACTGGGTTATAGCAAGCCCGTTGACGGGGTTCTTTTATGCCAACGACGGCGATTGTTCATTTGGTAATTCGCCTTTCAGCAAAGCTCGGTGAAGCTGGTAGCGATTGATTGAGCCCAGACAAGTGAAATGAGACCACAACCAAAGGAATAGGGTCAAGTGGAGATGTATCATCATTTTTGGCTGCACGGTTTAGACTGTTCAGGAGTCTTATGGGCGCTGGTCTTTCCCAACACCTCGATTTACAAGCACCACGAGGGGGGAAATATGTCTTGATGTTTATGATTGATAAAAAACTTGAGATATTTTTGCTCTGCATCACCCGGGTCCAAGCAAGCTTGTATCTGGGCCCAATACATGCACTTCCATCCAACTAGGGGCAATACTGGCTTATCCATCTAGTTTGAATATCGCGGCTTACTTAAGCCTAGGTAGACCCAAGATATGCCTAGGCAAAAGCGGCGAGAATTAAATGACAAAAATGCCGAGATCGCCACAGTCAGCTTGCTTATGCCCCAAAGACACATAAAATGGACACAAGTTCTGCCGTCCTGCCATGACCTTTGCTAGCCACTCTAGTCAGCATTTCTCTTCAAGATCTTCCCACAACATGGCTCAGCAGCAACTCAAGCTCAAGGCCGTATTCTTTGACTTCATGGGTACGTGTCTTAACTGGCATGCGAGCGTGACCGAATCGCTGCCTCTATCGATTCCGAAAGACGAAGCCTCGAAATTCGCACTCGAATGGCGCAGAAGATACTTCATTGAGATTGCTAGTCGTTATCGTAAAGGCCTCGAGCCTGAGGACATTGATATTACATTTGCACGCGTCCTCGACAATCTACTGGAGCAATCTCCAGAACATGCCACTCACTTTAGCCCAAGCGTCAAAGCGCGATTAATTAAGGCGTGGCATTCGCAACCTGCATGGGCCGAAGTGCCAAAGGCTATCCAGAGTCTCCGCGAAGATCTCGGTCTCGAAGTCTTCGTACACGCCAACGGCACAACACGACTGCAACTGGACCTTACTCGGTTCTCAGGACTCAACTTCAACATGCTGTTCTCCAGCCAGCTCCTAGGTGTCTATAAACCCAGTCCAGATGCATACAACAAGGCCTTGGAACTGGTCAAACTCGAGCCAGAGGAGGTAGTGTTGGTCGCTGCTCACGCGTACGACTTGCGTGGGGCTCAGAAGGTTGGGTTGAAAACAATCTATGTGCACCGGTGGACCGACGACGTCGACGAGGATATAGAGAAGGTCAAATCGGAATTCGATGCTTTTCTAGAGGACATGACGGATCTTCCTAGTGTTATAGCGAAGTTTTGATCTCAAGGAGCGCCGAGAAAAGGCTGGCTAGTTCAATTATACTTGACGTTTCAGCCGTTTCTCATGGTTGGAGTTAAGTTTTCATGATTAGCTGTCACGGTTGCTGTTGGCGAATGTTCATTTTGGTTAACCATCTCATAATTTCATGTTAGAAGCTGTTATTGCCGGCTGCCACCATCTAACAGTTGACTACGCCATTGGGTTCGTTACGACTTCTGTGATGACACTGTCCAAGTCTTCATCTTCCAGCCCCAAAGTTTTCATGGCGAAGTCGTCACGATTTGTCCAGTCAGCGTCTAGCTGGCCGACAGCAAAAACAAGATCCTCAATTGCCTCCGCATCACCAGCGTCGGCCTTTTTCTTGTGTTCCTCGATGAAGCTTTTGGACTCAACCTTGTTCACGGTCCATTTCGAACCGGTTGCTTTCTCGAGGCTCTTAAGCAGCTCATTTTGTGTGATGCAGAAGCTCTGGATAAACAACGTCTTGTTCTTCGTGACGTCGGTGACACCCAGGTCAAGAATGCGCACGACAGCTTCGCCGACTCGTGGGAGCGTTGCAACGGAGGCCTTGATGTTGCCGCCGTCGATGACATCGATTTCCTTCTTGTCCAGGTAGGCGTGCAAGAATCCTTCCTTGACTCCCCAGTCGAAAAAGTGACCACACACGATGCCTGTCCAGGCAAAGTCGGGGTTCTTGTCTGCCAATTCCTGGGCTTTTTGGCGGACGGCGAGCTTGTGGCGGTACAGCGGAATGAGTTCCCGTGCGCGCGGGTTGTCGGCGTCAATACTGCCGAAGTCGGCGGGCATAAAATGCTTCACCCCCGCAGCCGAAGCGGCCTCGGCGATGCGCAAGTGCTGCTCAAGATCGCGCAGTCGGAAGCTGACAATGACGACGTCCTGGCCTTTGAAGGCATTCTTGAGGCCCTCGAAAGAAAGTTGATCGTCGACTTCGATGACTTGCACCTGGTCTGCGCGGTACGGAGGCTTACTCTGGGAACCGGCTCTCTTTAGGGCACTGAGCTTGAACGATTTGGCAGCAACAAGAGCGTCTAGGATTTTGGCGCCCAACGTGCCATTGGCGCCGACAAGGAGGACTGATTTGGCCGTCATGGCAGGCGGATTAGGAAAGGCTGAATTGGACGTATCCAGCGTCTTGTTTGGTAAAGAGAGGTGGCTTGAGGGTGATGTGCGCTGTGGTGCTGTCAATGACAGCATGAGGGGGTAATCTGAAGAGGGATTAGGCCACACTTGTGCTTATCCGCGTCATTCAAACATTTTTGGGGTCGCTTGCCGGAAGTCCTTCCCTTGTGGTAGTGCCGAGCGTGGGTTCAGGCGGGACTACCGCCAAAGGTTCCCAATGGCGAAAGCTATCGCGGCCTCTGGTACTGTCGCCTGTTCCCTGTTAGTACCCGTCGGATTTTTCCTCTGCTATCACGGTCCCAAGCGGGTGTAAAGTGGCCAACCCCGGACCCACCCGGCCCCGAACACCCATGGGGTGAAGCCCACCACTTGTTATCAATCGGACTACATGTAGTCTTCCATGTTACCAGCAGCGACCTCTTGAATTCTGGCATCCTGTGTCTTCGAGATTATAACCCTACCTGATGAGGGACACTGGGGACCCTGGCCATTGAGCATTGGCGCTTGGTTTTCTCGACGTCTCGGCCGATGTCCGGAGTTTAGACACTGGTTATGAAGGGCAAAATTGGCAAGATGGGTATTGTGAAGCTTAAATCCGGGCGCGAGCTCCATGAGCGTCAATGTCTTGGTTAGGGCGATGATGGCGCAGCAACGGCACAACCCCTACCAGCCTTCGAGTATAAGTTCATCAAGTGTTTTCGGAATTCAACAATCCGCAACTACTCATTCCTTACTACTTGGAAATAATTCAAATCTGCCAGTACTATTACCACCATGTCTTCTAAGCGCATTGTGCTCATCACCGGCGCCAACACCGGCATCGGATATGAGACCGTCAGGGCCCTGCTAGAGTCCAAACGGTCGTACCACATCATTTTTGGGTCAAGATCTATCGATAAAGGCAAAGCTGCCATCGCCGAACTCGAAAAGGAGTTTCCATCCACCACCAGCTCCTTAGAGCTCATACAAATCGACGTTGTCGATGACGACTCTATTCTGAAGGCTTTCCAGGAAGTCAAGGACAAGCATGGGGCTGTTGACGTTCTAGTCAACAACGCTGGTATGTTTTGCCCAAACATGTCAATACCGCAATTATACGGCCGCTGATTATTTGACCCACTCAATAGGCGCTGCCCACGACTTCACACCTCAGAACTACAACCCCGAGGATATCAAGACTCTTCGTCAAAATCTCAACAAATCATATGACGTCAACACCTCGGGCACGCATGTCCTCACCCACGTCTTCATCCCTCTTCTTCTCAAGTCATCAGATCCCCGCATTTTGTTCATTACCAGCGGACTTTCCGACCTCCACAGCACCGAAGCTCTTGGTTTGACCCCATTTCAGCCCCAGACTAGCCCACCCGCGGGTTGGCCGAAGCCCTTTTTTATGCAGGTCGGATACCGCTCGAGCAAAACCGCCCTCAACATGATCATGCAGTACTGGCACTGGATTCTCAAGGCCGATGGTGTCAAGGTATGGTGCATCTCCCCGGGGTTCCTAGCTACTGGCCTGGGAGGAAATCCGGAGCTCTTGAAGAAGATGGGTGCGGGCGAACCAAGCCAGGGAGGCATACTGATCAAGCAGGTTGTGGAGGGCGAGCGAGATGCTGATGTTGGCAAAGTTGTCAATAAGGATGGAATCCAGTCTTGGTAGGCCTTGAAAGCATCGCCAGAGATGTATGAGGTACTCATGGTATCCAGAAACGTCACTCAGACTGTAAGGACGCTTCACGTTACCTTGTTCACAGTCCTTACTAGACAGTTTATCTATTTACTCCATCACTGAGACCGTTGTCCCTATTTCTCCCCGAAATCTCCCTTCAAAAGTTTCTAAGTAGTTACCGCTTAAAAAGACAATTAAAGGTAATTTTTCCGACATATTCGGAGCTTGATCACATTTAGAATTCAAGTTTTTCCGATTAAATACGGACTTGAAAGCGAAACGTCGAACGACAAAGCCAGATTTCTTTCTTGGCAGGAAATAGCAGAACCCAACAACATCCCTCATCTGCAAACTTTGCACATGATAGACTCAAGCTTCAAGCGGGTCTTGATTGGTGCCTTATTGATCCCATCCAATCGACCCAGTATGCTGTAGAGATACTCTCATAATCCTTGTTCACGCCATAGGCAACGAGGTTGTCCCTGCACAAAACGGACAAGTTTTTCGAGAAATTCTGCCCAACGTTCTCAAGTTAAACGTTGAGTGGCACGAGTACAAGCATGGCGGCCACTATATAGCTAACCGAGGCAAAGGGTGCGGGTAGTCTTGTTCACTTCCTCGGACGCACGATGGCATATGCCACCTCTAAACTAATGGTTTATATCAAATCCGTCATTTGTAGACGGAAACTGCAGTCAGAGGGAACGAAAATAAGTGGACTGAAGATAAGTGAACTGGAATAGAGAGGCTTGCGCAGGTGTTGCTTCAAACGGATCGTATATTGTGACCATGACCGAAGGTCGCTACTCTATCATTGACAAAGGAGATAATACAAGGCAGGGTATTAAGAGGAGAAGCCTATAAAACAACAAATAAAAGCTATGGGGGAAAACATCGCTCAGTAAGTGACAGTTGCAACTTTGCGAACATATTTATCTGTGCCGTCCTTCTGCAAGATGTTCTCAAACATCCACTTGCCAACGTCCTCGCGTGCAATAGTGTACCCAATAGCAAGCTCTTCCACACCCCTGACGGGATCCTCGACACCGACCCGGACGGCACCTGACGGCTGCTCTTTACCGTTGGTGAGGAAGCTAGCTCGAACGACGGTCCAAGCCTCGTTGCTCGCAAAAAGCAGCTCCTCCATGGCGCGCTTGTCCTCGTGCGGGGTGTGCAGCAGGCCCTTGTAGAGCGGCGCAATGACGAGGGGCGTGTCCCTCCCAAACTTGGAGATGCCAGTGCTGCTGAGTCCAATAATGCGCGGGTTTCCAGAGACGCCCTTCTCTGCGCGCAACTTCCTGATGGCGTCGAGCAAGACGGCCATGCCCTTTTCGCATACGTGAACGTCCTCAAGGTTCATCTTGCGCATGTCGAACCACGCGCCGATGGAGGAGACGACGACATCGACGAAGCGCGTTGCGTCGAGAGGCGAAACAAGATGGCGACCAACGACGCTGGCGTCGTGGGCGTTGCCCTGCTCAACACGTAGGTTGGGGTATTTTTCAGACGGCAGGACGGAGGTCAGCTTGGAAGGGGTGCGGCACAGGGCAATGCATGTGAAGCCGGCATCCAGGGACCGGCGCAGAGCTGACAGGCCGCAGCCACCGGTGGCCCCAAGGAAAAGGATAGTCTTGGCGTATGCGGACGACATGCCGTCAGATGGTCTGTGATGGGACGGGGTGGGTACGGGATGGATCCGAGTACGGATGCGAGACGGGGATCCGAGTGCAAGCTGGCGGAGCAGTGAGATCGGAGCTGGTGGGGGAATCAATTGGGGTGATTCACAGAGGAGCGTCGGTCCGATGAGAGATGAAGATGTTGCGTGATCGGGCAAGCGAGATGCAATGAGGCAGGGTGTTCAGTTTGTCTAGGTTGAGAATGCAGCGACTTAGAGACTGGTTGAGAGTGATGGAGATGAGAGCCCTCCATTTCTTCTTGGAGAGCGAGAAATCCCAAGCCCTTTTATCCTACCCGAAAGTGGTTGAGAGGAGCTTCCAGAGGCCACAATGCGAAGCATCATTGCAAGCCACGATGGGTCCTGAGCACGCGTAGTTGTCCCGAATCACCGTGTCAGGCTTACTTACGCGCAGCCAGCAGCGTTGAAGGACGGCGGCAGGCGGGCACCTGACGCCACCATTTGATGTTGATGTGGGTAACTGGGCAAGTTTGGAAGAGAAGACGCGGCCAAAAGGTGTCGGCAGGGCTGCATTACGGTTGGAGAGTTCCTCCGCTCCAAATGGGTGGCGTCCAGTCGGAGACGTAAGATGCCCAAGGTGGGTCAAGCCACAATTACCTTATCGCGGATACTGGATCCGCTGTGGAGTCTCAGTAGGGAAATGGGATCGTGATACACGTGAGTGGCTTGCCGCTAGACCAAAGCAAGACTAAGGGCGGACTCGGGAGGCCGATTGTTTGGGACATCGTCGAGTACGTACCTCCGCCATGGTTTTCTCTCATGCACCATGCACCTAGTCAACGATCCAAAGTAATCGCGTGTAAAGGCATGCAAAGTCTCCAACTCTTTCCGTCTCCATCCAATGGCCGAAACCCTGCGCCTCACGAGAGGAGGCCCGACGGATCTGCCGACTCTGCCGAGTTTGTTCAACCTCCTCGCGGGATCGGAATTCTGGCCCCGGACCATCGTATTCGAACTGCCGGGGCGTTGACTTTCCACCTGACGCGGCTCAACGTCCTTCATCGACTCGCCAACCACTGTCTGATCGGTCCCACCAGCTCGTATATGGACAGATAGACGTCTGTCCATTTACGAGCCCATCCATCTACACGGGACGAAACCCTTTCTCGTCTTCGCGACTGTCCATGCGACTCGAGATGGCACATGACGGGTTGGTTGGCTTGCCACCTCCGAACACCCTCACTGACTCTTCAAATCAGATCACCAACCGCCCCCACCAATCCCTCACGCGAATGCAGCATAGACATCTGCATCGGGCAATTGGCTTCGAGCCCATGGATCACTCCCTGCTCCCCAATGACCTCGCTGGCCTCCACAACACAAGCAGGTCCCTGCATGCGACTCGCGCTTCTCTTTCTCAAGCCTAATCTTCAGCACAGACTGTGACGTTTCGTTCTGGCATCGGGTATCGGTGATGGCGCTGGCGCTGGAACCATAACGCAAAGGGCTCCGTCGCGGATTGGTCGACCAGCTGCGTCGGACAAGGATCGTTTGAGTTTCGTCTGAATGCTTCCCTTCACAACCTACATAGTAGGTACACACGCAGTTTCCTCGCAGCATATGGCAGTCAGGGCAATGCCTGGGCACACAAGGAATGCAAGTGAAAGCTCTAGCTGCGAGTTTAGCACCTGGATTCCCAAAGCCACAGGCGGGGAGAAACAGGAAGCCCCTCAGCCGGGTTATTCAATGCATGCCGGATCCATGCCGTTTCGTAGATCTCTTACGCGGGCCTCGAGATGATCACTCAGCACCGCCCGCCACTATTAAGGTCGCGGTAGGCCGCTGCACTTGCTACTCTTATTTTGACAGACGTCGTCAATGCCAAGAGACGTTTGGCAGTTCGCGCCCTTTTTGTGCCCAAAATAACCACTAGCGGTTTGTCGACCCGTCACGCCCAACAACATGCTCGTGGGAAAGTCAGTCCCGGAGCTCATCCTCGTGAGGTCCATGGTGGTGTTCTTCCAGTACCTTGGCCTCCTGTGTTTCCTATACTTTTGGTTCATCTTCGCCCTCGTCGGCGTGCCTGGCATCGCCCATCCAGTGTCCATCATCATTGAGGTGGTCGGGGCCATCGAAATCCTCTTCTACTTCGTCTGGTTCGTCCCGTACCGCCGCCGTCTGCAGAAGCAGGGTTTCCAGCCGACACCACTGTCGCTGGAGGAGCGTCGCCGGTTCTTCTACCAAGGCCTGGACCATGCGCCGGACGTTGAACAGTACATCCGCAGGTGGCACTGCAACGCCCAGCTTGGCGACATTCGCAGAGAGAATATGAAGGACTGGTTGATGTGGGCGCTGTTCGACAAGCAGGGCCACCCGGGGGAGCATGATGAGGAGCTCGAGGAGTACATCACGGATGCCGAGGAGCGCGCCGGCGTCACCATCAAGGGTGGCTATGGCGATTCCACCCCGATGCGCCTCAGCTTCGACCCCATCGATATTACCCATCGGAGTCTGTTATTCTACATTGTAGGCCCAGCCCCAGAAACCTTGCAACATTCACGGCTAACACCTCCCCCGCAGATCACGGGCTGGCTCGACTTTGTCGCGACCCTCGTCCTCCTCGTCAGAGGCTTCAAGTTCTACCGCCAACCCCGCAACACCTTCTTCTCCGTCTTCCCCTGGCGGCCCATGACGCTGCTCTCGCCCCACGAGTCCGCCGACCCGAAGCTCAGCTACTTCTGCCGCCCGCACACGTCCACCACCCAGCGCCCCATCCTCTTCATGCACGGCGTCGGCGTCGGCGTGCTCCCCTACCTCCTCTGGCTCTGGAGCATCCCCAAGGACGTCGGCGTCCTCGCCATCGAGATCCTCCCAGTCTCCTCACGCATCTGCCCGCCTCTGCAACCCACCAAGGAGCTCATCGACGGCATGCACGACATCATCAAGCAGCAGGACTACACCGACTTTGTCTTTGTCGGTAACTCCTTCGGCACCCTCCTCGCGTCGCCCCTGCTGCAGAGGCCCGAGATCGCGGCCAGGATCAACTCGGTCGTGCTCATCGACCCGGTCTCGCTGCTCCTCCACCTCCCCTCGGTGGCCTACAACTTCACCCGGCGGAAGCCAAGGTGGGGCAACGAGTGGGAGATTTGGTTCGTCGCCACGGATCCCATGGTCGCCCACACGTTGGCCCGCCGGTTCCGCTGGCAGGACTTCATTCTCTGGACGCCGCAGCTGCAAGGCAAGCGCACGACGGTGGTCCTGGGTGGAGAGGACTGCGTCACGGACCCGGACGCCGTGGCGAGCTACGTCTACTTTGGCGACCTCAACTACACCCGGCACGACAAGCTCGAGTGGGCGACGACGCCCGAGCGGTGGACGGGCCGGGGCGAGCTGGAGCTCATGTACCTCGACGGTATGGACCACGGCCAGGCGTTCCTGAGCATCAAACACATGCCGCAGATCGGCAAGGTCGTGTTGGCGTACACGCACCTCAACGGGGTCATGGATTCGCGGCAAGCAGACACCGCAAAAATGGAGGAGCTGAACCAGATTTGATAACGACGGTATGATCCACCTGGGCGTACTTCGGGTGTGCGTTGGGAGCTGTGGTTCTCCCGCACCGTGACGGAGGAGTAGATGGTCTGGTAACCTGCCCTCGCATGCGGTTGGCTTCTATGGTATACACATTCAAGATTGCTTCGTTTCCATGGCACATACAAACGGTTTCTGTTTCATTAATGTTTATGTCTGTGATGCTGTAAATTTATATGGGTTTGTTCTCACCGTCATGTTGCAGAGGAGACAAAGAATACCAATGTCGTCACCAACATCTGGATACATGTGACTATCAGAAACACGACCGAATAAAGACTTTGACATTTCCCCATCTGTCTCATCCATCTACAACGACCTACTTCTGTATCGCAAGACCTGTAGACTTAGAGCTATCGTCATCCAACAGCGAAGACACCACCCTTCCCTGGTACCCTGGAATATGCGGCTGCAATGGCGCACAGCACTCAATCCTCACCCCTTTCCTCCCCAACCTGTCCACCTCGACCAGCCTCACATCGATAGGAACCTCATGCTCACAGCCCCTCTTCCGCCCCTGCACGTTCTCGCCCCCGACCTTGATCGTCACCGTCAACCCCGTCTCAACAAACCGGTCAAACCCGCCCGTCACCGCAAACTCCATGTCGCGCCAGAGCACGTACACGCCCAGGTCCTCTTGCGTCTCGCACCCGTGACACCACAGCTTCCACTCCCCGTCCACCCTCCTCCACCCGACCACGACGTCAACCCGGATCCGCGGGTTCGTTGGTGACTCGAACCTCAGCCCCGCCAGCACCGGCTCAAAGTATGGGTCCCGGGACCTCAAAACCCCCAGGCTCGGCACCCACGACCCGAGCGGGTACGATTCGATCACCCGGTAGGCCTCCGTGCCGCCCCGTATCCCGGTAGTTTTCCATCCGGCCCCGAGGACCGACACGTCGGGCAAGACGTGCGTCGGGTTCCTCTTCACAAATATGGTCTTGTAGCTCCCCCGCCCGGGCTTGGTGGAATCCGGCGCCGGGATCGTCGTGCACACGCTCCCCGTCTGGACTCTGGCGTACTGGTTTCCCGCAAGCCGTCGGAGCATGATCCGCGGGCAGCGGTCCCCGTTCTCCCCCTGGATGGCGCAGTCGAGCACGGCATAAAAGTCGTCGGGCGTGCTGTCTTTGCCACGCCAGTCGGCGGGCTCGAGGTACATGGAGATCCGGATCCCCTGGTTCGTGAGCTGGATCGGCTGCTGGCCCGTCGTCCCGAAAGCCGGCAGGGGGCGGAGGTGTTCGAAATGGGAAAACTCGAGGGGCGAAGGAGCCAGGAGGCCACTGAGGATGTGCCGGTCAAAGGATGCCTCCTGCGTCGAGGTGTCGTAGTTGCTGTGCCACGCGAAAACAGAATGGTCCCCAGTCTCCTGGAGGATCGCCTCTTGCAACCTTGTGAAGGCGCGCATCCCCTCGCCATACAGCAACGGCATGTTGACTCCAAAGATCCCCATCAAACAGTAGGCCATGTCCTCCTTCCGGGTGGTGGTTCTCGACGACGCCCAGTGCATGCGTTCCGCCACGCTCGACGATTCCAGAGACATGGTCTTGTTCAATACGTCCAGGTTGATCCCCGTGACTCTAGTTAGTGTGGGTGCAAACGCTTCATCCAGCTTGGAGCCGACGAGATGCCAGTCTTTGTCGTAAAAGTCTACGTTGTCCGGGGCAATCAGCTCTTGGAGAGTCCATCCCCGGGTGAACCATCGGCATTCTCGCAGCGCCGCTTCCAGTGGTGTATTGCTCCCAGGACCCGAATCTGTAGGGTAGCTTAGGTCCGAGAGGAAAGCGTAGCAGACGCTTGCCTGCTCGTACCAGCCGAACATGGAGTTGATGGCCTCAGACAGCTCCGCGCTACTCGTCTTATCGATGCAGCAGGTGTCGATCCAGATGTACTGGTATCCATGGCTCTGAGCGAGTCTGCAGGCTCCTTTGATCTTGCTGTACCCAGCCATCAATGTTATGTCCGTCTGCGGATCACGAACATCCTGCAGGGTGACCTCGTCTCTCCCCCAGGTGTGGGAGAGGATGGCAAACTCGGGCGCATTGTCTCCTTCAAAGTTGACAAAGTCTCCGAGCGGCTGCATGTCTTGTGTTGTTTCCAGGAGCCTCATCTCGGCAGCGGCTCAGAAGACAGTGATAACGGTGAGAACGAGGCGCAAGATGCTGACAATGAGCGGCCGCTAATGCAGCTCGCGCCTGTCTGACAACCCATGGTCCCCACAGACCCTGGGAGGGGTTTGGATCCATCAAAAACGACCCCGGTAGATGTTGAATGTCACCTGCAGGCTTAGATGGACCCCTAGCGTACGATGAGTTTGCAGTATCGGGTTGACAGTATTGAAAGTAGCAGTAATGAGTTCAGTGTGTGAACGGATCCATATGTATCAAACGATCGTAAGAATAAGGATATTGCCTGTTTCTAGGTTACAATACAACAGTCCAACTTAACAAGAGGGTATTAAGAACGAAACTCCGGTTCAATCAGTACTCGTCAGTTGTTGAAGTGACCCAGCCAGCTCATCATGGAATCGCAGCTATAGCAGCAGATAGAAGCGCTGTCTTCTCTCTGTCTTGCGAGGCCATCATGCCGGGTTCGGCATGGGTGGTATCGTACATGGTCGTTGCAAATCGTAAATCGGACACATCATCGCCTGTTTGGGTTTACGTCTTGGGCGCATCAGTCAGAGGCACGTATCGAACCCCGAACAGCCTCTCCTTGACGACAGACCCGTCTTCCTTCTTGTCGATAGCCCACACATACTGACCGTGGCCATTGTCGTCCTCGACGGGGATGAACATCCTGTTGCTTCAGTCAGCGCCAACTCGGAGACAGGAGGGAAACAAACGACTCACCTCCCCGGTGCCCGGAGTTGATCCACCAGCTCCTGGTGAAGCTCCACCGCAGCGGCCCCGACATGGATGGCGTCCCAGCCGGTCCCGGCGCCCTCTTCCCCCTCCCTCGGCGCCTCAACCCACCCCTTTCTCCCGTCTCCGACGCGGAACCTCACCCGCCCACTTTCCAATAACGTCCTCCCCTCGGCGCTCTTGCCCATGTTCTTCTCGCCCAGCTCCCGCAGCGCCTGGATGTGTTCCAACCCCACGACAAGCCCCTTGTCCCCTGTGAGCTCGGCGAGGAGGTGCGTCAAGTACCCCGACCCGGAGCCAATGTCGAGCACCCGCGGTGCAGGCTTCTTGTCGGACGGGATAATGTGCGGTAGGAGGGATTCGGCGGCCGTGGCGTGCATGTGGGGGGCCGAGATGGTGGCCTTGTAGCCTATGGATTGGGGGGAGTCTTGGTAGGGTGCGCTGGGGGCATAGTGTGCGCGGTCGACCTGGTATCACGAACGTGTCAACGACGGGGGTTCTGTAATCGTAGGAAGGGGACGGAGGATTACCTTGAGGAATGCGTCCTTGACCCTTTGGTCCTTGATAAGCCCACGCTTCCACATGTTCTCCACCAACTCCTGGTTCGTAGCACCGGAGCTTCGCCAGGCCATCTTGAAGTCGAGGGCGGCCGTCTGATGCAGGAAGCGAGCGGTAAGCCGAGGTATGAAGCTTGGGAGAAGCTGCAGAGCTCTCCTGGCCGATGGGCGTCGGGGAATCGTGGTGGCGGACGACGGGGAAGCTCTATGGGTGCTTTGCTATGCCAAAAGATAAACGGTAAAGTTGTCTCCGATTCCCTTTTTCCTAATGAAGCGTTGAGGAGTCTGAGCTATCGTAGCAGACGCAGTAGAGAGGAGGCGAAGGTTCCATGGCCTGTGTTGAGATGGTACAACATTCCAATGTTCCCGAGCTTCCCCCCATGTCCAGTGAGACAGAGGGGTCGGTGGTGGTCCGTCACACTTACAGCGGCCTCCCCCCAGCGCCAATGTGACTAGGTCCGCTGGATCAATGGCGTTATCGCCCCCATTTTCCCGCTTCCCCTCCCCAAACCTTGCTGATAAGCGTTGAAACTCTTCACCCCGCCAAGCGGATCATCCCGCAGCAAATACTGAGCAGTATTAAGCCCAAATAAGTTGCGTAAGGGCTCCTACTGCATATCAAACCCCCCCCCCCCCCCCCCCCAAACCTTGAATTAATCACCGTCATAAAAGTGAGTTAATGCCGTTTGGACGGCACCGTCCAGAGCAGCGGAGGGAACGCAGTCATGCAACAGTAGCGCAGGATAGGCGGTGTACCAAAGAAAACTCAGTATTGATGATGCCGAAGACGAAGGCTGCTATGCTTCTTGTGCCTTGTGTAGATTACCCTGCGCCCAGTTCCTATCCCTTGAACACCCAAAAAATTCATAACTCAAAGAAAAAGTACGATGCCAGTGTCGTAGCCTCATCGTCCAATATCTACATGACACAAGGAAACGCCGATGCTATACCACTCTCTCCGAAGACTCGCCGTCAGCGATGATGGGCACGGGCAGCCCGCGGTCGGGGCTCTGCAAAACCAGTTGCTCGTGACGCCGCGCCTTGAGGTAGTCGCTGAGAGACCTGATGAGAATGAACCACCCGACCACCATTAAGATATACGCAATCCACTCTTGTCCCGTAATGTCCGTCACGCCGCCGCCGCCCTCGCCCGTCACCGCGTTGGGGTCAAAGTTGTGCGAGTTCGGGTCCGGAGGTGCCGCGTATCCGTCTTGGCCATTCATTTTGGGCGGGTGGTCGCCTTCCGTCGTGCCCTTCATGTAGAAACCATACTGTATTAACGTGATGCCGAGACCGGCACGTGATCCGTTCTTGGCGGCGTGAGTCGAGTGGAGGAGGTAGGTGAGGATGAAACCAACGACCTGGAAAGACATGGAGATCATGCCGTTCCAGAGAAAGCTGAAGAGGGATCCGACCGGCATGCCGTCGATATATACTTCATCAGGACCGCCGAGGCCGGGAGCCAGAATGGTCGTCTCCCAGTAGGGCGGCGCCGCATCTGCCGCGGCTTGCTCGTACGTCTGAAAGAACAGTTAATATACGAAAACAAGAAGTATTCCATTTACGGTTGGTCAGACATACCGGAGGTTGTTCCTCCTTCGTCTCGCCGCCACGCTCGGGCTTAGCCGTCAAGTTGGAGAAGACACCCTCATTCTGGATACCGCTGCCGTAGATGCGGAACGGCGTCGCGGGTGCACTGGCGGCCGATGCTGTCGTCGGGGGAAGTTGGGTGACTTGTCTGTCGGCGTAGGGTCTCGCATCGGAGGACGGGTTGCGTGATGCGTCGGCGGAGGCATGGGTGGAGTCGGCACGGACTAGTCTTTGTCGGTCGTCGGCGTCGTCATCGCTATCGTCACCGTCGGTATCGAATGCATCGGCGAGTGTCGGATCAACTCCGCGGGCAGCGCGGTCGCGCGATGATGCTCTTGAGTGGAAGGAGGGAGGAGGAGAATTTGGTATGGGTTGAGAGTGCCTGGGCGGTGCGGAGTTGGGGCTACTGAAGTCATCTTCGTCTTGGGCATTTACCTTGGAAAAATCAGGTCAGTTATTGATCGGTCGGGATTGAAAGCGAAAGCCGGTTGACAGTACTTACCCTCTCGTAGCGTCCAGCCATATTGACGGACGTTGTGTGGTTTGTGTCTTGAAGCTCGAGGACGTGGGCAATTGCCTTTCGCCACCGAGGACGATGCGACTAGCGTTGCGTTGTTAGGGGTGAGGAAGACGAGGATGTCGGTAATCGAAGGATTTCGGAAATATCAAAGAAGGAAATGAACGAGCGATCCGTTCGTCGGGAATCGTAGGGAAATTCAAGCAGTTGAGGGCGACAAGAAAAAAGGAACGACGGAGGTGTTGTTTTGCTGAAGAAGGAGAAAAATAAGGTAATCGTCGCAGTGAAAAGGGACTACGCCATCAGGTAAGGTTGGCCGGGTTCGTTTTTGTTGGTTAAAGGTGATGGGAATGAGAGACAGAGGCGGAGACAAAGACGGAGACGGAGAGTCAGTGTTCAGCAACTGTCGCACGACCCGGGCGCTCGCTGTTCGCTTCGCCTCACTGCCAATCTGCGCATTCCGTCAGGGGAGGTGGATTACATAAGATAAGGCACTTGGTGCTCGAGGCCCCTGTGGCAGTGGAGGTGGAGTGCGCGACGAGTGTCACTGTATCACCGCTCAGGGGGAATGACCCAAGGGGAAGGGGAAGGGGGCAAGGGGGAACGCTTACGTACTCAACGATTAGGTAGCCCGTGGGCCGAATGTGCTGGAATGAATCGAGGGGGAGAAGGCAAGCACGAGGCCTAGGTAGTTCCTCCACGCTAGTAATGCGCAGGCTGCCTCTTTCGCTTTGGTTTGTGCCGTGCTTGCCTGGAAAGAAGATTGGGTGGTGAAAATGCCTCAGGCAAAAGTCATGCGCATGAGCTGTGGCCTTGGTTGTACAGTATCCGAACAGGTGTGGGCAGGTGGGCAGCTACTCCTTGGGTAGCCCCCACTGAGGTTCCGAGATCTTTCTGACCAACTATGGACATGTCAATAATCCACCCCGTGTCATTGACTTCCATTGGCAATTCTCGCCCAATACGGCTAGCTCCGGCGCAGCGCATCCCCTTAGCTCCGACAAATTAATTCTTCGACGTCTGCCATCCGACGCAAAATCCTTGACGTCGTCGATGGGAATCTGAGCTACTGCGCCTTCGCCCTCTGTCGCATCCACCCTCCAACGCCTGCCACCTTCCCCGCGGCGAGACCATGACAGACGGGACTCGGTAGACCCATTTCCAAATTCTTTAGATCACAGCCAACATGGCGCGTACAACGAGCGTATGTCCTCTCACTCTACTCGCCCTCGCCAACCCTTTGCGTCACGTCACTAACATTCCTCCCTCCCCTTCGCAGCAAGCGTACAGGCACTTCCGCACCGCCCTTGCCCTGTGGCCAAAGGACAACCTCCGACCCGAGACCCAGTTCAACGAGATCATTCAGAGAGGCATCGAGAGGAGGTACACGACGCCCAATGTCGTCGACGAGGCCAAGGAGCTCAAGCAGGTGAATGCGCTGTACGCCCTGGCCGACGACCGCTTCAAGAAGAGGGTAAGCAGCAGGCGCGTTCTTAAGACGTCCCAAGCATCTGACCACACGCAGTTCCCCCTCAATGGCGAAATTCTTGAACCCGCAAGCCAGCCGACCTACTTCCAGGACTTGCTGAGGGAGCTCGAGGAGGCCCCGACCAGAGGATGGCTGCAGAATGTGTCCAAGAAGTTGTCCGGCATGTTTCGATTCCAATAACCGATTAAAGAGATACCACGCACACACATCAAAGAAAAAAGCCCATCGAGACGTCGAATGGTGCTGGCGAATGGCATTATGGGCCATATGAATGGAACGGGCGGGCTTAGCCGCCTGGCCTGTGTATGATATCATGTACAATATCTGTACCCTGTATAGTAGTATCTATGCCAAACCGAACTAGAACCTCAACGCCAATGTGTTTTGAAGCAACCGTTTTAGATGTATCTTCCCTCCGGGTCCATCTTGTTCATGAGGTCCATGCTCTTCTCGTACATGGTAAACACCAGACCGCCGCTCACCGCCAGGCGCGCCAAACGCGGCAGCGCGCCGCTCCACAGCGTGAGCACGCCCTCCTGCTTGAGGATCATGGCCGCACAGCGGAACGAGTTGCCATACTGCGTCCGCGCCGTGATGCTCTGCATGCGCGTCTTGATCGTGTCAAGGGGCTGAGTGGCGTAGACCGTAATCAGGCCGGCGATGCTGCCCATGGCAAACGTGCCGACAGCACCCAACTTCTCCCCCGGCGCCGTGTACGACTCGGCCATCTGCTTGAGCATGTTGTACGCGCTGAACCGGACCGCGCTGTTCGCCGCCTGGCGGGCCGTCGTCGGCACGAAGCCCTGGAAGAAGCCGCGGAGGCCGCGCTCGCGGGCAATGATGGGAACGGCGCTGAGGAAGCCGCGCATACGGGGCTTACCGGACTTCTTGTCGTCGATCCTGAGACGAAGTGTCAGCAGCGGAGCAGGACGGTCATTGAGAGTCGGCTACGCACAGCGTGGTCTTGATGCTCTCAAACGGCGTCACGGCGAGGGTTGATTCCGTCACACCAGCGCAAAAGCCGGCAAGGACGGTCATGGGGCCAGAAATGTTGCCGTTGGCGTCGGAAAGGAGCTTTTTGTATTGGTCATAGGACACGAATCCTGCCAATTGAGTCAGCCGCCGTCAGACCGCATCAGAGTCGTCGTCGGGCCCACGTACGGATACCCGCCTTGAGCGAGTTGCCGATAATCAACGTCGTGCATCCTGCATACCACTGCGCTCCGAAGGGCGGCCACGGCAGCTTCTGACCAGCAGTCAAGTTCCGGTTGAGCTGCGACCGAGTCTTGGCGACTATCGGGGATTATCAGAGTCAATTGCGGCGGTTATCGGTCGCGGAGGGTCTTACATTCGGCAGGGTAGGTGATGGCTGTTGCGGCGGTTAGCATTGCTTGTTGTGCGTCCTCTGTTTCGTCATCGAGACTCACCAATCTCAACAGCGCCGGCCGTAGATCCAGCCAGAATGGATCGCAGGACCGTGGGTCCGCCCTTCTTGACGGGCTGCGACTCATCCTTGGTCGCCGCGGTGGCACTGGTCGCGGTCGACATCGTGGGCGGAGGAGGATCTGCGGAACGTGCCGGAGGGTTGTCTGGTTTGCGGTGGAACTTTTTTTGGAGGAATTTGGAGAGGAAGCTTAACGTGCAGGTCGTCGCTGCGTCCGAGATCGCGGGGTGTGGAGACTTGGAAATTCGTCAGGCCGGTACGTACCCCGTCGTCCGGGGTCGTCTGACGTAACTACTCATCGTTACACCAAGCATTCACCTGCGCTGACCGCGGACCATCACTCAGCATGCCCACACTAGCAAGGCAACAGCAGAGATTTGAATCACTGTTAGAAAGAAGTAGGAATAAGGCGTCGACTCTCAAGTATTCGAATTGATAAACTGACGCAAATGGAGCAAGACGATATGCATAAAGGCACTGTTGGGCCGCATTGATTCAGCCTCGACGCTGAGAACTTAAATCGCATCTCTCCATAGTATGTTCCTTCTCTCTTATCTCACATTAGAGTACTTAAATGTTTCTAATTATGTAACATGAGAGCCTGTTATCTTGATGACCGGGTGTAGTTGCAACAGTTCGGACAGCGGTACAGGCTGAGTTAAACCACTTGTAGGAATTGATGCCAGACCGGAGCATTACATGGAACATTAACCTATACAGAACGAATGTCTAGTTCGTGTCCCACAGCCTGTCAAAGGCTTTCTAATATGTACAGTAGAATTTACTCTTGCTCAAACCCAACGCAACATTCACTGCATTTTAGGGACCTTGATGGTGGCAATCTTCCAGACCTTGTTGCCGCTGCTGCTGCTGAGACCAGTGTAAGTGGCGCCCTGGCTGACACCGATGGTCTTGCCAAAATTGGCGTCGGCGCTCGACAGGGTGATTGTGGTATCCGAGTAGATCTGCTCAGCGACGGTGCCCGTGCAGCCGTTGTTGCACTCGGTGCCGGTGCCGTATCCCCTCATGAACGGGCCGTCCTTGTGGTCAAGCGAGCTGATGACCTTGCCGCTGGCGACGTCGGTGACGGTCTGGCGCCAAGTGTCCTGGTCCGACTGCAGAGCGTACTCGATCTTGAGCTTCTGGTCGCCCTTGACGGGAGCGGAGGTCTCGCTGTCGATCTGCCCGAACGAGCCAAACACGGAGGCGCGGACGCACCACTGGCCGCTCGTGGCTCCGCACCAGCTGTTGTCGGGCCAGGACTCGAGGGTGGCTTGGACGAGGTTGCCAGTGCCGTTGGACATGCCGGGCCAAAGGAAGAGGACGCCGGCCTGGGTCGGGGGTGCGGCGCCGGGGGTCAGGTAGGTGACGGCGTTAATGATGGTGGAGGTCGTGGGCCCGAGGGAGACGGCGCCGCCCCAAGAGTCGCGCTTGGCGACGCCATTGGTGGGCTCCTCCACGCGGAAGAGGCCGGGGAAGGCCATTGTGGTGGCCGGGAGGGCGGCCAAAAGAAGGGTAGAGAACTGCATGGTTGCTGTTGTTTAAAGCGAAGGACTGGATCTGGAACGAAGGGAAAGATCGGACAATAATGGGTGGTTGAGAAGCGAACGTGTTGTACCGAGAAAGAATTGAGTTACGGGGACTATTGGTCAAGGATGAGCGCCTTTATACATGCCTCTCAGTATAGCAGAGCCGTGAAGGCCCGCAGCGTAGCATTAGTACCGCGAAATGAAAGGAGGTTATTACAGCGTAGCGATGTTCGAAAGGGGGCGCGTGTTCTGGCCCCCCGAATGGGGCAAGAACTGGAATATTCTCCATTTGTTCCTGGAAACCAGGTAGCGGAGTAGTCCATAGTGCTTGTCTTCGAGGCCAGGATCGTGGCGAAGAATGCCAAGTAGGGAACGGGAGGCAAGTGGTGGACCGTTTCGGACGGCGAGGATATAGGGCTTACACTTGCGGAGGAATATTGCTGGATCTGATGGGAGAGCCTTTCTGAGTGGTCCGTCATCGTGAAAGAGGGGTCTAACGGCGTTGCAGTCTGTCTGTTGGAAACACTGGCCGAGTCTAGGCCTGTCCCACCCTGGACGAGTCTAGAGTATGGGGTATATGTGAGACTGATATAGCTCCTAGTATGTCAGATCATTCCGAGCAAGCTCCAAGGCTATCACGATAGGCGGAAAATGAAGTCTCATGATGAACTCAGTGAAGTTTTCCTTGAGGGAGACTATTATTGTACTACCGTGGAAGGACTCGACCTGACCGGGCTACTTGGGTACCCAGGGAAGCACTTCCTTTGCCAGCTTTCACCATCTTTATGAATGCGAATGCGAAGTCGAAAGGCTCGGAGGATAGCATGCTAGGGGCTACTCTTTGTCCCCACCTAGGGGATCGTCCAGTTGCCAAGTCGGCAGATGGTCCGAAACACGATGTCACGATGCTACATCGCTGGCGTTGAGATTCTCCCACCGGTGACAGCGCGGCTCCCGGCTTAGTAGGGCATCTCCCGGGAATCTAGCCGACCAAGTCACGGATGTTGCTTTGGCACCCTCCGCTACTCGCTTCGTCTCCGTGGTCGGTGATTAAGGATGGTTCACATTATTAGAATTCATTTGCACACCGAACCATCGTGTGCTCGGTTGTTTCTGTACATAGACAAGAAAACTCTAGAAACCAGACCCTTTTCGAAATCGGAAGAGTCGCAGTTGAAAAACAGGCCGGCGTCTGCTGGATAGTCGCGGAGTCACGTAAGACGCACTTTCTTTCAAACAAAAGGGGCAGAACGAGGCCGAATCTGGAAAGACACCCGGCCGATGTTTATCCACATATCAAGACACGAGAGGAGGTCCATTTTGTGTTGGGAGCGTCGGCAGACGGTGGAAACGGCACAATCGGAGACACAAGCAAGATTAGGCTTTCGGGGCCGGCGTTGGCGCCGTGCGGCCTGCCGCCCGTAAAGTTTCCGGGCTGAGCGGTTGAGCCGGTCCCCGGGATGGGATCGGCCTCTCTTGGCGCGGCTGGCGGGACTTGGCACCGTGCTTGCTTGGGCCGAGATCGTCATCCCAAGGACCGTTGGATCTCGGCGGCGGAAGAGCGATGCATGTCATTGGCCGTCTCCATGGCCAAGGTCCGATCCGAGTACAAAGCTCGGGAGACTTCCCGCACAAAGCACCATTCTTGTCCTGAACACCAACAGGATGGAAAACATAATTACGTTTGGATGCTGGCGGTGCTCCGTGCTTCAACGTCTGCATCCGTCCATGTGGATTGCGCTCAATGACCATGTTTGTGGAGGTGTTCGCCGCGTGAGATCATAAGATTCGTCACAGATCAACATCCCCGGTGACGCGTGCCCCGAAAAATAGCACAGAGGGGAGAGAGGCCATTGTTCTCCATCGATATGCGGTAGGCGAAGCTACGTGACATCACCATCGACTCCGACCCCCGAACACATCATCGTCGACGTCGCCCGTCTCGCAGGTGATGCATGAATGCAACGGACGGCTGGCGCGGAGAAGGGAAAAAAAGGAGATTGTCTTGGAGCCCGGGACAAGAGTCGACAGGTGAGCAGCAAGCCACGTCCACAAGACCACCGGGACACCCAAGCTTTGGGGGAGACGGGTGTCCACTTGCCAGTTGGCCCGCAAGGACAGGGCTCGCTCGACGGCGACCAGAGGGCGATGGACACTCCAAGGCCGGCGTTGAGGTGGGCACGCGGGATACGGAGGGTTTCTGCGAGGCGCAAGTGTGGCTCAGCAACACTTTTGTCAGACGCTCGCAGTTAGCTGCCAGGCCAGGCACAGGCACCCTTCACCCAGTGTACGCGACGTCGGGGTCCCTGGAAATGCCGTCTCCAGGGTTTCGCGGCCAGCGCGGGCGCCTCTGGACGGTCGTACTACGTATTTGGTGTAGTGTACTATTATATAGCACTACCAAAAGTCCGGGCGACGGCATAGCGGTCCAGGACCCTTGGAAGTTGACGCGGACAGGTACCAAAAGTCCGGTGCATGGCCGTTGCCCCCCGAGTCTCGAGGTCTCGGAGCGTCGTGGCATTACGTCTTCTCGGTTCTCGTCCTTCCTTTTGTTTCTCGCCAAGCTGGGTACGTTATGTTCATTGACGGCCACATCTGACTCAGATGCCTGGCTTAACACCCAGTAAGCTCATGCATAGGAGGGAGAATACAATGTAGTATGTACATAGTAGGTAGGAAATTCCAGTAATGGGGCCTCCCCGGCTCGAGCCCTACAGCAACTGACTCTGTGAAATGAGACTGCTTCGGCCACCCAACTCTAACGACCAGTGGATGTCTTTGAGGTGACGTTGGTCATCATGCGGATACGCCTATTCGCCAAAGTCTACGGGGCAGAAAACCTCCCAAGTGCCTCCCAAGATGGCTCATCCTTGCATTCCCTACAGCTCGAGCCCACCCTCGTTGTCGGCATCTCCTGGCCCTGACCGCACGGATGTGGAATGTAACCCATCTGAGAGTGATCCGTTTAACCGGTCCAGGTCCATAGGTAGTGTGTCCCGTCAATAATGTCAACACATATGAGCCGGTTACGGTGCCTTATGCGTTTGCAGTGACATGAAGTCGGCGGAGAGGCTCTAGCGTTCAGGAGACGCTGCAAAGGGAACCCGAGACCTTTCATCGTCATCCCGCACTGAAGCGAGACAATCTCAGAGCCAGTCGTGCAGAGCTCCAGTTCCCGCTCCAGCTGCATCACGCATGGCGGAACAATGCAGGCAGGGCTGCCTGCACGGGTTGCCTGCATCAACCAGCGCTTCTTGGCCGGCCCGTCCAGTCTCGTCTTCCGTGGTCTGGTCCGTCTCAAGGAGCCAAGGGGCCAAGGAGCCCGCTCCGTGGCCAGACTTTGACGCAGAAAAAGCATGCGGAACATAGCACAAACCCCTCCTCCCCCAAATCCTCCCGTGAAGATCTTCCATGCATATCGCAACACGAGCACACCCAGAGCACGGTCGCTAGGAAGGTCCAAGAAGAGACAAAAAGCATCCATGGGGTCTCGTGCCGTCCGCGATGGAAATTGCGTTCGCCTGTTCTATGCCAAGCCCATCACAAGCCATTAGCTGCCCACTCGTCATCTCGCAGGGCTTCGGATCCGGCCAAGCCAGCTCGTTAAATTTCAGGTGTCGTCGCGGTCCCCGAACCCGTCAACGCCGGCGTGCGGAGTGGAAAAGCAAATAAGAACGCTCGGCACGAAAGAAAGCCATTGTAGAAACCTCACGGACTCCTACACCGCACCGCGAACACCTGCGGCAGACTCATCGCTGGCTCGTTTGCACCACCACCTCAGCAACTGACAGCCAGCAACCAGCAAGCCTGTGTGTATCTGTACCGGCAACCAGGCACAGCCTCAGCTAGCTGACGACTCGTTTTCGCCATTGGATAAGACAGGGCCAACAAGCTCAGAGTCTCCTGCGTACGGACACTTCTAAGCCTAACGGTACCGACGACCAGGCACCATCCTTTCCAGCGGCTACTGACTGCCACTGCAGATCCGGGGACCTGCTCCTTGTCGTGGTGGTGTTTTCCCCTTGAATCTTGCGGTGGTTTACTTTTCTTGTCCTTCTTGTTTCTTCTTTGGTCCTCGAAACTCAGTCAAACTCAGACCGAAGTCTCTGGATTAGTGGCCCATGCTCCTCGCCTCGCCCCCTCAAGAGCGCTCCCCCCATCATCAACACAACGAACCAACGAAACCATTTTGTTCAGCTTTCAACTCGAGTCTCGATTTTCCAGCGACCATTGAAAAACCAAGAACGGCTGGAAGTCAACAGCCGGTTACCCACCAGACACACGAGAGTATCATCTCCCATTCGTCACACCCGCGCCCGCAGCTCCAGCCGGCCCCCTCCAGCCACGGCCTCCATCGTGTTCTAATCCGAACACGCCCCAACCACCCGTCGTCGTCCTGCAGCTGCACGTCGATCACCCTCTCTACCCTCTCACTCAGATCCCTTCCAACCACGCGACGCTCTCGTTCCCGTCTCCTCTGCCGTGCCGTTTTCCCAAAGCGATAGCCCTCCCAACTACCGTCGGTGCTGCTACCTCACAAACAAAACTCACTCACTCACTCATCACCGACAACACACGCCAAACAGAGCAAAACAAAGCACTACACCCAAAAGGTGTACTTTCCCCTCACTGAGCTTCGACGTTCCAAGAAACTTTCTCTCTCCTCTCCCCTACCCTCCATTTAAAAAAAAATACTACTAAAAAAAACTCCAATATTCCGACCCACACCAGCTCCAGCTGTGACATTTGACAGCGCCAGCTCCCTGGTCGCCCGCTTCCCCGATCCGCACGGCACTTGGGGGTCTGGGAGCACCTTGCCCATCCAGACCTTACTCATTCCGTGAGGTATCCTACGGGTATCTTGTGCACCCTTATAGTGGGAGCTGGGCTGTGAACCTCTCGCCTCACATCACCTCCTGGCTCAGCCACCCTTCTCGCCTCGCACCACACGCGCACACTTAACAGGCGCCTTCCTTCCGTCCAACCTGCGTCGGCCAGCTGTACACAAACAATAACCCTCTCGCCCTTTTCTCGGTGCACTCTTGGAACGAGATTGCATTCTTCAGAATGTCTACCCAGATCGAGGCTAGGTCTCTGGCCTCGCTCAACTACCTCGCAGCCAACCCGCCGCAATACCCTCACAAACCGGCCGAGCAGCGTCAAGACCCGCTGACGCTCTACATCTCCCGCGTACCAGGCACACGAGGTGAGCGCCCACTGTCCACGTCTCCCCATCTCACTCCCCGCGACTAACGCCACCCGCAGACGTGATCTTGACAACGTCAAAACCGCACTTGAAGAACGTCACCAGCGAGGACGTCGCAAACTCGTTTTACTACATCCATCTGGAACTCCCAAGCGATGGCGGCCACCCGTACAACCCCAACGCAGCCCACGCCGCCGCCTCCCAAACCCAACACCTGCGCAACCCGGACACGCCCAGGTCGAGCCAGGACAGCGCCCGCAGCACGAACCAGATCCGCCGGAAACCCTTGCCCACCGGCGCAAAAGTCCCCTCGCCGCCCGCCGACCCGGCGCGTTCTCACCCGCCGCCGGCCCCGGGCTCCTCGCACCCGGCCGCCGGAGGAAACGGCGGCTACGGCTACGGCTCCGGCTACGCACCCGGCACCGACCCGCGCCAACCCCGCTGGACCGAAGACCGCCCGGAGCTGCCCCCGCGACCAACCTCCAACTCGCCGCCGGCAGCACCGGTCCGCAAACCCGTGGGCCCGCGAGCCATCACAACGCCTGCGCCGGACTACGACACGCCCTACACCCAGCCCCCGGGCCCCCACCGCGCCTCGCCCTCCCGCTCGCCCTCCCGCATCCCCCAAGAGCCCACGTCCCCCGCGCGCTCGCGGCGCTGGTCCCGCCCCCCGGCCGGCACCTCCGTGTTCCGCCAGCAGTCCCGGTCCCCCTCGCCGAACCGCTTCCACAACACCGCGGCGGTGCCTTACACGCTCTCGCTGATCCGCCGCGACCCGAGCTCGGGCAACCAGTGGAACGTCGGCCGCGTCTCGTCGCACCAGCTCGAGGACGCCGGCGACGACGGCTACGAGTACTTCTCCTTCGACTCGGCCGGCCTGTCCGCCCACGACCGCCGCCGCGCCAACGCGCCCCAGCCGCCCATTAACATCCGCCTCGAGTCCTCCGGCTACGCAAAGTTCCGCCACATGCCGCTGCGCCAGAGCCTCGACATGCCCCGGACCTCGACCTCCTCGGCCCCCTTTGCCAACTCGGAAGACGCCCTCCACCAGTTGCAGCAGCTGCAGCAGCAGCAGTCGCCCGAAGGAGGCTTCACGCGCCAGGTCGTCATGGCCTACGCAAAGTCGTGGTCCTCCAACATCCGCGAGAAGCTCAGCTCGCGGTCCCGCTCCGGCAGCCTCGCCGCCGCCGACGACGACGGCGGCCACGCAGCCCTTGACTCGTCCCCGGGGCGGCGCGGCCGCCACTCCCGCCAGCCGAGCGCGCAGTCGACGGGCTCCGTGTCGTCCAACGGCAGCGACTCGGGCCCCATCATCACGCAGCCGGGCCACGGCCTGCGGCCGCGGGGCTACGTCTTCATCTCGCCGTGGGACGGCCGCTGCGAGTTCCGCACGGGCAACGCCGGGCGCAGCGTCAAGTGCCGGCACGTGCTGCCCACGGCCGGCGGGCTGAGCAACCCGCTCGCCCCGACGACCTCGTCGACCTACTCCGCCGCCGTGAGCGAGCTGCGCTTCAACCTGCCGAGCTCGGAGCTGTTCCGCCAGGAGGGCAAGCGCGAGCAGCTGAGCGGCCACTTTAGCAGGCTGCTCAAGGTCGGCAACAACCGCGACGGCGGCGAGTTCAGCGACGACGACGACCCGCCCAGCCCGTTCGATCTGAAGCTCGGCAAGGAGAGGGCCGGCGGCGGGAACCGGGGGAAGCGCGCCAAGCTGGGCAAGCTCATCATCTACCCCGAGGGCCTCAAGATGCTGGACCTGGTGGTGGCTGCCAACATGGGCGTGTGGTGGGGAGCTTGGGAGAAGACGTTTTAGCGAGTAATGGTATCATGATGATGAGAATGGCGATCGAGTCAACGAAAAAAGCGGGTGCGGGATTTGCACGACGACGGCGTTGTTTGTACGGCGGGATATGATTTGAAGCATGGCGTTGGTTGGTTGAAAATGCTCCTCGATGGCTGCCGGATCCGCGGGGAGCCGCGTAAAGAGCTAAGGAAGCTTTGCTGCAAGATAGCCTAATAACAATGATCTCTCAACCTGACAACCGGCCCGATATGATTTCATGTGACACACCTCCAAGACGAGCCAGACTCAAACATCACTACTAGCGCCTTGGTCGTGATACAGCAGTCACTGAAGGGACGTCGGGCAATGGACAAAGAAAAGGGTGCTTTTCGCGAGCTATTTACACAAGTCTAACCGATCCCGACGTGTCTGTACACATACACAACATGCCAGAACCATTGCTGCTGCTGCTGCGGCCTCTTTGCTCTGCGACCATCTCTCCCGTGCCTGCCTCCATGTATCCATCGCCCCTAAGCATTAAACTGCAAAACAAAACACTTTCGTTCCTCAATGGTCTTCCTTTCCCGGCTGGCTGACCCCTTCGAAAAGATGATATCCAGGCCCGGCCTTATCTGTAGGGGGCGTCGGCACGGATGACGGCAGCCAGCTCGGGCTCCCACTTGTCACCGTTGGACAGCAGCTTCTCCTTGTTGTACAGCAACTCCTCGCGGGTCTCGGTGGCGTACTCGGCGTTGGGGGACTCGACAATGGCGTCGACGGGGCACGACTCCTGGCAGAAGCCGCAGTAGATGCACTTGGTCATGTCAATGTCGTAGCGGGTGGTGCGGCGGGAGCCGTCGGCGCGCTCCTCGGCCTCGATGGTAATGGCCTGGGCCGGGCAGATGGCCTCGCAGAGCTTGCAGGCAATGCAGCGCTCCTCGCCGGACGGGTAGCGGCGGAGGGCGTGCTCGCCGCGGAAACGGGGGGAGATGGGGCCCTGGGTCAATTCGTGTTAGCCGTCTTGCTTCTTCCGTTCCTGTTCGACCTGCATGCATTTTGTCATGGCTTCGTCTGTCGTTCGGCTTGCGTTGCTGAATTCGTCGGTTGTTGCGTGTCGGCCTTTTTTTTTTTTCTTCTTCGAAATTTTGGCAATGTTCCGGCTCTTCCCCGTTCTCCCTGTACGGGCCTCCCAAATTCCCATCATGCACCCCCGAATCTCGTCCCCAAACACCAAGAAAATGTTTTCCTCACCTTTTCAAAGGGGTAGTAGATGGTGTAGGGCGGGCGGAAGAACTGCTCCATCAGGACGTACATTCCCCTTGCCATCTCGGACAGAAGGAAGTAGCGGCCCAGCTTGTTCGTCGTCGACTCCTGGTCCTCGTCCCAGGTCTGGTGTCTCTTCATGCGGAAGTTGGGAGGCGGGGGACCGGCGGGCGTGGCGTAGGTGCGCATGGCGTTGGCAGCCATCAGCCTGCCGACGTGCTGCTGCATCGAAGTTCTCGCGACCGGCCTTGTTGACGCCAGGGCCAACATCGTGACGGGGAGCTGCGCCGCGGAAGGCATTGTTTCTCGATCGGATGGGATGCGACGGCGCCAATTGACCGGGCAAGTTGGGGAGCGGGGTGGTCGTTCCGGGGCTCGGATCGAGGGTGTATCGACGGAGGGGGGCGGGCGGCGAGGCGGAGGCGGGCGAAGGTGAGGGAGTCGATGGTGTGTCCCGGTGCACGTTGGGAGAGAGCTTGACGTTATGGACAATCGGGGATCGAAGAGGCGAGCTTTGGTGCGGGATTACAAAGGGCGGCAATTGATTGGCTGCGGACCGGTCACGTGGTGGCTCCGGGACTTGGGAGAGTCGGGAGCGAGACGCCTTCGACTCGATGATGACGGCGACAACCAGCGGCGTTGGCCAATTGATGCTCAAAAAAATTGTGAGTTTTGGGATTGGTGGTTTCCATCGTTTCTGAATAGTTTGATTCTCTTTCCAGTACCTGGCTTGCTGAGGCGTCGAGATGAGAGTATGCAGTAAGTCACATGACCGTGCACGTGCAGCTTCTCGGAGCTAAGCCAGGGACACCTCGGGGGGTGACGAGAAATTTATCATCATCACCATCGACCACGGCACACCTCCTCCACACCCCGAAAGCTCCCATCAATCCCAGCTTAGCTGTCACTCAACCCCAACGAAACACCCATCTCCTCCATCTCGAACCCAATCCGCCCCTCGAGCTCCCCGAAAAGGCCTCTTCGTCCCGCACATATAAACCAGCCGAGAAAATGTTCCGCACAGCAGTCCTTCGTTCCGCGGCCGCCGCTACGCGCGCCATCCGTCCCGCCGTCCAGCAGTCCGCTCCCCTCGCCCGGAGATCTCTCGTCGCGCCCCGTTCTGCCTTCCGCGCCGCCCCCAAGGCCATCTCCGTCCGCATGTACTCTGCCGCCACCGGCCTGAACCAGCAGGAGGTCGAGGGCCGCATCATGGCCCTGCTCCAGGGTTTCGACAAGGTCAACGACCCGGCCAACGTACGTCACTCCCGCGTTCCGCTCCGCGAACGATGCCGACCCAATTGGGTGTCGCGAACAAACCAAACACTTGGACAATAGAAAGCTGATGCAGAGGCGGGCCAATCTAGATCAAGCCCAACGCGCACTTTGCCAACGACCTTGGCCTGGACAGCTTGGACACCGTCGAGGTCGTCATGGCCATTGAGGAGGAGTTCAGCATCGAGATCCCCGACAAGGACGCCGACACCATCCACTCGAGTATGCTCTGCCCTGTCTAGCCTAACCTTGGCTTCCATAACTAACTTGCATTTCCCAGTCGACAAGGCGGTCGAGTACATCGTCAGCCAGCCCGATGCCCACTAAATCACCCTCCCAAACCCACCTCCCTCCGCTAAACCCGTCGCCCCGGCGGTCTGTACAATAACCTGCTCCCCCGCCCCGACATCGAACACGCCACTCGCCAGCTTTGAGAGAACACGAGGAGGGGGGACCCACGCGAGGGTGCCGCGTCTGTGTGCTCTCGAGGGAGCTCTTTCATGGGGGATTTTCTGCGGGGGCAATGAGAGAAACAGGAGAGGCAAAGATGGCTTATCGTTGTGGGTGGACGGTTTGTTCGTATGGTACCTAGCCCACGGCGCGGCCCCCGCGCATAAACGGCGACGGGACGCGGTGCGGGAGTCGGACAACTCCTGCATCCGTCCATGCTTGCCATTGTATTAGTGTATAGAGAGTTTTTGTCGCCCATTGACGGGGTCCCTTTGCGTGAAATCGATCCTTATCAGCCGTTGCGTGAGGAGTCTTGACAGTGTCGAGTGCGCAGCAGTCGTGGGCCAGCTAGCGTTCATGCTGTCATCACCTTCGGAAAACCTCGGGTCCTACAAACTGTGCAGTCGGGCTCCGTCGAAGTTTGCGGACATTTCGTGCCGTACAATTGCTAGGTAACCTGGACGGCGTCGTGTCTCCTGGGGTCACATTTCACACATCACGCAATCGCCAAGTGACTATACCCGGGTTACCTCAACAAAATCGGCTATCTGTATAAAGAACGATAATTAGACGGTGGTATCTGCTTTTCCTCTTCCAAGCGTCTCTAATGCGGTGCCGAGTCACAGCCAGCCAACTCGTGACTATGATGCCAACCAAAGCTAGATGTCTCTTCCCGCTCATTTGTTGCCTCCCCTTGTCCAAAGTATGTCAAAGCAAATAAAATAAAAAAACCCTATATGTAATCCCGAAGCCATGGCCTAGGTGCCTAGACGCCATGCTTCCACCAGAAAGAAAAAAAGGAAACAAAACAAGAGCATAAGCCGTTCCTCCAGATTTTGATAGCGAGTGAAAGCAGCGGTGTCCCCTGTCTCATCAGAGTACAAGATCTCCTCTGCCCGAGCAAGCCGATTGTATTAGACCTCCAATGTTCGATTCCGAGAGCCAACGAGGCAACAGCGTAAATTCGACTAGACTCCAACAAAAAAACTCCCTTCCCTAATGTATAAGCAGCCACCTCCTTGTAGACCCGATCCCTCGTTATGTCCGTTTGATTTTGTAAGACCGGTTGACAGAATTTTTTGTTTTCGTTCTCCGTTGGCTTTTTGCCCATGCATGCTGTGAAAATCGTGGCTGATATGTGTCGTATAGTATCGTCAGGGTGTAAAAGTGGAGAGAGAGAGAGAGAGTAAATGGACGTCACCGAAATCGTGACATGACACCTTCGCTATGCTTTTCAGTCGCCGGTTCTTTGCCGAGCCTAGTCGCCCAAAGACACAACACATCAGCGCCCGCCCACGGTCTCGACGCTGACAGATGGCTCGCGCTGCTCCTTGGCCAGGCCGGACCCAGACGCGGCACCCTTGTTGGAGAGGGCGTTGGCGTAGCTCCATCCGCCTCCAATGCCGAAGCCGGCAGATCCGCGCTTGCGCAGTCGTGCCGAAGACTGGTCCTCCTCTTCCTCCATGTTGAACACGAAGGCGGGGTCCTCCTCGTCGATCGGGGTAGTGTAACGTCCGGTGACGGAGGAGCTAATGGAACCGCTCGAGACGTGACGCTCCATCATGCGGTCCCGCTCCTTGCCAATGGGCCCGGCGCCACCGTTGGTCGGAGCGCGACCGGCGGCTGTCAAGGGGTGCAAGTGCGGGCTGCCGTTCCCGTCATCGCCCAGACGGGTCCGTTGGAGTTGCTGGGTGAGGGCCGACATGGGCTCGCTGCCAGCACGAGAGCCGATGGGCCGGGCCATGGCACCACCGTGACCCATTTCGTTGGAAAGGATCGAGTTCCGGAGGGGGCTTCCGACGTGCCCAAAGGCCGAGGGTCCATGTTTGAGGGCGCCCAGTTCCTCCTCCTTCTGGCGCTGGAACAGCGGGCCCCACCTGCTCGGGCTTGCGCCGCCAATGGGGCTGCCGAACTTGGTCGCATTCTCGCTGCCCGGCTCACCATCGACGGTGCGCAGGGATCCCCGGCGGGCCTTCTCGGTTGGCGTCAAGAGATCCTGCAGGTTGTGCGGCACGCAATCCTCCTCCAAGAAGCCAAAGTCGGCCTCCCAATCGTGGTCCACGGCGGTCGTCTTGGGCATGCTCGAGCTCATCATCTTGGGCTTTGCGTATCGGCTCGAATGCATGGTGCGCTTGCCGAAATACTCCTCGGTCTGGCTGGGGGGCTGCTGGAGGCGGTCACGTTGGCCGCCGCGAGGTACTCGCTGCCACCAAAGGCAGAAGTGTGGAGCATCTTTAGAGTCTCGGAAGTTCGCGAGTCTTTTGCGTTGCTCAACGAGGGCGTGGGGGATTCGATACCGAACTTGGAGGGCACAGACGACGGCCACGGAGCGGCGGGAAACCGGGCGGCGTTGGACATGCCCTGCGAGTCGAACGATGCGGGGAGGGGCGCATCGAGGACGGAAAGGCCGTTGGCGTTGACGGGAGACAGGCCGAGGCCAAACCTGGATGCGTCGTCGTCGCGAGGCGAGCCGTAGTTGGAGCCGGGGTGGGAGTAGGTGGTGTCAATGGTCGGCAAGCCGGTCTCGAGACTCGGCTGGCCGCCCAACTGGTGCTGCCTCTCGTCGCCGTACGGGTACGCCGAGGTAAAGGGAGGGACGCCTTCGCGGTAGAGGCCGGAGGTCAGGGCACTCGTCGGGTGGTAGTTTGTTGCAGATGTCGGGTTGATTCGACCGCCCAGGGCTATCGGAGAGGTGCCAATCGTGACGCCGTTCTTGCCGTAGTTGATACGCCGACCGTCTGGGAGAACGTGAATGTTGGCACATTTCGGACCGAATTTGCAGTTGCCCTGCAACGAACAAGACCATGTTAGCGCTCGGGATCGAAGCCGGCGTTCAAAGCAACCGGAGCGTCGCCCAGATGCGGGCACGGGCACAGAGGCGGCTTGGTCTGTGTGCCCGAGGGGTAAAGTAGGGAAGGACGAGGGGTCAAATTGGACAGGGGGAAGGGAAGTGTCGCGATGTTTTTCGCCCTTTGGATTGGAGGGTCGGAGCAACGAACCTTGGCAAAGTACTTGCAAATGTTCTCGGCGGCAGCACCGAGATCGTGGCTGAAGGGGCAAGCATTGCCGGCTTGACAGGCGCCTTGTCGGAAGAATTTACAGGGAACGTGGGAGGTGTCTGTTGCGCGAAGACACAGGTCAGCGATGAACTGGGAAGCGTAACAAGAACAGAAGAGAGCAGAGCAGAGCAGAGCGCAACAGGGCCGAGCAGGAAGGTCGCTCAAGGACGGGTGCGGTGCGACGTGTTGCAGCCGACAGACGAGCCGACACGGCCGTCGGCGACAATGCGGATGAAGCGCCGCAGGTTCGCCATCGGCACGGAGCGGAGCGACGTGGACATGTGGCCAGCATCGTGAAGGCGAGAGGCAACAACAAGACAAAGACAAGGACGAGGACGAAGACGAAGACGAAGACGAAGCAGGGTGACGTACTCGGTGGACTCCGCGGGCCGTCGAATCTGGCGGCCGAGGCCGAGGCCGAGGCGGTGGATGCGGTGGAGGGCATTGGACTCATGATGGGACTGGGGTGACCATTCTGGTGTTGGATGTTGAGGCTGCCACTGCGCATATGGCGATATTCGGAGCCGTTTGTCGAAGGCATCTTGGGCCGGAGGGGGAGGGGGGGGAAAAGACGGAGGGGGAGGGGAGGGGAGGGGGGAGGAAGAAGAGGGAAAAAAAGAGGAGCGAGAGGTGGAAGAGAGGCGGGAGACGGAGGCAGAGAGAGAGTGGTGGGCGGTGGTGGGCGGTGGATTAGAGGGCGATGGGCGCTGTGGAGGGGTTCGGTGCTTGCGTGTGTTGTGCTGTATAATCGTTCACGGTCGCCGGCGCCGAGGACAGCGGGGTGGGGGGGAGAGAGGCCTGGACCTGACACCAGCAAAGCTCAGTGCAGTGCGTCACTCGTCTGGCGCTATCGTGAAGCCAGCACAGGGGGGGGCGCCAATGAAGTAAGTAGCCGACGTTCGTCAGGCAGTGGCGGCGACGCAGCGAGAAGAGGGCGGACAAAAAAGGCGTACAGCCCCAATGGGTTGGGAGTCGTGATGTCTTTGGGATGTGCTGAATGGGTTGTCGGTAGTGAGACAAGACAGACAGGTGTGAAGGTGAGCGAGTGAGAGAACCCAAGGTGAAATGAAGCGTAAGCGTAAGTGTAGGTGTAGGTAGTGAGTGAGACTGCTAGGCAGATACCGGTACTAGTCCCTTGGGCATGCGCAGTAGTCTAGACCAGTCCACGCCGTCGGTACCTGGAGAGGACGCAAAGGCGAGCAAATGCGGCGGCGTTAGGGAATAGCGGCCCAGATGGGGGTGACCCGGGGCAGGGGTGGGTGTGAGTATGAGTATGAGTGTGAGCGTGAGTGTGCGAGGGGGGGGGGGGGGGGGGGCAGGTAGGTGGTAGGTAATGTGTGAGCGTGAGAGCGACTGCTGAGGGCCACGCAGAGAGAGCGAGAGAGAGGCCAAGGCCAAGGCCAAAGAGTGGGATGTATGAGGCGGCGTGAGGCGTGAGGTGTGAGGTGTGACAAGGATGTCGTGCGGGCGGCAAAGGCGGTGGTGCGTCTCGGTCAGACGCGGGTTTTCGAGGTGGATATGCCGATGTGAAAGTGATGGCCCACCCCAGATCAGGGCCCGGCTCGATGCGACGAGATGGAAGCGTTGCTCCAAGATGGTGGCGGCCCAAGTGAACGGCACCCACGCCCGAGTTTAATTGTGATGGCGAGAGAGTGGTTTTATTGCTGAAAGCCGAGGGGAGGCCGAGCCGAACAAAGGCGAATGACCCGTCGTCTCGAGTCAGGACTCGGCAATGGGGCGCCTTTTGCTTTTGCTTTTGCTTCTGGAGGACCTTGCTGGAAGGTTGCTGCTCAGTGGTAGGTACAGTACAGTAATGAGACGCAGCCAACAATCGATGCCCGGGCCGGACTTGCGACGGAACAAGAGGCAACGACGGAGGGGGGGGGGGATCTGATCTGAAGGAGAGAGAGAGAGCACGCGATATGGAGGGGCGATTCAAGTGGGACAAGAGGCGGGGGGCAGCGCCGTCTCTCGGTAGCGTAGCGTAACGGAGGGGGCCGTCTTTGCTGGTCTTGGGCTGGTGAATGGATGGCGCCGCGATGGTCTCGTCTCACTGCCAAACCTGATGTGAAGTGGTGCTGCACGGATAGGCGGCTGGGCGAGAGAAGAGAGAGACGGGGCGGGCGGGCGGTCAGTTATAGCTATAGAGATAAGGCGATCCCACGGCGAGAGGTGCCAATGCAAAGCGTGCGAGATGCCTGGATCCGTCCGCGCGGTTGTCGCGAGTGAAGTGGAATTATTTTCCAAGGGGGAAAAAACGACGAGAGGTCATGGGCCGCCGAGGAGGCGAAGAGGGTTAAAAGTTGATTCAGGTCGAGGTCGCAACTGAGGTCGATGATGGCGGAAGCTGATACCAAGATACCGCCAGATGGACGCAGCCGACGAATCAGGAGCTCCGCCGCCGTCGTGCCTGGACCTGGGAGGTTGGAGGTTGGAGATTAGATCAACTCGACAAGCAGCAGCAGCACCTTGTGGCGGTAGACCCAGCCAAAGACAACACAGCCCGGACGACGTAAAACTGCCGGGATGTTGCCGGATCCAGGGGGGGGGGGGGGGAGGGTCCAAGAGGACGCACAAAGTCCTGGCCTGACCTGGGGAGGAAGCTTGGCCGTAGTCAGTGTCGATAATGTACACGCCTCAAAAGGGTATCTGCTAGACTCGAAGTAGTCGACGGGGCGAATATCTCTGATGTCTTGATGCTCTTCTGCCTCTGTAGCTGTAGCAAATAAGGGGAAGGGGGCCGAGGCGTGTCGTGCTCCTGGGGGCCCAGCGGGCGTCGATGCGGGGGAACGATATGACGGACTGCCTGTACCTATCTATCCCAGGTCGCCGCTGCGGTAAGCGTTCAATGTCCAGATAATGCACCGCCGGTCTTCAGGGCTCATCTTTCAGGCCGGCCGGCGCCTGGCTTGTGAGCAGGGTGAGCCGGGTGGGTAGCAAGCAAGTGCTTCTTCGCAGGGAGTAGGAGTAGTAGTAGTAGTAGTAGTAGTAGTAGTAGTAGTAGTAGGTAGTGGGTAGTGGGATGGGCAATTCTTGCTAGTCTTGGTCAGATTGGTTCGAGAATGGCGTTAACGATGATGCGGTAAGGCGCAGGCGGGAACTGGCGGGCCACTATCAGGGCCACAAAGCCGGCTAGGCAGCTCCGAGAGAAGGCGTCCTTCCTGTTGATTGATTTGATAATTGGTTTGGAGATGGTGCGAGGCAGAAGGGGGGAGCTTGGGGAACGGCATCCACGGAAACGCCAACCATGATATACTGCGCAGCAAGTGCACACTGCCACAGACGGACACACACGACGCGTCCACGTCCACGTTCACGTTCACGTTCACGAAGCCCACGCCTCTCCTCGAATATGGGGGTCACTCACAACATCTACACACACCCGCCTCTCGTCCCGACCAGGCTCGTCTTATGCCTCACTTCACACCGGTACGCCCACGATACCTCACGTCATTCAAGGTAATGTACCTCAGTTCGCCGTCCCATGCCTCGGTATACACCCTCGTCTCCGTCGCATTTCACACAGCATGTAGGCGTCTTTATGATGAACCCGCCCTCCTTCACTCATCCATCCATGCCGCCATCCACCCCGGCTGCACTCCTCCCCTCCCGTAAACCCATGCTCGCCGTCACGCTCTTGCTCATGCTCATGCTCATACTCATGCCCTTGCCAAGCTGTGTCCGAAAGCCGTGCCGTGTTAGTCGAGCCTCGCCCCGCCGTGGCCAAGGCACTCTTCTCGTACGACCAAACATCCATTTCCCTCTTGGACGCGCGCAGCAGAAACACCGGCGACGCATCTTCGTGCCTGTCTCTCGTCCCCTGCCGTCATCGACCCCTCTCCACCACCACCCTCCTCCCCAAAGACCCTCAGAGAGCTACAATATGGGTGGCGTGCCTCCATCACGCGGCGGCCCCATGATGCACCCAGCCCAACTTACTCCCCTGCTCCTCAGCCACAGATTCCTCTCCGAGCAACGACCCCCCAGAGTCACCAACGTCGGTCGGGAGGGTCCGGCGACGGGGCAAAAATCAAGGAATGGGAGAGATGGGCAACATGCGGTCAGCCGCGCCCAAGCAGTGCGGTCAGAATACCGCTGTAGTCTACGTCTTCAACCTATCCCACCCACGCCTTCCAAGACTGCCGGATGTCGGGAAACAGGCCAACCAGAGAGCAAAGCCCCGTCAACCTGGGGCGAATGTAAGATTGGTCAGCCGTGGGATCGTCGACGTCTCCCGCCCGCCCACACTTACACCACTGTTATGTGGGAACCGATGAGGTGAGAAGTGGGCGAAAGCCTGTTTGGATCCAAGGGTCCTTGGTCTCTGTTGGATTTCGGATAATTTGGGGTTGCCTTATCCGGCAATCACTCTCTACGTCGTCTGCCGTTATCACAATGCAAAAAGAATGTTGCGGTATTCGGGCACGCTCAAGCAGATCGTTCCCCATGCGGTATCTTTGCGGGCTTGAGCTTGGGCTTGAGCCAGAGCCACGCCCCGGCTGTCCGCTGTTTGGCCGTTTGTTAGTTTACCAGTACCAAGATCAACCGCTGGGTTGTGTCTCTGTGTCACGGCATCGACCAGGGTATTGGACTCCTTTTCAGGCGTCTAGCGCCCTGTGTAACATGGGGGCCTTTGCTCTGAGGGAGCAAAGACGGAGCTCCCAATCGCTGCCTCTCCTCGACTCAAAGTTTTGATGATGTGTATCCTCGGAGTTGCGTCTCAGAAGGTCAAAGACTTTATAGACATCCAACTGTAGACCCTCGAATGGTGGACATGAACGATGTCAGAGTCCATCGATAAGGTTAATTACACCAATAATGGCTTCCGCCGACGACCCTTGAGCTGCAAGGTATGTCTCTCGTCAACTTGCTTTTTCCCATCTCTTGATCTTGCATCGCGGCGTCAATGTCTATCAAGCAGCCGATCGCCCAGTTGTGTCTCGCCTAAACCTAAACCTGAGGCTAGTAGTCCGTCATGCCTCCAGCATCACGGGTTCCCTCGCAATATCACTGCGTGCTACCCATCGACAGGCATCAAGGTCTCGTTCAAAGCTCCCCATGAGGTACAACGCGCCGTAGCTACCTCGACGATCCTAATGGTCGGTTGCGTCCGCGCCAAAGTCCAACAAAGACGGTTATGCAGTCAATCTCTCCCTCAAGCACCCCCTCCGAAGCTCACACTGCCCGTGTCGGAGGGGGCTAAGTCGCCAGGCCGCGCGAGTCGTCGTCGCTCCACCGTTGCACCCGTGCGACACGAAATGCAACGCGACAGCAAACTCCC